TCATTATGCAGTATGTATTCTTAGAGAATCTTATATACTGGATCATCTTTACTGCTGCATTAACATGTAAGCAGTATTTTAATGCTGTAGTCAATCTGGATTAATTATTATAATAAACTGCTTATGTCCTGCTGGGTAGTTTAATTTGTAACAATGTCTCACATTTAATAAGATGTTTTGAATGATGATTTTATTCTGAAAAGTAATTACTAAACTGACTTATTAATGTATAAATGTGCCCATGACTCCCTGCAAAGCAGAACGGATGCTCTGTGGATTGTTCTTGTGAAATAAAATAAATTGTATTTAAATTAGATAAAAGTTAATTTATTGTAGTGGATTAATAAGCACAGTGTTGACGCCCTGAAATATAGTGGAGTATAAATATAAAGTACAGCACAAACTGGAATTGCTCAAGTTAAGTGCAAGCACTTCAAATATCCCAGATGGGTTATTCCTGGGCTATAAAGACTTTCTCATTGTCAACCTTTAAGTGAGAGAAATTAAAATGCTCTTGAACACATACCGAAATTAAATTTTTACTTGAGGACATAACAATACGGCTCATTGTATCCGTATCTTAATCAGATTGCCACCCGAGCCTTGCTTACAACTGGTTTGAGTGCGTCTAGCAGACTGCAGAGGGATCGGCAGGACTGAGGAGTTGTACACTAATTAGTAACATTAATTGCTACAGAGCTGAATGGGAATCCTCAGAGAAAAAGACGTAACAAATGTGTAGTTTTGTAGAACATTTTTTTTCCTCCAAATGAATTAAAATCATGCAACAGTGCGGGGAAAATGAGAACAGGGAAGATCGGGGGAAGAGAGTGATGCTGCCAGAGAGTTCCTAACAGATTCTTTAAGATCTTGTTCCAGCTACAAACCTCCTCATCTCCTCTGTACCGCCATGTTTCTCTCTGAGGCCTTTGTCTTCCATGAGAACAGATAAGTGAAGGACACATGGGGCTGTCAATGTGAAATAGGCCCTGGTAATAACATCACACTCATCGGGGCTCTCTGAAGCACAGTCAGAGGCGTGTAGAGACCTATCAGACTGCTCCTTGCCGGCCTCAGGAAGCCGAGATGGTGTGAGATTGCTTCTCTGTGGCAACCACCGGCCCACTTCTCATTGAGGCGGATGTGGATGTGAATCACACACGCGTCCACGAAAGGTCACCTTGGACAGGTGAAGACAAGTCAGCCCCCCCATTCCCCTCATCTGCTTTCTAGCTAACACACTGCTGCTCGGGCAGCTCTGTGTGCTCGTTTGTCATCTGATTCTCTGCTGGTGAAATGCAATCGTCCTCCGAAACAGGGAAAGAGGAGGTGATTACCATGGGTTGTTTGTCATGGTGGGAATGGGGAGGCGGATGTGGGTGGAAAACGAGGATGATTGGTTGCTTTCAGAAGTGATTTGTTTGAAAAACAACAAAGGCTGCTTGTACCTGAGACTCAAAGGCGATGTAGCAGTCCAAAAATGCACAACTTTAACGCAACCCAAAATAAATGATTAAAAGACATTGCCATTAAAGTGAGAAATGGTGCCATGCAGGATTTTAAACTGATAATTAGAGTAAAATATAAAGAAGTGGCGCACTGAGACAAAGCTGGCACCTGGAAAGAGGATAACACTTCCACAGAACTGATTCCATTTTTTATTTTCATGTGTTGTTTCTCCACACATTTCCGGCAATAAACTGGCTTTGTTCACTCAGACGCTCCCTGAGGACATCGAGCCTCCATCTGCTCCTGTTATATGATGCCTATCACTTTTCCTTATATGTCACATTGTTAGAAGACCGTTATTTTAAAAAAAGAAAATATTGTCCTGGAGCAGCTCATTTCAATCAGGATTTAGCGATATTCAATCAGTTGTGGGGTTGTCTGCTGATGTTGCCAGGTTACTGTCAAATTAAATCTGATCAAACCACACCCACACAATCTTGATGAATCAGATTATCTGTGAAAAGGGAGACAGGAAAACAAAGGGAGAGAAGCATGACTTACTACAAAGTACCACAGCTGGAATCAAAACATGGACATAGCAGTTATGTGGCTGTAACCATTCAGCTTCCATGATTTGAGTTTTTGAAAGTCAAACTTAAGTCAAAACTCGACTAAGTGTGGTTTTACGTGGAGTCACTTACTGGCACTATCTCTAGGCCGAGTGCCGAGTCTTCCTTTCACTACGCAGGGCCAAGAAAAAGTACAAACATAGCCCCACAAAAAAAGCACTATTGTTCTTTTGTGGATGGATTGAATAAATGAGATATAACCTGTTAATTAGCGAGCTTTAGAGGTGCTAGTAGGTGGATTGTTTTAAACTCTGGAGAGAACCAGAGTTCCCTGTTTCCAGTCTTTATGCTAAGCTAAGCTAATCACCTTTGGCTCTAGCTTCATATGTACTTTAGATATGAGAGCGATATCAATGTTTTCATCAAGCTCTCAGCAGAAAAAAAAAAGATTAACTATTCCTTTAAAAAAAAATACCTTCACGTTTCCCCCCCAAACTTTAACTTTAATTGTTGCCTGTGAAGACATAAATATTTAATCCTATTAAGAAAATCTTAACATTTAAAACATGAAAAACTTTTAAGGGGTTTTAACTCCCAAGATGCTGTTAATCTCTTTACCCTGTTAACTCTTGTCGGCTCTGTTTATCATGTAGTCTTTTTCTAAATTAAATGACACAAATTAAGGCCAAGAGTCTGAATTTATTGCATCAATACAGTTTATTGAGTAACATTGGTAATCAGAGTACATGCTATAAACTATACAGTTTAAATATGTAAGAACTGATATGTATCTTTGTTTCCAAATGCATAAAGGTAAACATCAGTCATATTCAAAGTGTCTTCCACACTCTCCTTTGGATTTGGTCAAGTTCAAACAGTTACATTGACTCTGAAATCTGACCTTCAAGCTTACCTTTGTTTGCCCTCAGTCCGCCTTTTTCAACCACCATGTGGGTATAGATATATCTTTCTTTCTTTGTAAAACAGAGTAGTTATTAATACGTTATAGAGTTGAATATCAACATGAAGTTGAACTGGAGGAGCATATTTTCCAAATTTGTTAGCATGTCTGTCCTTGGATTGCAGTAATATAAGGTTCAGTTTTGAACAAATGATCAAACACTGTTCACCAGCACCTGCAGTCCACCATGAAATACAGTAATGATGAGGAAGTGAGTATCAGATTCATTCATCAGGCTTTATGTGGAGAGTTATGGTCTCAGCTGTATCAAAAACCCATTTCCCTGTCTCATTCCTCCTTCTCAGCCACATCCTGTTGTGCCCTGGGTGGAGGCGCCCATTTAACTCTGATATACGACGGCAGGCCGGATCAGAGCCCCAGGTTTAGCTCACTGACGTCAGACTGAGGAACTCTCTTTATCTCCTGCTAATGACACCCCACCCTCCTTTCTCTCTTCCCTCACCGGCTCTGACTGACTTCTCCCCTCTTTCTCTGCTTCTGTCTGCACATCAGATCAAAGGTGAGAGCCACGGGGAGAGCTGGTAGAAAGAAAAGACTGATGAGACGCTGCTCCTCCTCATCTTCCTCCTCAGTGTCTTTTTGTTCTGTGATGAAGATGAAGTGAGTGGAGGTGCTCTTTCAGTCAGCAATCACTTTACACTGGAAGTTGGCATCAAAGAAATCCTGCTCCTTCAGAAATCATGTATAATGAAAGCACCTCCTGAGGATACTTGTAGAGCTGCTGGCAGTAAATGTGTGTCATGGAATGACTTCAGTCATGTTTTATGGTAATTCTTCTTGTGGGGGACTGCGGTTTGAGCTGATTTGCTGTTGTTTGGGCTGCATTTGACCCTAGAAAATAAAAGAAACTATAAAACAACAAGAAGTGGTTTAAGCAAGAAAGTTCAACTTAAAAAAATGTTTTAAATCTATTTTCTCTGTTGTCCTCAGTATAAGATAAAGGCAATGCTTATAAGGGGATTACCCTTGTTAAAAAAAGATTTATGAATAGTTAATAAACCATTTATCAATATTTACATATCAATAATAATCCATTAATAAGAATAATTGTTGACAGGTTGTGAAACACTACTTCTGTCCCAACTCTACATTGCCTGTAGGTGTGAACGAGAGTGTGAATGGTTGTTTATCTCCATGTCAGCCCTGTAATAGACTGGTGACCTGTCCAGGTTGTGACTCGCCTCTTGCCCAATGGCAGATGGGATTGGCGCTAGCCCCCCTGTGACCCTCAAAAGGATAAACGGTAAGGGATGGATGGCGGTTATTTCAGCTGTAGACAATTTTTTGTGTCTGTGGGCAGTAATTTACTGGAATAAAAAAAAAGATTTCGATTTTTTTTCTAAATTAAAAATAAGAAATAATAATAAAAGGAAGATATTACAGGGTTGCTAGGGTAACAGGCAGAGCCATCACTCACTCAAGTCACTGAAATCAACTATGAAGCTCGGGCAAGCAGACATTTATGCACACACACAAACACACGCACGCACACACAAACACACACACACACACACACACACACACACAGAAACACACACATCTGGCCTTTCGATAGTTGTGAGGACACTTGTCGATATATGGCACTCCCTAGCCAATAACCCTAACTTAAACCATTACAACTAAATGGTTAACTCAACCCTTACCCAAAACTTAACCTAATATTAATTCTAACAACCTTTACTAAACTAACACTAAAACCAAGTCTTGACCCTCAAACAGCCATTTGAAGTTGTGAGGACCAACCAAATGTCCCCATAATGTCAAAATGTCCTCATAACCAATTTGCACAAAAATGCATCCACACAACCAAAGAAAGACATGTACACACACACACACACACACACACACACACACATATATATAGGTACGTATATATATATCTGTACCCGCTGTATGAAAGGAATATCAAAGCAGTTAAGTTTTTTTCTAATTTATGTGGATTTGTCGTTGTCGACCTATGACGTGTTGATAAAGTTTATTGAAAGCAAGATGGCGGCGCCTACGGTGGAGTCGTGATACAAGGAAACGGATCATTTACAGCGCATTTAGAAGCTAGATATAATTATTTTAGTATGGATTATAGTTTTTATGTTATTAGGACCATAACGCGGAAACACAGGATCTGGAACTGAAACACGAGGTATCTTAAAATACATTTTATCTGTCGCTAACAGACGAGTGGTTGCTCTTGTGTGGGCAGACCAGGAGGTTACTGGAGGTTTCTTATGCAAATGAATGCCATGCCAACATAAAGGACATTTTGAAATATTGGTACCCCGTAACTCAAGACAGCAGAGTAGGAGGTTTATACAATGTCAAATGTTGTTAAGTTCAATTTGCGTTACGTTTGTTCTGCACTGCGTTTGACTGAAAAGGTGAAACCGACCTGTCATGACTTCACCACTACACAAAGTAGTAGAGCGAGGACCGCAATGATTAGTCAATTAACCGAAAAATAGCGAATGTGAAAAAATTAAAAAAAATATTCATTACAAATTTTCTAATGACATTTTCAAATGCATATTGTTTTGTGCGACTAACAATCCAAAACCTCTAATATATTCGTTTTTACATAGATCTGTGTTTGGGATTTTGTTCGACAAACTGCTTAAACCATTAGTTGATTATCAAAATTGTTGCCACTTCATTTTATGTTAGTCAACTGAATGATTAATAATTTGAGCTTCAGTATTTATTTACACTAAATATCTGACACTGGATTTATTATGACATGATATTGTTATCATATGTATACAGAGACAAACATTTAATATTTCACACTATCAGAAGAGCAGAAATCCCACCTGCTATCTAATCGCATACCACAGTATTGATATTTCATCAATTAAATGAATGAATGGGAAATGATTCTGGTTCTGAGTACCAAGAGTTTTTAATTCCAGCACCAATGTGATACCTGAATATGTGCCCATACCAAAATAATACTTTTTTTTCATATAGTATGGCATTGTTTTTGTTTGTTTGTTTTACAAAGGTATTTTTGAGGTTGTTTTTAACTTCTCAAAGCCAGACATCAAGAACCTTTTCCTGAAGAAGATAAATTAAAATGAGTAAACTCACAATTTATATGATAAGAACAGTAAGATGTAAAAAAAAAAAGAAAAAAAGACTGAGAATCTGAGCTATTAATGTTATTAATCAGTGCTTGACAGTATTTTGGTCAATACCAAAAAAGTAAAATAATTCTACAAATCTCCAGATGAAGCCTTGTTCCCCTCTGAGCCAGCGTGCTGTTTGCAGAAGTTTTCAGTCAGTCTTTACAGGAGACACCCGGACGGATGAGCCCAGTCACCATAGAAACATTTTCTCAGTCTCTCGCCTCAGCCCACTCACTCGCACCATCAGAGATGCACGCAACCTTGAGTGCTCGGCTCTCCCAGCCTCAGCCTGAGGGAGGAGCGTTGGCTGCTGCGATGCTTAGGTTATACTCGAGAGAATTTAGTGAAAAACACATTCCCACAAGCACGTGGGTGGTGTAGAGGACGGCGGAGGAGAGAGCCCTTTTCGCTGGTTTTCACTCATTTGCTTGAACAAGCTCAGCGTTATCCCTCAAAGATCTGTCCACCCTGGTCGGTAAATCCTTCAGGCTGTTCAGAGTCTTACTGAATGATTTGGAGGCTGGTAGTTTTTTGCACTTGAATGACACTCTGTTCATTCAAAAAGTCTTGTTTTCTTAAAGTCTGCGCTCAAAAATATACTGTATTGTTGCTATAGATTTCTTTCATGATGCGTCTTTTGATCTGCTCATGAAAATGATGATAAAGATCTCCCCTTATGTCCCCACTCGTGCCCTTACTGTTTGCGTTCTCTGTGGCTTTAGATAACCAGTCGAAATGTTTGTTTACCTCATTTACACCATTATCTCAGTCTGGTGTCAGGGCGTGCAGATTATCACTTCTTTTATTCAGCAGCTATAAAGGTCTCGCTGTCTGAGGTCCAGATGCATCACAGATGTGAAAATATTCTCTTGACAAGTTAGGTTGGCAGCATGTTGTCCTCTGCTAGAGACTGTACAGATATCTCTGGTTACCTTGGAAACTGTGTTTATATACATGTCTGTGTGTGTGTGTGTGTGTTGTGAAAAAGACAAATCTAGGTCAAACTGTTTTTTTTTCCTGACATGCAGTTGACTGTTTGACCAACATCAAGCCATATGAGTCATATAAGTCTCTTTGAAAAAGAGAGTAAAAATAGCCTAAATAAACAATTTGCTTTTTAAGTTGTTAGTTGTAGGACTCAATAACTGTCATTTATTATCCAGTAATCTAAATGATCCAATAATACAGTATTTCATCCCTTCTACCCACAACTAGTTATAAAAGTTGAGAGACATATTCTGGCAGCAGGGACTTCCATCTAGGTTAACATCCTGTAATGCAAAAAAAAAACCCCAATAAACTGAAGGGCAGGTTTGCAGTAGAGAGATGAGTGAATAATTGAAAATTAATTGATTGAAAATGTCATTCTCACATCTGAGCAGGCAGGCGGTGTGATAAGAACAGGCTGTCCAGAGCCTCACTGTGAGGCAGAGCATAATCACATCATGCTGAAGAAACCTCTTATTTCACAAAATCAGGCTGTTGTGTGAGTGACGTGGTGCAAAGAACACAGACTTTGGAGAAGGAAAAAAAAAAAAAAAGATCACGTGGAGAGCTGCAGAGCCGAGCCATCAGCTCTGTTCTCAACAAGTGGACTCACATGTACTGTAGATTAAATCGCTTGAACCCAGAGGTGCTGACTGTCTGTGGGGAATGAGTGCGATATCCTTGTAGCATTTTTATGGCGTGAGGGTACTGCATTAAAATGATTGTATGTGGTCATTATCGTTCCATGGTGACATGTTTGTGTGGATAAGATGTTGTGATTGGGATGAACTTCTTGTTATATTTCCTCGTGTCTATTATACCATTCAATGATTGTATCTGCCTTGTTGTCAGCAGCATTGGTGTCTATTTTCTCTTTACTTGTTCAAGGTCTCTGAAGTTTGAAGGCTCGTGTTTCCTTTACAACTGAATGAATGTTAAGACTTTAAGTTGTATCAGTTTGTCTGATTTCAATACTCAGCATGAAAACACTGCAGATATTTCAATATTTCAGTGTAATCGTATTTTGACAATAGTATGTTATTCTTTCATATAATTGTGTCGTTCAAGTGAATAATTCTATTAAAATTATAATTGAGGAAAAGTTTTTTATGACATATTAAATATGAGAGAAATGTTTAATGACCCTGCAGTTTGATGTTGGAGGTGACTGAAAACATTTGAAGTCTTCTGTTCTAAATTTGTTTGGATAATAGAGGAACGGTTACCTTCGATGTCAAAAGTCATTATAAAACATAGTCATCTCTCTAATATTTGAACGCTGATTAAAAACATTTTTCCCAAAAGGTTTGGTTAGAAGTCAATGGATCCTGCTCCTGTTTTTACATCCTTACTGTCGGGGTGCTGAGCCTAAACAGGAATCTATTGGGATTTTTAACCAAAGCTTTTAAACCCAGTCAAAATGTTGTTAAAGGTTTTGTTTTTACATGTTTGAAAAGTTTTTCAGATTAAAGGTATGTCAGTGGAACAGAGATCATTGCATTACGCATCGATTTAGGGCTGCACCAAACAATTATTTTCAAATTTCTACAGTTTGTCCGACCAACAGTCCAGAACCCAAGGAGGGTCAGTTGACAGTGATACAGAAAAAGAGAAAACCAGTCTTCCACCAACACCACCAGCTCACTGTCACTCCGCCCGCTCTGATTCAAGTGTCCGTCTTTGTTCTAGGTGACAGAACCATGCAGGTGTCAGTGAGAAGGCTGGCTCTGTACCCGCTGGCTGTAGCCCGGTCTGGCCGAATCAGGGCTCCTGTCCTGAGTCCAGTACCCCGCCTCTTGTCCCCCAGCACCCGCACCCTATTCAGTGAGACGGGAGAGTGGGAGAAGGACTATCGGATAGAGACCCGACGCAGGGTGGAAGAATGGTGGCAACCACGCATCATGGCACAGTGGCGGAAGGATGCGCTGGAGGAGGTAAGAAGAACTTTTCATACAGGCCTACTATACGATCATTAGCTCGCTGACATCATGCTAATGGAGATGCACACGTAAGATCTAATTGGTCAAGTTACTGTGGGAGCGTTTACCTGTGCACTAGAGTCTCAGTTCTGATCAGGTTTTTGGAGGATCCCGGTTAGGTGTATGTGTAAGCATCATATCCTAGTTTTAGATGGATGAGCCCTTAACCTGGCTTTGAGAAACTTGGATATGAATGGATATAAAAATCAACTGTACATATGGTCTATTAAATATAAGAAACTGCACATCGCAAATTTCAAGATTTCTAGATAGAGTCTTCAGGTGGCTGGATTTTTCTTTTCAGCAGATCAAAACCACAAGATATTTCATTTACAATAATATGAAACAGAAAAGCCTCATGTTTGAGAAATTTCATTTTCAAATCTTTAGCATTTCTGACAAAAAAACAAATGATTATTTGATTATCAAAATATTAGCCGATTTATTTTCCCGCAATCAATTGATTGACTAATAGTTTTAAGTCTACATGCAGCAGAGTTTAGGCAGCCAGCAAATAAAAAAAATAAAAAAATTGCTGACATGTTGAGGAATCATGATTCACCTTCATGCAGATCATCAGAAACGTGAATATTGTTTAAAAATGTTAAAATGTTTACGCAATTCTGAATAGCCAGGGTTCCCATGTTGAATGTAAATATCAAATATGATCAAAACCAGGAGGCTAATGTGCATGTGAGTGTACAATGTGACGCTTCTCTGTCATGTAATGAACAGAAGTGCTGGCCTTTAGATCCGTCCTTGTTGCCAACACTGTCGAATGAAAATGGAAACTGAAGTCCTCAAACCAAAAGTCTCCACTGTTCCACTAGTGTTCTCATACCTTGGTGAAAGAATAGAGTGTAGAGAGTCTAAATCTATCTGTTGGACAAGGATATTTATGTGTATGTTTGAAATACCTTTAGCCTTTTTTTTTTAAGATTAATTGATTAATAGGCCATTAAGCATCCTGCCAAATGACTGTCCCTGGCCGTTGTAGCTGATCTGAGACCTGGAGATCAGGCTGATTATATATCCTAATGGTCTGACCGTGCGACCGTCTGGGACAGGCTGACGGTGATTAAGTGCATTCATGACAGCCCTGGCCCTAATTAATTTATTGAAAAATTCATGACTCAGGTTTCCTGTAATCATATATAGCTGGATGTAACCGGTACTTACTGTGCTGCCATGGTAACAGTGTTGCGACTGTAAACCATCCATAATCAGTACGACCACCGTTCAGATTCTGACACTATAATCAGACGCTGTTAGAGTTTCATAACATCAATACACGAGAAGTACGTCAGTGTGCTCGCTCTGCATGTGATGAGTTATTATTTCTGTTCTGATCTCATCACGTTAATGCAGTGTCTTTTATACAAGACTCATTCAAAAGAGACGCAGTGATAATGGAGAAAATATCTCCTACAGTCTTATTGCAGTCTGTAAGAATTAAAGTTTTATGATCTGTTCCCACAACATTATCTCACAGCTCTGAACATTATTTTGACTGACTGTTGTTTCTCTCAGGGTTCCAACAGGAAGAAGTTTTATGTCCTCTCCATGTTTCCGTACCCATCGGGCCGACTGCACATGGGCCACGTGCGAGTGTACACCATCAGTGACGCCATCGGTCACTTCCAGAGAATGAGAGGCCATCAGGTATGTCTGCTGTCAGGCCTGAAACAAGCCAAGACAGTACGCTGTGTGCTGGTATTTGAAAGTAAAATAAGCTGAGAAAGCTTTTATTTTCAATTAAGTTTTTAGATAAAAAAGGACACAAGTTGTTCAACTTTAAGCTTCTGTAAATATAAAAACCAGTTACTGATACTTCCTACTCGTAACATCAGACATTAAAGGTTAAAGATGTTTTGATATTTCCCTTTTTTTTTCTTCTCTTAAACTAGAGAGAAAACAGTGTTGATTATGTTACAATAATGTAATGTAACATAAATAAATGAAGGGCAAGTTTTAAACCTTATTTTGGTGCAAGAATCCACAAATCAATCACAGATCAACAGAATTAATTCCCCATTCATTGTTTATGGAGATTTTTCACTCATGACAGTTTCTTATAATTAAGCAAAGAATTGTGTATTCTCACAAATATTGACTGAACTGTTCTTAGGCAATAAAATAATGAAATAAAATAAAAACTCACAATATGAGAGCCAGAATGAGGCAGTTATGACTCTTTGCTTTTACCTGCTAATATATGCTTGGGTTTGCTTTATTGTTTGTTCTGCCCCTCACCACAGGTCTGCAGGTTTTTCTGTTTTTTCTGCACTGTTGCCTCGCTCTTATCTGCTTCCTCCCGCTCTGCATCATCATATATACAACACATTACAAAGAGTATCTGTTTACACTCCCTCTGTGATCTTTGAGGCTTTTATAGCTCTTTACTCTGTCAGTGTCCATAATGTTGTGTACTAACCATAGCATTCATTTAAGTTCCATTAGCAGCATAATAATACATCCTTGAGCCGCTATCTGTCAATTGCACAACCAGAGTTTACACTCTCCAGGGAGCATGTAATTAGATTTTTCTATTTGTTGTACTTGATTTCTACCATGCTGTATTGATTTCAAACAATGTACATTTGCACATCATGTACATTACTTTAATAGAAGTTAATTATCCCTCTTTTGTAGGTTGAGTGTTTTACTTGCATTTTGCTAATTGTTCATATTTGTTTTCATATAGCTGACACTGTTGTCTGTTGTTCTCTTTGTTTTGCTGCGTAAAGATTTGTTTTAGCTTTTTTAGTGTTTTTACTGAGATCGAATAATTCCACAATCATCCGTGAGCTGAGAAAAGTTTATGACAACTTGGAACTATTGAACCTTTTTGAAATAAACCCATATAAATACAGAAATGAAGTCAGGATAAAAGCGAGGACATGTTTTCCTCTTTCTTATAAGCTGACAATTGGAGAAGATAGAGGATTTTAAACCTGCTGTGATGATCTTGAACCTTCCCATGAGGTCTCCTTTCATGGTTAAAATTAGGTGTAAATAAGGTAAAGGTAAAATCCATACTCTCGATCTTAAGCACTCCAGTGTAATATTGACTCGACTCTGTTTCAGATCAAAGCGCTACAATCGATATTCAGCACTCTGTTTGAGTCCAGTAAGCGACTGTAGATGAAGCTGTAACCAGTGTGCAATCACACACACACACACACACACACACATGCACACACACCTGTCACATTCTGGCGTGACGGTGACAAGCCACGTTAAGTTCTTTGGTTTGTCTCCGTCCTCACACCACCCGTCCTTGTATTTATCCTGGTGAAAAGTTGGTGTAAAACGAGCCTCTCCTCTCTTTCCTTTTTCTTTTCCTGGTGGATTTTACACTAGATGGTGCGTAACTTCTCCCTCACCTGCAGAGAGAATCCCTTCTGCTGCTGCCTGGTTTCTCCCTGAACAGAAACATGGTTTCACATGACTGGCAGCTGCTTCCTGCCCAGGAGTTTTACTTTCTCTCAGCATCTGTCAGAATGGGAACCTCGTTCTGCTGTTTGCCCACAGTCTGCTCTATTCACTAGTTAATTAAAGAGGCTACAATCCGTCGATGGCCTGACTCTAAAAGTGTTTCATCTGTGAGACACTGAGAAACATTTTATCATAATGTTCCCGTCGTTCTACACATCGGTGGATCGTCTGGAGTAATGAGAATTCAGATTCTGGAAATACACTTTGTTGTTGAAATTTAAAAAAATTAAAATCTCATTGTTCAAACTAAATTCCATTGACTTTTATTGTAATGTGATGGAGGCAGAAATCAGAGACATTTTTTTTTGCATATATGACAATAAAAAAGGATTAGTTCAACATCTTGGGAAATACATTTATTTACTTTCTTGCCGAGAGGTAGATACCACTCTCGTGTCTCTAGCACCAGCAGCGCAGTTAGCTTAGCTTACCATAAAGCTGGAAACAAAATCTGCCAACCAGCTCCTCGAAAAGCTAATTTCAAACTGATTAAGTCACAAAAGAAAGTCACTGCACCCAGCCAAGAAATAGTCTGACATGCAACCCCCACAAAAAGAACCACAATGTGATTTTCTTACATTTTGGTTTTTGTACAAATTAAACAAACGAGATACAACTAGAGAGATTTAGAGGCAACACCTCTAAAGACATGAGAAGGTTTTGTTTTTCTCATATAAGTCTTTGCAGGAAAGCAAAGGAGCATATTTACATTTATATTTATTCATTTGGCAGATGATTTTCTCCGAAATGATGTACAAAGGAGCCACAGCCGATCAAACTGTTCCTTTGTGCCAAAACTATATGCTCATCTAGATTCCACTTGAACCACAATATGTGAAATTGTTTTTTTCATAATTTTGATTTGAAATGACCCTTTTGAAAAGTTTGGTTACGATCAGTTTGTGTGATGAGCGAACAGACAAGGGTCGGAGTTGCATTTCAAAGCTGCTACAGATGGAGAGAAGCCTCTCGCTGGAACTGTGTAGGTGGACACTTGCACATAGCTGAGTGGTTCCACATTCACAAAACCAGACTCCCAGCACTTGCGTCCTTCTTGTTGTCAGCGTGAGGAGCCTGGAGCTGTGCAGTGATGTGTCTGTCTCCCGGTTGGCACTGATTTGCTCCACATTACAGCGGACAGATTGTCATAAAATCAGCCTCCACTCACTCCCACGTCTATCTTCCATTGCTTCTTGTCACTCATGCTCTGAAATGTGCTGTATCTCCGTGATAACAAATCGCACCAGGCTTCACATTTTGTGTGGACATTAGGATAAGTGGAGCTGAAGCTATTAGCAGTGAAAAGATAATGGGCCTCTGCTGCTCTCTTTGAACTTTGAGGATTGAGCTCACTAACGCTGCCTGTCCATCACAGCCGGTCCCTGTAACAGCGTCTCTTGAATACTGCCTCAGTTTAATGGGGTATTTACACTGAATAAACAAAATACTAGCGTATCCATCCTAATGAGGGGCATGTTTTTATTCTGCTTTGTTATTTACGTAGGCTATCTTTGGCTTGCTCCTCACTCTCAGTGTGCCTGTATTCCTCCTGAGCAGTCACAGTGGTCGACTGCGCTCAGCTCTCTTAGTCTAATACCATCCAGCACTCGGCTTTACAAATGAGGCCCATGCAGTTACCAAGGATACCAATTCGTCTGAAACATCAGACCCGTTAGAGTCCATGCAATGATCCTCTCCGGTCCTCGACTCCTTGTCACTCTGCTTCTCCTCTACTTCACTCACGCCTTCCACTCCTGTGCTTTCATCTCGCTTCTCTCTCAGTGAGCAGAAAAACACAGACGAGAAGCTAAAGGGAAAAAGAGATGAGTGAGGGAGACGTTGTCTCGAGTTGAAAATGATTCATCTCAAGGAGAGTGTGGGTTACAGGGGGGCAATGAAATGGATGTGAATAAAAAGTACAGAGGAATGGAGAGAGAAAGCAGACATACGGCAGAGAAAATGAGATTGTGATGTTGTTTAGAAAATTGTGTGAAAAGCAACTTATTAAGTAATTTGCATGAAGCTGATGAGTACAAAGCTGTCACACCCTGATCTCCCTTTCTAGGCTTAACCTTGTTTTCCTTTTGCTTCTGCATTATATAACAGCTGCTGTTACATGAAAATTGCAGTCAGTCTGCCTGTATTAACCACAATGTGTGATGGAGTTGAGATTCCAGCAGGGAACAGCACGTTAACATACGGGTCAACGTGTGTTGTAGAACCCAGATTTATTTTGCTGAATGAATTCCCTCTTACAATGAACATTTTTGATTTCACTGGTATTGGTTGAATTAATGCTCCCGTCACATGGCACACGAAATAAGAAAAGGCCATACTCTGAAATTGTCCGTCATTCAAAAATGTGTTTTGTTTATTGTTACTTCATATGTGCAGAGTTTGACACTATAAGGTTGTTTTCACACTCATCCGCTGAAGGTGGAGTTTAACACTTGCACGTATGACTGTGATTTTGTGACGTCACATCTAGTTTGCAAACCGACTGTAACCAGAAGATAAACTCATATCTGGACTTTTCAATGACAGAGAAATAGATTTAATTATAAGAATTTTAATAGGATAAATGTTTGTTTTTGGTTTTTTTCTGTGAACAGTACTTTATTCGGCCTATATCTTTAAACTGGTTGTGTGGGGGTGTACATGCCCAAGATGACGTTCAAAATAACTCTCAACATGTTTAATTTGCAATGATAAAAACAGAGGAAAGCAGCATATTTCACATTTAAGAAGCTGAAAATTAATTATTATTATTATTATTATTATTATTATTATTAATTTATTGTTGACTCACTAATGATTTCCCCACGAATACTCCATCCACAGGTGCTGAATCCGATGGGTTGGGACGCTTTTGGACTTCCAGCTGAGAACGCAGCCATTGAGAGAGGCCTTGACCCAGAGGAGTGGACTAAAAGGTACATGAAACATCACATCTGTTCTCGTAAGTGTTCATTGTTTAAACATACCCTAATGTGCCCTGCTGTGTCTCCTCTCCTCAGTAATATCCAGTCCATGCGGGAGCAGCTGGACAGCCTCGGCCTTTGCTTCAACTGGGACCGGGTGAGTAGAAACAAAGACCTGAGCGTCAAACAGGGCTCTGGGCAGCGTTTAGGACTGGATGACTCACTATTGCTTAACACCTCACACTGCTGACCTGACTCTGGCTTTTTCCTGACAGGAAGTGACCACTTGTCTTCCAGAGTACTACAGGTGGACACAGTATCTGTTTATCAAGCTCTTCGAAGCAGGACTGGCATATCAGAAAGAGGTAGGAACGGCCTTTGCATGAGAGGTGCTAATCCCTGTTTTCTTTTGAAAGGAATAATATGATTGGTGTAGGTCCCTGACAGTTCCAGAAACGACTGAGGCAGCTCACTATTGGAAGAAAATTAAATGAATTGTGAAGCTGAAATGAATGGAGAGCTTGGTAGAAGCCCTTTGATTATGTTTAATGAAATGGGACGACATTGAAATAAGCCCTTGGTCTGTCTATTAGCTATTTCCTAAGCTCTGCTTTTTCATTTCAACTGTGTGTGTGTGTGTGTGTGTGTGTGTGTGTGTGTGTGTGTGTGTGTGTGTGTGTGTGTGTGTGTGTGTGTGTGTGTGTGTGTGTGTGTGATCCAGGCTGTGGTGAACTGGGACCCTGTTGATCAGACAGTGTTGGCTGATGAGCAGGTTGATGAAAATGGCCGCTCCTGGAGGTCTGGCGCTCTGGTGGAGCAGAAGCTGCTCACACAATGGTTCATCAAGACCACAAACTATGCCAAGGTACAGCTCTTTAGTGTGTGTGTGTATGTGTAGCATGTGACAAGTGGTGTCTGAATTGCTGGCCAGCGGCTTCATGCAGGCCAAAATGATCAATGGACCCCTCTGATAACAATCATGGCTGACACTTCAGTAGCAGCAGCTGCAGCCCTGCCTCTCCCGTTCTGCAATCACACCACAGGAGACCGTCATTTTTTAGCCCAGCGTCTCCCGACCAATAAGAGAGAGACTGGTCAAGTCAGGGTACGACCATCAGACGGCCCGGCTGGCTGATGAGAAGCCTCCACCTATTCAGCTCAGAGGTGTGCAGGATGGCTGCAGGGTGAAATGACCCCCTCTGGACTTCAATGTGAATAATCCACAGGAATAACAGTTCATGCATTATACATGTAGCACATGCATGTGCATTGTTAGAAATGAAGGCAAGCATGTGCCAACGCAGAGAGATCCTTGAGGAGGAAAGTGTGGCTGTGCACATTTGCTCAGACTCTCACCTGCAGACAGTGAACAGAGATCCATCATTTAAACTTGACTTCATCCTTTTCCAAGTTCAGTGTTTGGGTACAATTGTCTAAATGTCTTTCTAGGGCTTCAACTAAATAGTATTTTAATTATCGATTAATCTGTTAATTAATTTTTCAATGACTTGTTTGGTCTTCGAACAGAAGGTGAATTCATCCGATATTTTTGTTTTGACCAACAGTCCGAAAAACAAATGCATTCAGTTTACAATTAAATAAGAATTACAGACCAAAAATGGCTAATAAAAATAAGTAGGAAATGATTTTCCTGTCGATTGAATACTTGATTAATTGACTGATCATTTCAGTTCTACCTGTTCCCATCAAAATAATGAAGCAGACTGATTGCATGAGAAGGCGAGGCAGAGCAACAGCACGGGCAGGTTTTAATTTTCTGTGAGTGTTTCATACTGACTGAAATAAAACAGAAACCAGTGTCTAGGAAGTGTGAAATTAATCTTAAAACTTCTTTTATGTAAGCACTAGTTTGTCCTCTGAGGCTTTGTCAGTTTTGACATTTTGATTTAAAAAAAAAAAAAAAAAAAAATCACTTTGTCCCAGATCAGGCGTCACACAGTTTTAGCCGCAGCGCTGACGTCGCCCATGCTTGTCCGTGTCAGAGGTGTGAGTGGAGGTGGAACCAGCCTACGGGTGACAATGTGTTCCTGCATTTCTAATTTTCTCTTGATGAACAGAGAAGTGGGAAGGAAGGAAGAGGAAGGTGTTATGGAAAAGAAGTGAGAAAGACAGATGGAGAGAAAGGAGGACTGTGTGAAACCGGAGCGGGCCAAATTAAAAAGTGCTGTGATTGGACTGTGATTTCCTGCGTGTGCGTTTCTCTGCTCGCCTCTACGCGTGTTCGAGTCCGTTAGACAACATTAACTTCAGACAATGTTTATTCAGCGGTCATCAGTTCAGCTGTCAGGTTGTTCCACATTGCACTGACAGACTTCCCTTATGAACTGTAACCGCATTGTTTCGTCCAGGACACAGATGACTACATATTATTACTAAGATGGATTTTTAGATGTGGACCTTGCAGGATGCTAAATTACCACGTGGCAGTTACAGAGTTTTCAATTTCATGCATAATCACTCTTGTTGCACTCAGGCACACATGCCGCCTGCCTGTTACATCGCACTGACATCTAAATGATTCACAAACTGAGAGCTCAGTGTATTGTTCTGCTATAATACTGTGCAAATATGAGCATAGCTTCTAGAAGTGTTTTGTGTCATTTAGGTACAAACAAACAACTTGTGTGGAGGAGTGTGATAGTTCAGAAAATGCCTGCACTTGCATGTGACATTTTTGTCAGAAGTCTACTTGATGTGTCTTTCTCTCTGTCACACACACACACACACACACACACACACACACACACACACACACACACACACACAGAGACACAGAGACACACACACAATCACAATCCTTGGTTATTGCTATACCATGCTTTTTTTTCTCAAGCTTTTCTTAGTTGCCATGGAGACCCCTTCACTTGCTCTACATCTTTCAGTTACTCCTGCCTCTGTGCCAAAATATTTTTTTCTTCTCCAGTAAAGTAAAAACATTTACTGCCTCTTATTTAAAGCCATCATTAGTTATCCGTCATTACTTTTTCTCTTTTTTTTCTTTACTGCTGGCAACGTCTTTGTTTTTGCTGCGTCTCCTCCCAGAGCCTCTCAGTCATGCTGACACAGATTCACTGGGATTTACATTATAAGTCAAAAGTTTTAGAGCATCCAATTTTTTTCAGTTGTTAATGAAATTCCAGCATTTTAAGACCAGTGAATAGCCTGAAACATACAAAGGTATGTTGTTAAAAAAAAAAAAAAAAAAAAAAGTTTAGGTCACTAAAAGCTGAACAATCATATAAAGTTCAAAGAAAACAGACATTTTTCATCAATTAAGAAATTGGTTAACTAACAGCTTTCTAAAGCAAACACTTCCTACTTCCTTCCCAACTTTTGTATATGACTATCAAACCCTCTGTCTGTACTGTAAGTAGTGCTGTGTATTGCTATCAGAATAGTGAGAAAATGGAAAGTAACAAAGGAAGACAGACTGGTTTGTCAGGGGTTCATCCGACAGCAAGACAATGAGCCAAAACATGAGAAGAAAAGAACTACATGGTGGATTCAAGTGATGGGAGAGCAGCACAGTCTCTAGACTTAAACCCTGTTGAAATGGTGTGAGACGATCTGGACAGAAGGTGAAAGCAAAGCAACCTGCAAGTGCAGCACATTTGTGGGAAGGAACAAACTTCCCAAACAAGATTTCATTTCCATTGTAGAAAGAATATCACAAGTTTGATTGGCGGCTAAATGTAGATTCAATTCAATTCAACAAGATTCCATGAATCCTTGTTTTTTAAAATCTCTACTTGTTTATTTGTTTTATGCTTTAATTAAAAAAACACGGAGACATTAAATTATGTAAATCTAAATAACAGCTGGAAAAAATGGATTAAACTTTTTACCGGTGGTGTGTGTTTTTTTTTCTCCCCCACTCTGGGCCAAATCCATAGCTGACACATTCTGAGTCATGCTAGTGTTGACTATAGCCGGTGTTTACGTTTGTATTGATATTGCCATGATGAGGTACTGCATGCTGAGCGGCACCGTGAGGGGGATTGTGGGTAATAGATTGTGACGGACTGAAAGGGAAATGGAGAGTTTTAACATCTCTGGCTTCAGCCCAGCTGTGACTTTTTAGGCTCAGCCTCGTTGATATGCATAGCTTCCTTTAATCACGCAGAATAAATGTTGTTGGTGGTGTTGTGTGTGTGTGTGTGTGTGCGTGTGTGTGTGTGAGATAGAGAGAGAGACTGTGCATGTGTGAGAGAGAGAGTGTGTGTGTTTATTTGTGTGTGTGTGTGAGAGAGAGATAGAGAGAGACTGCATGTGTGAGAGAGAGTGTGTGTGTGTGTGTGTGAGAGAGAAAGAGAGAGAGATACTGTGCATGTGGGAGAGAGAGAGTGTGTGTGTGTGTGTGTGTGTGAGAGAGAGTGAGAGAGAGAGAGAGAGAGATATTGCGCATGTGAGAGAGAGAGTGTGAGTGTCTATTTGTGTGTGTGTGTGAGAGAGAGAGAAAGGAAGAGACTGCATGTGTGAGAGAGAGTGTGTGTGTATTTGTGAGATAGAGAGAGAGAGACTGTGTGTTTATTTGTGTGTGTGTGTGTGTGTGTGTGTGAGAGAGAGAGAGAGAGAGATACTGTGCGTGTGTGAGAGAGAGAGAGTGTGTGTGTGCACTTTATAAGCGATTGCTTTGTGATATCAAGGAAAATAGGGCGAGTGGAGGTCAGGATTTTTGAAAATCCCTCTTTGTCTGCATAATGTGACCTGGTCGGCACTGCTGCTTTTGTCAAAATAAATTGGCTGGGTTTTGAAAGAACCCACACTGAGCTGGAGTCAATTGCATTATCCTAGACAGCCGTACTTATGAGGTACTGGTGGCCCCCTCACAAAATATTGAAGTGGAAAATTTGCTCTTTCCAAACTTGTACAAAAAAGCAAGCTTGAGTCTTTGTCTTTGTCTCCCTCCTCCAGCCTCTCCTGGACGCCCTGTCAGACCTTCCAGAGTGGTATGGCGTCAAAGCCATGCAGGCAAACTGGATTGGCGACTGCACTGGCTGCTACTTCGATGTCAAACTCAAGGTGAATTTCAGCTGCCCTCTCTCCCCGCGCTCTCTTTTTGTCCATTCATCCTCCATGTTTTCTTTCAGCCACTTTTTCGACTAAGTGTTTCCCTGTGGTTTCTTCTTCCCAGTCTCTCTTTTTTTATCTTGTTCTCCACAAGCGCTGATTGCTTGCTTTATTTTAGATTCTCAGATACCTCTGTTTATGTGTGTATTTCTAATAGAAATCATGTACCAAAAGAGAAAAATCTTCACTTTGTTGTTCACATTCAGTGGGTGCATCCATCTGCGAGCGGCAATTTACCCAAACAGATGATGTCACAAATTAGTTTTTATTGAGTTTTGAGAGAGCCATATTTACAGTACTTCATGCATCTGACGTTTCATGCAGAGTGGTCGCAAAAAGCTCACTGAGAGCCCTGTTAGCATCCTCATTTATCCACTCTCTTTGAAACCTTTTGAAAAAATGTTACTCGAGGCAGTCCCTTAATTTAGAAAGTCTTCATATTTCTAGACAAAAGAGGGTTACAGGATGTGAGATTGCATTTGTGTATTTGTGTCTTTTTCTGTGTATATATGGAAGGGGGTTTCTCTGTCATACTGCATGGCTGCTTGTCTTGTATTACATCATTATACATTGTCACAGGATATGTATTAGGATGTCTTTTATAACATGACATACAACAATTACCCTAGACCTCCTCTACAACGAGTGTGTCATCTCTGAATAATTATAGGATTAAAGGCACTGTTGCTTTATTATGTGTCAAAGAGCTACGTGCAGCACATGTAGCATACATCTCACAGTCCCAAGATGTTATTTGTTAAATTGGGGCTCCAGCTCACAATTTATCAGTTTATTTGTCAATAATTTCTTCAATAAAATTTTAAGTCTACAGCCATGGTAGCAGCTATTTGTGGCTGCTTTAAGGTAGCATCATTCTCAGCGTACACAATAGTCAGTATAGACAGGAATTAGATTGCATTCCTTCAGTGCTCACAAGAAGAACAGATACGGGTCAAGGTCAAGTATTAGGTCAAGTATTATTCAACTACGTTTGATAAATAAGGATGTGCTTTGTTTCCCTTAAAAACAAATCGTACTAGTATTTAAACACAGCAGTGCTTTTAGCTATATGCTAACATGCACACAGTGATAGTAATGCTGGCATTCTGATGTTTAGCAGGTGTAATGTGTATTGTGTTCAGCATCATAAACCAAAGTAATTTTTGGTGAATTTTGACTTACTGCGTGTCCACCAACTAACTGATGTTTGGATTGCTTCAGCACTGAAATGCTTTAATCCATATTACAGAACCAAAGATGCTTCTGTGCCTAAAACTGTAATACGGAGACATTATATTTTAAAATAAATGCCTTTAGGTGACAGACTGAGGAGACAGACAGTCCTCCTCATTAACTCAGCTCCGCCGTAGCTGTCGGCATATGGACGCTGAGAGATTCCCACACGCTTCTTCTCTTATCTCCCAGGTGAACGGGGAGGAGACGGGGGAGACTCTATCAGCCTACAGCTCCTCCCCAGAGACGGTGTTTGGAGCAGCTTACCTGGCCATCCTGCCCTCCCACAGGCTGCTGCATGGTAGCAGCCCAGTGCGCGCTTCCCTGGAAAAGGCCTTTAAGCCGGGGAGAGGTGAGCATCTCTACACACTGACCCCAGCCTGAGTTTGGCTCATCTGTCAAGGTGTATGATTTCCTGCTTTGTGAGGTGGACATGCGTTTAGATTTTACCTGAGCAGCAGCCTAATGAATTACTTTTTCAGGGGTGAAGTGGCTCTACACCTGCATGCTGTCAGAACTTGAAAAGGTTATTTGCAAAGGTTATGATCCTTTGCATATTATGTGTGTTCATTATTGAGAAGGGCCTAATTAACAAAAGCGCTGCAATAGTGAAAAATCAATCCTCATATGAGAAAGGAAAGAAGGAACTGTATGTCTTTTTGAGAAGTGTTTGTCCACAGCTTGATGGACGAATATATATATACTGTGTACTCATGTAAATGTCCTTATTGAACCATCATACTGTCTATGTATGGCTGCAGCAGTTGTAGTTCACTGAGTGTATGTTAATTGGGATCCCCTTGAGGTTTCTATCTCTGTGGTTAATGATTGTTGATAATGAGCTACCGGGGGAAGCGGCGCTGCCTCTCTCATGTCCCCTGCCCTCTGCTCTCCAGACTCCCTGACAGAGGTCACCGCTCGCAACCTGTTCACCGGCCATGAAGTTCCCCTGGTCATCTCACACAAAGAGGCGTTTGATGGCTATCTGGACACTGTGATCGGTGGGTTATTGGCCATTAATGTGTGTATTTGTGTATGTGTGTATGTGTGTATGTGGGTGGGACTTGAACTAACAGGAACACTCAACCTCTCCATGCAGTCATCTGATTAAGTGAAAACATGTAAATATATATATGTAAATAAACGTCAGGCACGGAAAGATGTTTTAACTTAAGAAACTTAAAATTAGATTGTGCAGAAGATACTGCCCCAACTTAACATTTTGAAACTTCATCATTTGCTGTATATCTGCATCACACAGTATTATTGTTGCTGCGATGATGTGAAACCAGTGGGTGTTTGTCTCGCAGAGTGTGGAGGTGGAACCCAAGGGATTGTTAGCGATTAGCAGCATCACAACATGCTTAACATCACCACAGGGTTTTTCTCTCTCAAGAGATCAGTTATGTGTGTGTGTTTTTGTATGTCCACATTATGGGGTTTTTTTTTTCACTGTGTCTGACAGGTATCCCAGATTGTAGTGAGGAGGATCTGTCTGTGGCCCGAGCTCTGAACCTGAGGTGGACGACAGTGCTGGACAGTGACCAAGACGGGAAACAAACTTTGATTAACTCTGATGAGGTTAGCACCGTTGATAATGACCAACCCATCAATACTATACAAAGGACTCATGATTATTAAACTATGATAAGTTGATTAAGCCTAGTATGAAGTGAATGCTTTTGCCCTCCTCTTTTGTCCCCTTCTTGTTGTAGTTCTCCGGCCTCAGCAGAGAGGAGGCCTTTGACGCCATTACCCAGAAGGCCAGAGAGCACAAGGTCGGCGGCCATCTTACCAGCTCCAAACTCAGGGACTGGTTGATATCAAGACAGCGGTACTGGGGCACCCCCATCCCTGTGGTGCATTGTGGGTCTTGCGGTCCAGTTGCAGTCCCTGAGGAGGAATTACCAGTGATATTACCAAAGTTGCCGTCTCTGACAGGAAAGGGGGCGTCGCCTCTGAAGGCTGCTCATGACTGGGTCAACTGTAAATGTCCCAGGTGAGAACAATGCGATGCATTATTTGATTTTTAGTTGTTATATTTATTGGGACATTACACCTGAACTGATGTGTATGCTTCATGTTATCATCAATATAATACATCCTGAGGTAAACCCTGTTTTGGATACATGTATTTATAGTATCCGTTAGTCCTCTTTAGTTATCTTATAAAAATACCATATTTGATTTTTTTTTTTTGGCATTTTGTCATTGGCACTTTTTTAGTAGCTATTTTTGACTATTTTTGAATAATATCTCCAATAAGACATGCAACAAGCTTGCATTGTCTCCTCTCCAGGTACAGTGGAGTCAAAACTGTAGTAACTAATAGCCAATGTGTTTTTATGCCTCTGTACCAGCGACAGCCAGAGTCAGAGGCATTATATTTTCAGGTTGTCCATCTGTCCGTCCGTCCCATTGTCATGAATGTGATATCTCAGTAACACCTTGTGGCACAAACATTCACTTGGACTCAAAGATGAACTGAGTAGAATTTTACAATTTTACATGAACTTCCCCTAGGGGATAAATAAAGTATCTATCTATCTATCTATCTATCTATCTATCTATCTATCAAATGTCTAATATGATAAAATGATGAAGTGATGGACATTTTATATCCAAATGGTCAAAGGTCAACTTCACTCTGACATCAAAATGTTGCAAAAATACTTCTGGCCATTATTTAACGCTGTAAGTCAGGAAGGGGAGATTGTGAACATATTTCCTGCAGTTTGGTTGGTGGAGGCATACAACCACGAGCAATTACTTCTAGTTATTCTATAATCACTTATTAATGTATTGTCTTGTAATGCTAGTGTGGTCTCCCTGTCGATATTAAAATGCATGCAGAAATGCTCAATGGGTACAGGTAAACAATCCACATGTTCTTACTTGTGAAACGTTTGTCTGTATATAATTATTCACATACTGTAGCAGCTAGTTCTGCTTGTCAGCTGCAGCTCATTAGCCAAGAACAAAATAATGTATTTTTCTTCAAGTTGGAGGTCGCCTTGGCTCAAAGTCAGCGCCAAAGTATGAGATAATGATACAGCTAGAAGATTTACCTTGTGAAGTTGTACACAGCCACAAGCTAATAACCAACAATTAAACTAGACAGTATGCTGATCTGTAGCGCAATTCTTTTTGAGTAGACTGTCATCTCTTGGCTCGTCACCTTCTGCAGCTGACACTCGGGGATATGAAATAAGAAAACACACTAAATGTAACTACAAGTCTACATTAGTGTTGCCAAATCTACCAGACAGACCAATCTTCAAGATTTGCACTTAAAGGAATAGTTCGACCTTTTGGGAAAAATATACTTATTTGTTTTCTTACTGAGGCAAAGACAAGTGTGAATGGTTGAAAGAAGATTAATGACACAACAAAGACTAAAATACATACAGAATTTTGTTGGTTTTACTTTTTCATACTCTCAACAATAACTCCAGTCTTCTAAGTTAGAGGGTAAAATTACACTTTGGTGGATCTGGTCACAGCTTGTAGGCATAAGCCAAAAATATTAGGAAGCACTGACTTAAACAGACGATCTGGACATGGCTTTAAAATAGCGACCTCTGTGTTGTCTAATTCTGAGTATTTACATTTCATCAAACATGATCCTAAGATTTGAAAAGTCTTGTCCAACTGATTTATAGGAACCTCAGGTGTGGATCTTAGACACCATTTGCGCAGTAAGCAAACCACCCTGCTGAAGTGCCCTTGAGCCATTCACTGAGTCACCACCACCACCTCCTGAAGCACTGCAACATTAGCAGATCAGCAGCCCCTCTCAGCTCTGTGAAGTTGTAAATAGGATGCAGAGAGGGTGGAGGAAGTGTTATTTCTTTTTAGCACAACATAAGCGAATAGGGAAATGATCCTGTCCATTATGGTGTTTGCAGAGTGAGAATTGAATTATGTGTAAACTCTCTCCAGTGACAGCCTCCCCTCCGTACTTCCTGTATTTCCTCAGGAGACTAGCACTGACATAAATGAGCCGGCTGTCATGCGGGCTGAGAGGACTGACAGCTTTACAAGAGCACAGAGAGCACTGCGATCGGGCCTGTGAATTGTGTGATTAATACTTTTGTTCTGACGGGGTTATGTAATGAGTGGCATCTGTGACAGGAGCAGCATGAGATGATGATGATGGAGGTTACATAAACCAGCTGTGCCTCGAGAAACACACACACACACACACACACACAAACAAATGCTGCACATGCACGCACACACCTTTACCTTTTGTAAGCGTAATCTCTCTCACACACACACACACACACACCTACCTCTCACCAGTACGTCATCTCAGAGAATGTGTTTGATAATGTTGTGTGACTGCAGAATGCACACTCAGCCGGCGCCTCTAGAGTCCCTCGCTGACATGGGAATTCCTCTCTGAATAAGACTAATCACCATCATGACACCATGTTGATTAAAACAATGGCCCACTCAGCCGCAGATGGCACAAGTCATCAGATTGTGTTCACTCACTTCCACAAAGCTACTATAATTCCTCCCATCAGCGGTGATTGATGGCTATAATCAGTAAGACACCGTTATCTCCCCTCTTCCCGTCTCCCCTCTGTTGTTAAGTGTCTGTGGAAATTTGTTCTCTTCACTCGTCGACCATGTCCAATTAAAGTTTGAGGGGAACACAGACGTGCGGAGTGATGAGAGACGGGCGACAGAAATGGAGTTTTATCTGTCCTTGAGGAAGTCATTTCCTGTGTGCTCGTCTCGTCTCTGACCCTCCGCACCACTGGAAATTGGCCTGCCAACTGAACCCTGCCTCAGCTTAGCCTGGCAAGGAAGGTGTGCATGCAAGTGTGTGTTGTTCCATGAATTCGCAGGTAAAGCGAGAAACCTCCTAGTTAGCACAGCACACACACACACACACACATTTGCAGGCAGTCACGCCGACACACAGCAGATGGAGGGCTATTTTCCATGGGAATAGAGCCTTCGTGGAGTGGGCAGCTGCCTCTCTTGCCTCATCTGTTTGAGAGCCTTTTGGCTCTTTCTGGCTCATCCTGCAAACACACACTCATGCACACAGGTTGCTTCAGATTTAATTACTTAGCTTAGTTGTTTACGCTCTTTTCATGGTTTCGAGAAGAGCCATCTCCACAGACACACCTGTGTGCGTTGTCTAATGTGATCCTCAGTAGTGTGACTGTAGCCGGTATCAGCTGTCTGTCAAATTACTGCAACCTGGCCTGTGATTGGCCAGCTTGGCGTGATAGATGAGGTGAGAAATCTCACTCACTCAAGCACAATTTTCCATATTTTGTGAGATTTCTATTTTTGGATGCTTTTGTGGTGTAACGGGCTTCGTCATACTTCTGGGTTTTCATTGTATGAAATAACACCTGGCTTCCAAATATTAACCTTGCTACACCTTAGCCTTGTTGCTAGGCAACGTTCAGCTCTTACCTCATCATCACAGCCTTATTATAGACTGGTATATTAGTTGATCGAGGGGTTTTGCCTCTTGATGTGTGTGTCTGTATTATTGAGTGTGAGATTTAAAAAAAAAAAAAAAAAAAAAAAAAAGACTTTAATACAAATGTTTGTTCTGAGAGAAAACGTTAGACAGAGAGACCGAAAGACAAAATAGAGACATCCCATAAGGTCCAGGAAATGATACCTGCTCTGTTGCACATGCTGTAGCAAAGCTCAGAGCTCCTTTTCTGTTTATCTTTCTGGGACACTGATTTTAACTCTACCGAGACTCATTATAAAGTAAAAGGCAGACGCTTTCACTGTTCCATTAAGTGCTTTAAATCTGAAAGAAAACTCTCTCCAGAAGCTCTTTTCCCGTATCTTTGCGGACGTCCTCTCCTCCACTGTGAAAGTGATGTTGGCAGATTCGCATCACGTACCCAAGTGCTGTTTGGCTTGGATAGAAAGGGGCGCGAGGTGGCATTTCCAACACAAACACATGATCATGTGTTCGGCCTGCCAGTTCGCTCCCTGTTAGCACAGCCTGTTAGTCAGGGCACAGGAACAGAGCTCTGGTGCCAGTCTGGCTTCAGCTTTGCTTCCCTACAGGGACATGACCCCCACAGCCAGATGGAGCCAGCTTTACACTCACACTCACACACATACACACACACACACACACACACACACACACACACACACACACGAATCACATAATGTGCCATTTCTCTAAGCATACAAACAAGGATCATTCATTTGTTCGCTTTCTAGTTTGTCAGCCTAATATTGATTTTTGTGCGGCCTCTCCCAACTGTCTGTGTCTCTCTCTCCTGTCAGATGTAAAGGCCCAGCGAGGAGGGAGACCGACACCATGGACACATTCGTGGACTCAGCCTGGTATTACTTTAGATACACGGACCCTCAAAACCCAGACAGGTACGTACATGTCCTCAGAGTTCACTTATTTATTTCCTTTTCCTCTTACATCTTATTTTCTGACACTCTGACAGATTTTTAGCACAAATTGCACACATCTTATTTTCACCCTCTGTTTAAATAAAAATGAAAAGAAAGTCGTGGAAAGAGGTTGGTGGAGGAGATACTAAAAAATAAATTTTTCTTTATATAATCTTTGCTAAATAATACAAACTTGATTTTTCTCTCATGCCTCACACCCACACGTCCACACACACACACACACTTTGTTCTGTATGAGCTCTTGGAAAGTTACACTCAAACACATAATTATGCTCGCTGTAAGATCAACCGCTCTCTGCCGCTTACCCATTTCAAACATGTATATACTGCCTGTGTGCACTCTTTTTAACACACACTCTCACTCACTCACGTACGCACACACTCGCCTGAAAGTTGAATTCCCTGCCAATAGAGATTATGGGGCCTCGGCTGTCACCTGCTGGGATGGTGGCGATACCCTGAGCTTAACAAAAGAGATTAATTTCCCAGTGCCCTGACCTAGCTGTAAAGCTGCTTTAAAGGGGAGGGGCGCTGCTCCCCCCATCACTTTTCTTAGCGGGACAGATTATGGCACAACAGAAAAAGCAATTACACTATTTGTGCATTTCAGTTGGCCTGCTGAGACTTATGTGCGCAAGAGATGCTGAAAGTTGCAAGTAAGAAGAAGGAAATGGAAACAGGGCGTAAAGTGTGTGTGTGTGTGTGTGTGTGTGTGTGTGTGTGTGTGTGTGTGTGTGTGTGTGTGTTTGTGGTTATGTATTAGACTTCCCCTGGCCTGATGCCAACTAACAGGCTAAATTATTTTCAGCCTTGTGAGTTCATAACTCTTTTTCCCCCGGTTCAATTATCCGTAGACACCATCAGCCAGAGACGGAGGGCGAGAGGCAGAGAGGTGTGGAGGAGAGTAATGACTGGTGTGAAAGGTGGCGCACAGAGATAGCAGACTGTCCCAAAAAGCATCATTACTGTAGGTGGAAACCCTGCCTCTGCTGACCATCATGCCAGTCAGGCTAACCACATGCTGCTTCCCTGTTGAAATCTTTACTTAACTGTTGTCATGAGAAGCTGAGCACAGAGGGAGTCTTCAGAGCTGAACTTTAAACACACAGTACTTTAGTACTTTTTTTTTTCTGAGAGTGTGAAGCCAGTAGGATAGATGAGGCTTTAGGATGCTTCTGTGAGCTTCATCAATGGATGCTTGTGTGTCAGATTCAGGCTGCCCCCTAGAGGAACGGTGTGTACATATCTAACAAAGCACATAACGGCCGCTGCCATCTGGTAAAATGATTTTGAAGTCTGCTTTGCGGCATTCGCTTGCTGATTAATCTAATGATAATAATGACTATAATAATAAACTTTACACATTACATTTCAAAACAAAGTTACAATCAGCTCAACACTAGAAAAGTTACATTAAACGTTTTAGCAGCACAAATGAGAAAAAGTCAGGAAAGTATTCCAGATATTGTACAATGCATCAACAAAACAGAGTGAAATGAACAAATCCTACAAGTGAAAAAATAAAACACAGTGGTAACATAAGTAAAAGGTTTTAAATCTAGTACCATCCAGCAAACCTGTCTCCAGGCCGACAAAGCTCCTATTCCTGCTGTTTTAAACGTGTAGTGTTTGTGTTTCCTGGGAAGAATATAAACCCTATGGAACAGGAAGTCATACGTTTGATATTTATAGAAGAAGCAACAGCAGTTTTCTGTGAATAAAATCAAAAAAGAAGAGAGTAGTTGGCATGAGCAGTGAAAGCCTCCACGGATGAATGAAAAGAAATCTGCCTAAACTTCCTCTGCAGAAACTCTTAAGGAGAGAAAAAAGATGTCACAGTGCTTGTCGCAGACAAATGATCTCAGTGAAGTACAAAAACGAAGACTGCAGAAATGACCACTTTGCGAAGTGTTAAAGAACTTCGAAAATCTTGTAGTCTCCCACCCACGCTGACACTTTTACTGTTACTTTTTAACTCAACGTTTCTCTCGATGTCACCATAACATGAGTTACCAGTCAGCACTTCACATTTCACCGCCTCCCTAAACCTGTGTTTCCTCTCCAGGCCTTTTGAGCGCCGCCTCGCAGATCACTGGCTGCCCGTGGACGTGTACATCGGAGGGAAGGAGCACGCCGTCATGCACTTGTACTATGCTCGCTTCCTGTGTCACTTCTGCAAGGACCAGAGTCTGGTGGCTCACAGGTGGAGTTACACTGTGGTTTATCTGCTCTCGCCGTGCATGGACATTTTTTTGTGTATGTATGTTAATGAGCCCCATTTCTGTCTTCCAGGGAGCCTTTTCGGAAGCTGCTGGTCCAGGGTCTGATCAAGGGCCAGACTTTCAAACTGGCTGACAGCCGCCAGTACTTAAAGAGAGAAGAAATAGACTTCACAGGTACACACTACCTAAATCTGCAAGCTGTGACACATCAGTAACACATGAGAGAGGAGAGGGCTTCCCTCCGTGTGGGTCTGCCAGATAAAACTGCTCACAAAGGCACTGTTTAGGAAAATACATATTTCCTCTTTTTATGGTAGCATGTAGTGGCACCAGTATCTCACCTCATCCTTTGTTCTGCTCATAGAGATCCCTCTCTGCTTTGTGCTTTATAGCTTTGCTCAAATGATTGACATGTTAACCAGCTCCTCTTGACAAAAGTCAAATCACAAGAAATCCTTTGAAGAATCCTCTTAAAATTGACTTCATGCCCAAGGATTTTCAGCTTCTCTCTATTGCTTGGTAACGGGATAAACACAAGATATTGGAGGCTTACAGAGAAAAGGAAGCATCTTGATCGCTGTGTTACAGGCTCAGATTGACTAGGCCTTACATATTTTTCTTTTTTCTGTCTTTTACTAAATGTGATCAAGCAGGAGCTAATGAGAAGCAATAAAAATGACAGATATTAATTAAGATGGGGTTACAATGTAATTTAGCAACCAACCAACAACCAACAGTGAAATTGAAATGAGCTGAAAAAGCAAGGAGAGGACAGCAAGAGTATGACACTTTGCCCAGCCATCTCTGATCTGCGGCTCCTGACACGCTTACAGGTGAGGAGCCAGTGGCATTGGGCGGTGGTCGTATTGAGGTGACGTGGGAGAAGATGAGCAAGTCAAAACACAACGGTCTGGACCCCCAAGAGGTGGTGCAGCAGTACGGCGTGGACACGGTTCGACTCTACATCCTTTACGCTGCACCGCCCGAACAGGACATCCTCTGGAACGTCAAGAGTGAGTCTTAAGCCACTGCCTTTTCAATTTAGAGTCACACAGGACGTTGGTTTTGTAAAAAAGCGTTCCCTACTGTATATGCCATGAATTGCTTCCTCAAAGGAATCAGTTGTTGTCAGATGAAGGTGATTTATTTTTGAAAAGCTTGTTTCTCCCACAGTATGTCAAAGTATCCTTTTCTTCTGTGTCTGTGTGTGTTCACCACCTCAGCGGATGCCCTCCCTGGGGTTCTGCGGTGGCAGTCTCGATTGTGGCAGCTGGTGACCAAGCTGAGGGGGGCTCGGCAACTCGTAGATTTCCCCAACCCCTCACTGCTGAAGAAGAAGGAGCTGGCAGAGAGTAAAAAGATCTGGGACAATAAGAACTACGCTATTCAAGAGGTAACAACTCCATAGCCTCAGACTGGCTTTGATCTTGAATGAATGGCTGAAAATGTGTCATGGTGACATTATGTAACAGTGAGATATTTGCAACAGGCCTGACCAGTAGGGGTCATTAATGGGCCCATTTTTAAAATCTCAGCGTTTCACAGCACTTAAGCGTTCATCTTCATTGAACACGATACCCTACAGCATCCGTCTCCTTGGTCTATTTTGAATTTAATTTCTCTGCTTGCACCAATTATTTTTGGTTGTTGTTTTTTTTTTTTTTTTTTAATGTGCAGTATTAAATATTTCATTTCCTTTATCCTTTTAACACTGCACTAGAATTAGCAGTTGGAAGCTAAGATACCAAGTTAGAGGGTACTGTGTGATAGCTTGACTTCAAGGTAATATGTCACTCATCACACTGCCCAGCAGTGCATCGTCCCGCGTTCCAGCCTCTCAAGCCAACGCCGAACATCCATCGCAACCTGAAACCCCCAGAGTAAAGAGTAAAAGAAGGGGATGGAAATTGATTTTAAATCCACTCGGTCTCCTTTCACACTTTATAAATAGCCTCCTTTGGCTGCCAGGTTTGATTCTTTCTCTCCACCCCTAAGGGCTAGAGCTTTTAAAGGACCTCAGGCTGTTTGCCATAAGCCCCAAAGCCGAGGCTGTCCTTTGATCCGTCCCTCAGAAAAGCCTCGGTCATCGACCTCCTCCTCCCTCAGGCCCTTCCCAAATGGGTTTTTCTTCCCAGAGGGCTAAGCAGGGGAATGCTGACACGGTGTGTGCCTTCAGCTGGTACACATGGTGATAACAGGGAGGAGGCTACTGTCATTGTTTTCTTTTTTTTTTTTTTTACTATTATTATTTTTTCAGGCATTTGAAGCCTTTATTTGATAGCCACAGTGGAGACAGAGTGAAAGGGAATGACATGCAGCAAACAGTCCAGCTGGCGAGGGTGTTTGCGCCCTAACCATTTGGCTATTGGGTCGACCCCGTAGTGTTTTTTATAATAATTCTTCAGAGGCTGGCTCAAAGTTTTTTCCATGACACAGTCTGTCAGTCTGTCTGGAAACATCTGTCTGTCCAGGACCAAAACAGCACAAAAAGCCTCAGACTTTATTATTTTTTCCTAATTGAGTGCTGTGTTGTTATTTTTAGGTGACATCTAACTTCACAGAGGACTTCCTTTTCAACGCAGCCATTTCTCGTCTGATGGGATTTACCAACACACTGAGTGTGAGTGTGCCCTCTGGTATCTACAAATAAAGAATCCCTCTTATCCTTTATTTCTAAACACACATCACATTTTTCCCCACTATGTATGTGTGTGTGTGTGTGTGTGTGTGTGTGTGTGTGTGTGTGTGTGTGTGTTCAGAGTGCAACAGTCAGGGTGGTGCAGCACAGCGTGGAGTATGAGGAGGCTCTGGCTGTGCTGGTGATGATGACAGCACCCATGGCCCCTCACCTGGCTTCTGAACTTTGGGCAGGTGGGAGACATGTGAACTCTTCATAAAAAAATAAATGATTCCCTCATGCATGTGCACGCTTTGTATTCACTCAGGGTAAAATAGTTGGCAACCAATCAGTCAGTCAAGCTTTTAAAGTGCTTCGCAGATCACTGATAATCTAAAAAGAAAAGGGCAAATCAAGTAAGAAAGCTGACAATGAGATGCAATAAAATCGATTTAAAAAGCTATAATAACATTAGCGAACAAAATAAATAAATAAATAAAAGATAAAAGCAGATAAAATAGAATAAAATACTATAATAAAAAATAGGTAAAAAGAATAAAATACAATTTAGAACATAATTACAAAAAAGTAAGTGAATGTGACTAATGACTAAAAACCATATTTAATGAAAAGCCAGGCTGAAGTGATATGTTTTGAGTTTACGTTTTCAAAATTACGGCAGGAGGAACGTGGACTGTGGAGACTGGAGAATAAATACCCAATGATAATTGCACATAATTTAACTTTACCTAATTGTGTCACAATGGTGAAAGTATGTAAAATTTGGGGTAAAAAAGTGTATCTTTTGATGACTGTAATAGGAAGTTGCCTCAGATAAACGTAATGTTAACTGTACTGCTTATCTAGCACCAGTGAACGCCCAGCGCTGATGTAATCCACAGTTAAGTCAGTGAGTGAAACTTGTCATTGAGACTTTTACCTCCTAAACAAATCTACAGTGCCTTTCACCTGAAACACACACACTGTCCTTCAAATGAAACTGAAAGCAGTATCAAGAGCTCTTGACCTATAGTAGAAAACAAACAATAGAGAGGAAGGTCTAGCGTCACTTTTCATGCCTCGTATGAATGCTTGCCCCCTGGCTGGCCTGGAGGACATCCCCTTATTGTCATGATGACACACGTACACAAAATTTCTGCGCACAGCTGAGAGAAAAGAGGTTCCGGAAAAACACATGGTCCAGCTGATAGCCAGAGTCAGGAAAACATGATGGATCATCGCAGGGTGGAAGAGGTGTGAGTGTTTTTTAATAAGTGGCTTGTGTGCATTTTGGTTGTGCGCATATGTAGTTTTAAAACTGCCTTATAAACAGGACATACTAGCGAGGGACGTGTGACCCCTGCTGCACTCAGTCACGTTGTACTTTTTCTAACTCTCACTCGTTGTTTGTAATTTTACACACACACGCAGGGCAGGATAGAGGAAGTTCACATCCTTCCCTTGTGCCTCCAGTGGGATGTACACTCGCTGGTTTAACTGAGAGTCAGGGAGGGGGGGTGGTGGGATAGCTGGGTTGTTTGACCCTTCTTCGAGATATTTTTTCTCAACACGAAGAGAAACAAATTGGGTGAAAAGCAACAGAAAATTTACCCCATCTATTTTTCTGGCTTGCTATACTAAAAGACGATGTCACTTTGTTCTGGTCTATTTTCAAACATTTTTCTTCCTGTTCCTTGGATGAGAAGGTGTAATGGCTTTTTCTCTGTACTTCAGCATATGAGACCATCTCCTTAGTGGGTCAGTGTGTTGTATTGTGAGTGATGCCCCTCTTTGTTTCCTCCTGGGTCGCCCCCAGGTCTTTGCCAAGTGAAAAACCCCCTCAGCCCCCTGCTCCGGCGGGGAGGAGACATCCTGCAACAGTCATGGCCAACTGTGGATCCTGAGTACCTGAAGGTCCCTGACTTTGTGGAGCTGTCTGTACTGGTAAGATCACTCACACTCTCTCAGACACGAACGCACACACATGCACTCAGTTTAGCCCACAGCATCTTCAGTCTTTTGGACCATTTTCTTTTGTTGTTTGGAGGTTTGAAGACAAAAGAAAAAGTTCTTAAACAAAGCTCTCATTTTTCTTATTTTTTAATTTTGAAGATAAAAGGTTTCCGCTCAGCAACAGCACTTGGCTCATTATTTAAACATAACTTTATTAATAGTTATATACACACACATTTTCTCCTGCATCTCCTGGCATTTTCACTCAAACTCTACTCTTGAACCCAAAGTCTTAGGTCCATGATTGCAGTCATAGTCTGTAATTTTCAAGAGAGCCTATGATTAGCCTGTACATGTGTGTGCACACGCCTGTGTGTGTGTGTGTGTGTGTGTGTGTGTGTGTGTGTCTGTGTGTTAATGCATCCGTATGTCAAGTGGTAGGCTTTAAGCTAAATAGACAAGTGGGTCAATAATTAAAAGCCCGGAGCAGAGACACCATGTTATTCCTGACTCTCTCACTCTCATTTCTTGTGCTTTTTTTTTTCTGCCTGTGAGCCTCAATCACACAGATGGTGAAAGCCCTCAGTTTGTCGGTGTATGTCATCATCAGGAATGACAGTGTGTGTATGGGTGTTGTGCTTGTGTGAGAGCACTTTCAAAGGCCTACAGACAATCAGAGGGAATATCCAGCTGTGAATGGGAAGGTTCAGAAAATCAACTGGGATCGGATCCAGGCATCACACATGCTCACACTGGCACATGGATTCACACAAACACACACATAAACGCACACACACACGTGTCAGTCTTCACACTAACATAAACATTGACTCAGTTAATAGATAAAAGCTCAAACTGATTTAATCTGACTGTTTTCGCCCTAGCTGGTCATATCCACTGAGAGAATCCCCCTAATCCCCTCTCTCTCTCTCACACACACACACACACACACACACACACGCACACACGCACGCACACATACACACATACACATGTTATATGTGATGACAGCAAACACAGTCAGCTGACTAACAGCACCTGTCTTTCACCGGTTGGATTCTCCCTCTGTGCTGTAGCAGAGACAAAAAAGACAATACATGAAGTAAAGAAAACCCGGAGAGTATCGCATGTGTATGTGTATGTGCATGAGTGTGTGTGTGTGTGTTTCTCTTCCAACCCATATGTGCTTTGACTGCGAGTGAAAAAAACACTCCTTAACACTTTTCATTTCTGCATTCTTGTTTACCTCTTGTTCATCTGTCATACACAAAAGTCATGAATCCTATACACACCCTCTCCCCTAACGCGCACACACATACACAGAGTACGTATATTTGAGCTCCCACTGCTCGATGATGATGATGTTGGTTTTTACTTCGGACTGAGCTCTCTGTTGTGGGCGTCCTCGGCCCTGTGGAGGCAACCTCACTCCCTCGGTCCTCTAATCACGTACTTGGGTTTGTCCCAGAAGGGAGGCCAAGGCTGCTCGGCCTCAGGCACACACACACACACACACACACACACACAAACACACACACACACACACACACACACACACACACACACACACACAAACACACAAACATATAAACACACATACACACCATTAATTTTCACAACCACTTCCAGAGACATGATCACATTCGCTTTGTGCACACATACACTTGTTTCTAAACATACAAGACGTGAGTGCCCTTCCCATACCTACCACTAACTATGTGTATATGTGGAAGGAGAGGTGGAGTCTGTTATTTTGGGACTTTTATGTCAGGAGGGAAGACTTTGGTTACAGCTTGACATGGCAGATGGAGACTGAACAGTTTCGTAACTTCTCCCATCTATTTACTTCTCAATTGTCACTCTCAGATAAACAACAAGGCCTGTGGGACAGTGACGGTGCCACTGCAGGCGTCCAAAGATACAGAGCGGGTGCAGCAGCTGATCCTGGAGAGCCCGCTCGGACAGAAGTTTCTCAGCGAGCGCAGCATCAAGAGAGCCATCCTCTCCCAGAGGACCGCCCTCATCAACTTCCTCATTGATTAGTGACGCTTGGGCGTTTACCGCTCCGGTCAATCAGTGATTCAGCACAGGGAGATGTCAATGTAAATATGTCTAAAGACATTTTATTTATATTTTCTGTTTTTAATAAAAGACTCAAGGCGCAGTGAGTTTCTCCCTTTTCTTCTTTTGTATCTTTTGTAAATTGCCAAGTGAGATTTAGCACCTGTCTCTTTCAGATCACCCCCCTCATTTAGTTAGACCCTCTTGGCAATCTCACATGAGCCCAAACACCACTTCAAATTCCAGTCAGCATTCTCACCCCCCCCCCACCCCCCCACCCCTTTTCTCCCCTAACACCACTTCTAGCATCACACCAAGAACCACAACTTCACACCTCTGTGTCTGCCATATGCCTGTCTGCCCGTTGTCGCAGCAGAGTCACGCACTCATGATCTGCCTTATCAGTGTTCGTCTCCACCTCTGGTGCCGCTTTTAGCCACAGATCTCGTCTGAGCACCATACATGGGCCACTGTTTGGCTTCTGGAAACCTGTCGCCATCAGAGGGTCTGTTAGAGATATCTGACCACATCATGGTCGTCCATTGCTGCACTGTGCCCATTCATCAGCTCAGTCTCTCTGTGTCAATATTGGGCCAACATGACTCAGCCATTAGCACCGTCCTGGTAGAGAGCATGAGCCAGCGGCACTGAAATGTATCCGTGTGTACGCCCACTGACCTCTGTCTTTAAAGGTTGTGTGAGTAAGCAGCTTTCTGATATGTACAAGCATTCGTCTTCACGACTTGCCGTGCCCACGTCTCCACTTGATCCAAGAGTTTCAGTAGCTGCACAATAAAAGTATCGTATTTTGTCAGGTATCCGTGTGAGAATGAACAAGAATGAATGTGATCTCTTTGAAAGGTGAGATACACGTGTCAATTTTGCAAGGTCAGCTTCTGTTTGAGGGCAGTGCTTTTATTTCTACAGCATGAGACGGTCGGCTTGTGACTGATAAAATCATTCCGTATCTTATTATGTGAATAATGGAAGACTGGTTTGTTTTTTATTAAAACACGACAAATTAAAAAAAAAAAAAAAGTGCGGACAGGAGGGAAAACAGAACGTTCCCTACTGATCCCCCCAAACCTTTTCTTTTCTCCATATTTTTAGGCTGTATCTCTGACCATCAGGTGACAGGAAAAGGTTCTCAGAAGAGACAGAATAACAGGAAGAGAAACCAGGAATAAGAGAAGGGGAGCAAAGAGTCAAAGCTGTGTTAGTTATTCGCTACATTCTCTCAGATTCTGAGAATTTTATTTCAATCAGATGCTGTCACAGCACAAAACATGAAGTGGTTTTGTGAGTACAGGATAAAGATAGACAGGCATTTATTTCCTGTCACATCATCTTTCTGTGTGCCATATTTTCTTTCACACATTCAGACTGGCTGTATGAAATAAGTTAAAATAGATTTTAACCCCTGAACCCTTCTTTTTTCTTTTTGTTATCACACCTTCCTTTTCACTTTGCTGCCTAGTCACACAGCTAATAAACAAGTTTGAACTTGAACCGACCTGAACAATAAACTGAAGTTGCTGTGTCATTGAAAAGAGCAACAGCATAGCCATTTTTAGGTGGGTCAGAAATGCCAGGGAATTCTTCCCAGGCTGAAGTTACCAAATGTTTGAATAAATAGATAAGTAGGATATTTCTGAAGTGTTCTTTTGTAAATTAAGGTCTGAGCTGTACTGATGCATTTCCTGTAATAATTAATTTTGTCACTGACAGCCCCTGAAGTCATTTAACACTTTTCGTCAGCTCTGCAGTTTCCATGACAACTAGGGTTATTGAATAAGCAACAGTATTCCACTGTGACTCACTTTCTCTTCAGACCACAGTCATAGTCTTTCTTACACATTAGATGTACAACATGATTTGTCTTTGAGGAGGTAAAGAAAATCACTCCCCTTCCTCTTGAGCAACTCTGCTGGTGGAAAAAAAGAAAGGGTGGGGTGCACAGCGCAGTCACAGTCACCCTCCGCTGCACCAGTCCAGTCCCTGGATTCGGTTGTGTATTCTCACAGGACGACGCAGTAATGCCACAGCTCATTATCTTGGAGTCTGACCTCAAGGCTGGTAATTTGGTCATCCGTGGATGTTTTTTGCATGAGCTCATTGTATAAGCAGATTTTCACTAGTCCTTTAATTGTGTTGAGGATAAAGCTAAACTCTTGGCATGTATGTGAAGGCCCCACACTTGCCAAAGTTATTCATTTATTGACTGTACCTCTCCATAGTAACAGTGTTTTTTCAGTCATTTTGGCCTTTTGTGATTGTAAAGTGGCCAGTGCTGTGCAAAAGAACACACACAGGTGTGACATATTTTGTCCTAGTTGCAGTATATATTTTGTTTGCATACACTGTATGCAGTCTTTACTGCATGTAAAATCGTGTAAAAGCAACATCAAGGTGAGGGCAGTTATTATTTTCTCGTCCACTCTTCTTATCTACCAGAACTTTATTACAATTTTCTAAACAAATCTAAATAAAATCTTTTGCATCCATCCAGAGCAGCTGCTGCCAAACATTAATCACTCAGTGGCTGACTCTTCCTCAGTGCTGCAACTGCTTCAAAGTAAAAGCCCAACAAAGTAAAAACCAGTAATTGCTGCTCTATTTGAATTTGACTGTTTTGCCATTGAATATGCTTTTATGCAAATGGTTTTGCCTAACAGTAAAACAAACTGTTTGACTCCTAATCAACAGTCTATAGTATAGAGAGTGTTGTATAATGTGTATTTTTGTAAAGCCTTCTGAGATAAGTACTGTCTTGACTGCTTGTTCTATGGCAGCAGCAGATATTTCAATTAAAGAATGACAATAAAGCTTTGTATTATAAAATATTAGACTTATTAGGAAAATATCAAAATATCAATTATTTACATCATCAACTTTTGAGAGAAAATTTTGTGAATGAGATGTTTGTTTGATACTGCCCCTTTTGCTCACCCCCTAAGATCGCTAAGTAGAAATGGACATATGAACTGGAAAGTTCTAATTGGTATCATTCTATTTTTTGTCCATTAATGATGCACTTAAATCACAAATGAGCCAATTAATGTAGCTGGTGAAACCCAATGACCTCAAGTTTTCCAAAACCCCTGCTGTTATTAACACATGTTTGAATTCACCTCACTAGATATTGCAAGAGGAATTTGCAAAACACACAAGTTAATGTGGAATATGACATGTCAGCATCTTGAGCATCAGGGTATCTGGGTAACAGCTTTCTGTTACGTTTTATAAGTAAATGCCAATATATTATATATTCATAGTTCCTGCTCCGTTCTTTCAAATATTGACTGACGCATTTTATAACCTTCTCTGTTAATAACATCAGTTTGCATGTGATCGCGTGGGCAAAAGTCCCAGAGAACAATAATACCCTCAGCTGTTTTAGTGAATGTGTGTGAGAAAGAAGTAAAGCAAGTTAAGCCTCTTGCTTGAAGGGAAGGTAGTACTATGGTGACTGTTTCCTAAACATACAGATGGCTGTGCCCTATAAACCTTCTGTTTTAATTAAAGCACCAACAGCAGCCAAGAGGCCCCTTCAACATACTGACTCCATATCTTTTCACATCAACAGGGACTGTCAGATAATACGTGCACACTTGGGCTTCAAATAAACACAAATAAATGTGTTCCCGTGTGTTTGTCTATTTTTTCCATTCGCATTGTATGAGTTCATCCCACTGTACCCCAACTCAGTCTCAAATGTTCCAGTCAGGGTTAGGACACAGTGTAGAGGGGGTCACATGTGGTGTGTGTGTGTGTGTGTGTGTGTGTGTGTGTGTGTGTGTGTGTGTGTGTGTGTGTGTGTGTGTGTGTGTGTGTGTGTGTGTGTGTGTCGGGAATGTGTGACGTCATTCAACCAAAACAGGGGGCACAGGCACTGTAAATAGCCCCCCTTCACCACGACTAAAACACACCCATAGGCAGTAGTTATAATATAGTTATATGGTTTTGTTCTGCTTCACAGATTGTTTATGAGATGTGTGGAAAACTTTAAAGTCAGAGTCACACATGTTACATTTTAATCACTGAGCTTATCTAACAATGCTGGTAAATCATAATCAAATGTATATCTACCGTATGTAACTGCATGAAAGTTATGCAAGATAACATGTTTCCCTACCAAATGTATCACAAAATAATTGCCCATCCCGCATTTACTTTAATGTATTATCCCTCGTCTCTAACCATAACTAAACCCATAAGCAGTGGTAGCCTAGATGAAATATTCAAATATTTTATTTAAGTAAAAGTATCAATATCCTGATCTAATAAGTCCTGAATTGGAAGTGTTAATTAAATGTATAATGTAATTTGGCCTACTATTAGCCAAATGTACTGAATATGTGCTGTAGCCTATATGTTGTTGGTTAGTTGAATATTTTATAAGCATATCAAATGTTTGGTAGTCTATGTAAAATCTTAATAACCAACTGTCTGTGACATTCATGGAGTAAAGAGCCAGATTACTTAAGTAAATTTAGTTACATTCCTCCACTAGCCAAAGAAAAAAACTTGCTTAGTTCTGTCGTTTAATTTTATGGAGCAAAGGTAAAACGCTAAAGTTTGATTTGCTGATTCAAAGAGAAGCGACTGAGTCAACTTGTTCTCGATATTTTTTTTAAAGATGACACAGGATGTAAAGGTCCGGTTTTAACTGTCGTGGAACAGAAAGAATAGACCAAATTCCGCCCCCAGGTTCCGGTAGTTTAAACTAGACATACAGCTAGTTATTTATAACGTGTGTGATTAATGAGCCCAGCGCTACTCTCACCTCTACTTTTACTTGTAGCTTAATTTGAGCGCTGCGCCTTTAAAAACAAACTGTTCCATGTTTTCAGTCCCAACTGTCGAGTCGACCGGTGGCCACGTACGGGTCCGTGCTCTGACGGTTATCCCACGGTCTGGTCGTCAACAGTAAATTACTTTTATTAGATAACCGTCGCAATGTTAACCACATATGAGCTATTTTAACTACTCTGAAGTAGTTTTTTCTTGACAGACGTGCGGAGTATAAGGTTTTGAATGAAGGTTCCCCGCTGGGACTGTAAAGCGGGAGGAGGGGGCAGCTTGTGGTGGGGTCGTCCAGGCTATCGGATCTGGGATCTGCTCACAGTTAAAACCAGACAGACGGAGGCTTGTTCGGGCCAGAGCTGAGCTGGACGGTCGGACACTTCTCTCCGAAGAGGACACGGAGTTTTAAAGTTTTATTTATTCACCACGGACGATTTAAGGGACGGAAAAGTTGGAAATAACAAAGAAAAGTTTCACTCTGGATCTGGGCGCTTGTCTCCTGTCAGGACTGCGAGCTGCTGGACTGTAAGCTAATAATTCACTCTGGAAGTTATCACTTTTAACAGACTGCTAGCTAAGCTTTAGCTTTTAAATATAATTGGTTGGAACTTAACTTTATTGAAGCGGACACACAAAGTATCTTCAAAATGGATAAATACGAGGATTTAGGACTAGAGGCGAGTAAGTTTATCGAGGACCTCAACATGTATGAAGCATCCAGAGATGGTTTATTTCGAATGAGAAGGGACGCAGGAAATAACCCCGACTTTGAAGAGACACGAAGAGTTTTTGCCTCCAAAATGACTAAAATACACATGCAGAAACAGCAAGAGGAGATGGCAAAAAACAACCAGGCCATTAGAATGAATGGGGGTCACAACAGCACATATTACACTAAAGACAGACCGCCCATCAATAGTTACAGACAGCCGGGTGAAGCGGCAGCGAAGCCCCCGATACTCTCTGGTCCTGTGCCGGGCACCACGACCGGGAGTCCGTACGCACAGTTTGACGGCCAGAAACAACACACAGGCATCCAGTCTGAACTTCCAGCCGGCAGGGCATATGGCTACGGAAACAGTTACGATAATAAGGAGCGCTTAGAGCCACATTCATACCAGCACAACACCCCTACTCCCCCCAGCCCAGGAAACGCGTCTCATAGCGCGCCCACACATGCTCGTCACCCGGTCAGCCAGCCCGCTGCCTGGGCCCCATCCAGAGAGAGCCAGCTTTCCCCATCTTTGCCTGGGTCTGGGGGCAACAGTGCATCTCAGCAGCAGCCGCAGCGCCTTCCTGCACCCCCCACCGTCAACAGTCTTCCATCCCAGCAGAGTCAGGTCGTCACCCCTTCTGTAAACCGGAGTCCACCCTCCTCTGCTGGGCCAGCCATAGGATGGGCTGGAGAGCCTTCTGGATCAGCAAAACCAGACCTACTCCCAGCCCTGCCTCTGAGTGCCTTCACAGGAGGAGCTGATTTCCATGTGCAGCAGCCCTCCGTACAGCCTGCAGCCCATTATGCACCACCTTCTCCAACTTCAAGACCCTCTACTAGCCATAATGGTCCTGTGCCAGCTTCCCCTATCGTGCCTGCACCTTCTGAGACACCTCAACCCAAAGCCCAGGTGATATCCGCTACCTTGAGCCATGGCAATGTCTCCAAAAGCAGCAGCCAGGGCCAAGGTCAGAGCCAAATACCTAGCTATGGACAGGTTTCCAGAGTTGAAGCTGAAGTCCCATGTTCCCCCAAGCCTGTCCAGCTAACCTGCCAGCCTCTCCTCACACAACCCCCTGAACAGGGGCCTTCTGCTGCTGAAATAAAATTAGAAGCTCTCACTAAACGCCTGGAAAAAGAGATGGATGCCCAACCAAAGGCAGACTACTTTGGTAAGACTTTTCAGACTACCAACAAGGGGGCTTCTGTCTGTCTGTTAGACCACTGCTGTAAGGCCCATTGAATGACAGAACCGCCCACCCACAGATCAGAACATAAATCCACCTGTTTTTGATTTCATATTTACATATGCATACTGTCACTCTGTCATCTTTTTTCTATCTTTCCCTTACACAGAGACGGACACACAATATTTATGTATGACTTAATCAGGAGGGCATTCCAGTTGTCTTATGTCTTTGTTTGATGGCATTCTCAATGGTCTTTGGAGATAAAATAGCTGAATTTATTAGGCAGAAGCTGTAGGAGGTCTCTCTCTTTTCTTCTGTGGAATGCAGACAGAATAATTTTCTAATTTGTTTCATGTCGTCTTTTAAATGATTCATTGTCTGCCCCTCTGGCAGTTGCTACAAACCCTAGAGCAGTAAAAGGTGGGGCTGAGGACAGAAAGAGGAATGTTGCCCTTTTATCTCCTCACAGAAATGTAATGGGTTACTATTGAGTCAACATTGATGACTTAAGTCATTAGCTAGATCTTGATCACTTCTGTCAGGGTCGGTGCTCCACTTAGTCTGTGATTGTTTTAATATCCCTTCCACTGTCAAGTGACTGACAGTCGCATTCACTGTTTCCCATATGACGTAATTACTGCAGACCTGTGCTTGCACATTTCCCATTACTCTTTTTGTGAGCATGCCATGCATGCTTGTGCATGTGATGAACACATGCCACAATGAAAATGGTAATTAGTAACATCAACTGTGACTGTTAGTTCTGGATTTGAGGGCACATTAGGGACAAGTAACCAATGCTGCCCAGCATCAGCAGAGTACTATCACTGTTGTTAGTGCCTGTTGTACTTCAGCTGCTCTGTGTTCACTATAGAGGCTCTATCAGGAAATTAATGCAACATGGAAAAATGCACATGCTTTGTTGTGGCATCAGATGCAGATGCACTAAATAGGGAAGATATACTGTATCCTGCTGGGAGTGTGTTTTTGTTGGAGAGAAGGCTGGTGCTCACGTGTCGGCCAGGTGTTTGGAGCCAAGGCCATTCATGAAAACGGGATGTCCCACTTCACGAATGAAAGATAGTAGGAGGGGAGAGAACGCGAGGTTGGTGATGTCTTGTTTGAAGCCACAAAGCACCCCCATTACACACACACATACACACACACACATTTATACACACAGCCCACCCTCGCCTCCTCGCAGGAGGAATTTCCTGCTGGAATGTCACGATTGTAATTCTCAGCCTTCCTCAGCCCCCCTGTGTGCTTATATTGGTGTGTAAGGGAAGATGTTCTGGCGTACGTCACTGTCACGACAAGGCTCATGAATAGCACAGCGATGTGAATATTACAGAGCTGTGGGAGAGTACAGTGCGCAATCAGCAGAAGTGTAGGTTTTAAAGTAACACTGTGCATGTCTTTTCTCACACACACACACGTTCGCACATAACCCACACACGGTTCCTGTGAGGAGTTTTCCACCAGAACATGGCTCATCCTCTGAGTCATGCTTTTATGCCAGAAAAAAACTTGTGTAGGCAAGCTTTGTTCACAGAACTTTAGAGTCTTCATAATTCTGCGTAGAAAAATATGAAAAAGACACTTTTCAAACTTTTGAGCACTTTCAGTGCGTTGTTACATTTGTACATTTTTGACTAAGGTTAGGTTACTGAAAGTTAATGTTTCGATGTTTGTTTAAATGTAATGTTCTTTTAAAAGTCTCTACCGTTGCCATGGCAGTATTTAACTTATCCAGTGAGTTGTGTTTACACACAGGGCTTGGATCCATCAGAGTTCCCAACTGTACATCGAATGCTGATTGGCATAACTGCAGCTGGAGGTTCTGGGAAAATGAGTCCCATGCCAAACAGCTGCACCAGGGGAACACTGAGGAATGTCTGAAGGAAGAGAGCAAGGAATTTTAGAAATGAGGGCTTAAGATGAAAAGGGGAGGGGAGTCCCAGACAAGTTTAGAGGTGCCTGCGGTGTAGCTGAATGGATGAGTAGACAAACGGAGAGATTTAGGGACAAGTTTGTCGATGTTTCTTTGTCCTTGGCCACAAGAGCCTGAGAGGATGTGAGATTTATAGACAAGTTCATCCAAGAGGGAAGAAGTGGTGGGACATCCCAGTGTTTTACCCCCCCACCCCCATCCTCTGACTTTCTCACACACACACACACACACACACACACATTCAGTGGAGCATTTAGTTTTGCGTTAAGATGGAGGATTAATTTATCCCATCTGGCTGCGGAGTGGAAAGCTTCGTCTTAACTCTTCCCAGGGATTCTTGGCTTCTCCTTTGGCGGGCTTTTGGAGGCTAACTTTTATGTGTGTGTGAATGTGATATAATCAAATGCATGTCTTTGTGGCGGTGTGTGTATGAATATATGGCCTGCAGTATTTTTATGATTTTAATATGCTATGTCACTTTAGGGTGTGGTGTCTGACTATGTACTATTGTGGTATAAGTAAGAAAATGATGCCATAGGTGACACAGCATAAACACATTTCACTGAATGGGAGTGTAATATGCACAGTTTTCCTACAGATCATGGGTGGATGCGTTATAGATGGAATTTAGTCTAACTTTTAGTGATGTACATATGTTTCCTATTTTTATAGTCAATGTTTTATCATTTGGTGGATGTGTAATGAATCTGAAGTCTTGGGGCTAACTGAAAGACTGAAAACAGTCAGTAGCTGCTATAATGTGTGTCAAGGGTTTAGTTTTCATTCAGTGGCATTTTGGCCATCTACTGGGAGTTTTGACAGCTGGGAAAGGTGAGGGGTGGGGGGGGTGATAGGAGGGGTGAAGTTTTGGCTCAATGTTTTGCTTCCCCTCCCCCCACTTGCAGCCAGGCCCCAGAATAATCACATTGTTTTGGAATATGGGACTCTGGCCAAAAGCAAATTTGTAGTGGCCCAACAGGCGAGGAGGTTAGCGCAAAAACAAGGAATTTTTGGTTCAGAAGAGAAAATTGACTTTTACTGCATTTTTGTTCTCATGGGGCTTACAAATCAAAGCTATAAAAATTTAAAGGAAAAATGTTGCTGGCCCAGTGTCAGATGCTGAAAAAGTACTGTGTACTCTACTGTATGTATACTGTTTTCCTGAGAATCTCATTCCTCTTAAGCTGTTTGTTCTCAGACAAGAACTGTTTACAGGAAACATTTACAGAAAAAAAGCTTGGAAATAATGTGATTTAAAAAGACCTTTCACACATTAATTTTAGTAATTCGAGGGCATTACAACTTTATTGTGTTTTCATGTAAACAAAATAGCTTACATAAGAGCTACATTCTTTTGCTCTCTAATAATATCCCTCTATTATCTCTAAATCTTCTTTCCAGCCGTTGGCGCCCCTGATGATGTGTCCTCTGTTATGGTATTAGGAGAGCTTTAGCTGAAATATATATAGCCCAATTGTATATTGTATTACTGACCATATTTGAGGAGAAACATTTGAAGAAGGTTATAAAAATGTAACAGTGTGTGTTTTTGGAAGAGGCAGCCGCGTGATGTGTGTTGGATAAAGTGGAAACAGAAGTTTCTTTGTCAGTGCTCAAGGAAGACCAGGGCTGGGCTGGGCTGGGCTGGGCTGGGCTGGGCCGGGCCGGGCTCTTTTGCTGAGCTCCACTTCTCTGTCTCTAGGGAGTTTTTCTATAAAAACATACACACACACAAATAACCTCATGCATATGCACACACATAAGAGAAACTCATGGTCTCACTTTTCAACCTCCAGTAATGCTGTCACCCCTTCAGTTGCTGCGAATTTACCTTAATACTTCCTGATTGGATGGTCATATCATACCGTATCTGATTGATTTAGCAGCTAGCTGACTACCCATTAGGGTCAGCAGTGATGGCGGTTGTCACTTGTCACAGTCTGTATGTCAATTATCATATCACGCCATGTCATACAGTGCACGCTCACAGGGAAATGGAGATTGACAGGAACAAGGACTGATGAAAGATGTGATGAAAGACATGAAGTGTCAGGACAGTAGTGTTCATCTTAAGTAGCTCCAGAATAAAAAAAATGAAAAAAAGTTATGTATTGATCACATGGAAACCCCGTGTTGTTCATGAGCTGTCCAAAGTCAAAGGAGGGATTATGTAATTCATTTCAAGGTATGAAGTGGTTTTCTTCTCCCAACACATGAGAAAAGTGAACACTTATTTTCAATTGTTTTCTGCTTTTTATTTCTGTTTCTTTTTTCTCAATATTCATTTTCTCTCCACATCTGTTACAAATCCATTTGGCTTAGATGAGTGAATGGATTAATATTAAGTAAACTCCCAATGTCTCAGTATGAAGCCACATGGATTGTGTGTGTTGTTAGGTTAGAAAAACTATGATTTTTATCAGTCTTTATTAACAGACTTCTCAGTGTCTCAGCCAAGTCAAATAAGCAAATGGGGATATATTTCCCCTTTCGATGATATATCCCACTATTCAGTTTCCTGACTTCTGTGATGTTTTTTCTCCATCTCCATTGATTTTGTCTGGTTTAATCTGGATCAGAGCCTCCGCAACTCTTTATGCTCCTTTATCCCGTTACAATAATCTAACTTTGTATCAGACTTTGTGTCTTATAATTATTCTATAATTCAGTATGTGTTGATATAGTGTGTTACAACATCATTTCGTGTGCTGATGGGCAGTCAGTCCATGAAATGTATAGATGCACTCTAAATGAATGAAAGATTACTTAAATGTGTGGCTTCTCTGTCTCAGTGATATCCTGTCTTGTGTTGTAGGAGTCTGTGTCAAATGTAACAAGGCAGTGTATGGAGCCAACCAGGCCTGCCAGGCTATGGGTAGCCTCTACCATGACAGCTGCTTCACCTGCAGTGCCTGTAGTAAGTACATACACATACACACTTCACTAAGTCCATTCAAACACTTTCACCTTTTTTCATTGGTCGGTTGACATGCAAAGCTCATGTCAGCTCCTGACTAATGGGCTGCCAAAGACCCTGTCCTCTTAAATGAAAGTGGTACCTTCTTTTTCAGTCATTCATTGCCCCTGAGCAAAAACACAATTATTTAGGGATTACACTCCTGTACTGCTGGTGTTTGGTTTCTGGGTGTGCCAGTCACTCCTCCAGCCCACACAAAGACACAGAGCAAGACTTTTTGCAGACCTGAGTTATCCATTAGTCAATTGCTATGTGTATAGTGTCTCCAAATCCTGTGCAGAGCTTCAAACGGAAAAATGTTGACTTTTAAAACTAGATCATGCTTAGGTGAGGTGGGACTTCAGTATGTATTCATTTGCCATTAATACACCATTAATGACAAAAGCATGCAACAACTTGTTTGCTGTGTGTGTTGTAATTTCCTGAGGCAGAAACTATTTAAACTTTTAAGAAAGAATGAGTACATTAAAACAAACTACACATGTGGTGGAACAGCTAAGAGATGTTTTTCTAACACAAAATATAATACAGGTGACGTTACATAAAATTTTTACTTCTCCAAAGTGAACTGTCTGGTGAAAATTGTTGCTGCACTGGCCAGGTTTTTGGTTTCATTTTGTCAGTTTAGACAGTTTACCTGACCAATTAGGTCCAATCAGACATCACACCAGAGGTTCATCACCCTGTCTGCACTGGCCAATGTATGACTGACCTGTAGCTTCCTGGCTGGAAAGCAGTACATTTCTATAGCTGAAGCATGACCTGGCGCTCCACTCTTACTAATTAAAATCTGTCCCAGTTATGGTGGGTATGTGGAGAATTTGCGGCACTGTGGTGACCTCTACTCAGACCCTTCGTTCTGCAGCACCTTTGACCTTACTGGGTTTGCCCTCAAATGTATGATTAACATCTCTGTGTTTTGTTTTCCTCTTCCTCCTGTGTGTGTGTGTGTGTGTGTGTGAGTACGAGGAGATGGGAAAGAGGAGACACATTGTGGCTCAGATTAAAACTGATGTCTAAACAGGGGAGAAGATGGGGGGGCTGCACACCACATGCCTCTCATACCTTGCTCCATGTGAGGGCATAAGGGTTGTGTTTGCTGTGAGTGGCCCCAGGGAAAAGCATCTCAGCTGGGGAGGAATGCAGGCATAGGGGCCCCTCTGTAGGTCGGGCACCAGGAGTACACTGGGTGCTGTTATGTCAGCTGGGCGCAATAAGACGGGAGTACAGTATGGGATAGCGAGACCATTCAGTGGTAGCACACAACCCACAGCGTACAGGGGCACACTGACACATACAGGTTCACATGCACTCATGCTTGTACCCGCACAGTAAACAACATGATGCAGTCAAATATTCAGTGCTTTAACGTTAAGCATCCCTTTTCATCTTCCTCCAAAACGCTTGGATGAGTTTCATAACAAGTCTTTATGACTGTGAACTTCCTTCCATGCCTTGACTCAACCTGTTCCCCCAAGGTGACTGAGAGGCAGGATACATTCCTCTTGGCTAGGGGAGTTCAGGCGGCGTGTCTGGGATTCAGCACTTCACTGTAGGGGGGCTTCCTTCCCGGCTAATCATTGACTGTTTACAAACAGTTAACGGTACAACCCAATTCAAGTTGGAGATGTGGGGATTGGGTTACTCAGTAGTCAACAAATCTCTGAAATGAGGGACATAGCAGGAAAAAGAAAGATTCTCTCAAATTTGCTTCCAGTATATTTATATGTAAAATGAATTGCAGGTGCAAATGGCTTTACAGCTGTATGGTAACTACATTAAGTGTTTGAGGTATTTTTTTCATACAGCAGCAATACAAGCAAGAGGTTTGGTATACAGTCCCCATCTCAGTTTCTGCTTTCATAATATCAGCCTCTTATCCCAGCCAGTCTGCAGTCTTTGGAGAATACAAACAAGGATCTGATTGGTCCTGAATCCACTGGTATGTTAACATCTGGTGGGTAGAATGTCAGGGCCTTGACCAAACGTCCCAGGTGCTGTTCACAGTCAAAGAGAATTCAGACTACCAGAAAGAATTCCTCTAAATGCACAGAGGTTTTTCACTTTGTCAATTAAACGTACATACATATCTTTAGCAGGGCAATAATTGTCTTTAGATGAGATTAAATGTCAGAGTATACAGTGTACAAATAGGAAATTGGTATAAAAGCTCTTTTGCTGAGATGTCTCACTTGACTAATTTACACGCAGGAAAGAACAGGGTCAAGGCTCGATTAGGAAGTCATGGCAGGGTCATTGTGAATTGCTTATTTTCTGAATGGGATTACACAGGGGAATCCATAGAATGTTTTAATTAGAAAATGGCTGTGTGTTTTGTTCTGTCCCTCAGGTATTTTACATTTTTATGAAAGTGCAATAGTCACACATTGTTCTGGTGCTTTTCAAACAGTTAGCCCTGACTCCTGACTTTAATTAAGCTCTTATCTTTCTGCAAAGCTCAGAGCTTTCCCTCTCTGACTCACTGGGAAAAAAAGACACAAATGAAAAGAAGAGGAATGGCCCATATCTCACTTTCATCCCCTTCATTCCTTCCCCTTTTCCTTAAGGGACACAGTTCCAACACTGACTGTCTGTAATTACCCAAGGCCAGTTCACCACCTCGGCCTGATCAAAATAACTTGTCTCCTCCTGAGGTATTTTTTGTGCAAGCCTTGGTTGCTATGTGACCATTATTATTCTATTAATGTGAGATAATGTAATTGTGAATAACTGGTTCAGAGACTTTCATGTGACATTTATTTAAAAGGATGAATCATGGGGTTTCTTTTTTTGTTTTTTTCTTTGTTGTTATCTTCATATAATTCAGAGAAAAAGAGTTTATTTCTTTATTTTACGCCTCCAGACAGTCAAATATGGTCATCAATTTATTGTCTAGTGATTTAAAGACAGCAGTAGGGGTGTTAGAACAGAGAAGACAGGTCAATCTGTTTGACTGAGCTCTTTGTTCTCCTTATTACACGAGTATAGTCATTTTCTTCAGTCTGTATGCTTGTTTTTGTTAAATCCAGCAAATTAAATACTCAACAAATCTAAGTAGTTTATCACATGAAGACAAAAATCCCTACCAAAAAAAATCCAGTGGTTCAATGCTGCTCAGCAACGTGCAACATTATTAAGCCCTTTATGGCTTAATAGTGAGAGCTCTCTGCTGTCTTAAGAATAAAATAACATGAGCTGTGTTTCTTAGTGGCTACTTTTTTGCATGTGTCTATTTGGATACAAGCAATCAGGTAAACAGAGCGTGAGATGGGAGATAAAGAGGGCTCCTGTTCACCAAGGTTAACCCCCCCACCCCCACCGCCTCCTCCCTGCTTTCCCCTCTCTCACCTCCCCACTCGGAAAATGTGAGGAATGTTCCCTCTTCCTGTGGGACCTGGGCAAGAATAGCTATATGTGAAGTGAGTAGGGAGCTTTTGCTGTGTGTGTGTGCGTGTGCGTGTGCGTGTGCGTGTGTGTGTGTGTGTAGCTAGCTATAAGAAGCCAGATCCAGACCATAGAACGATTAAAACACACAGACAGACAGGAAGCACATCCAGCATGTGGAAAGACACCAGAAAGGAACAAAGAGGAAGAATAGCGGGTAGTTGTAGGTCTTGGCCTGTGGTTGCCATGAAATCCAACAGAGCAGAGTGTTTAATCTATTGCACCTGTCTAGTAATTGGATTTAATCAGCATTTTCCCCACGTGTTTGATCCAGATGTGTTCCATGTACTACTGAAGCCTGCTCTGTGTCCCAGTAATATTATATCAAGACACCAGCTCACCATAGATCAGTTTATTTGATTTATCTCCTTGGGATTCAGCAGGATATAATGAATATTGTAAGAGGGTCCATTACCTTCGAATGGCTGTAATTAATCACCACGGTCTTTATGCATTAGTGCTGTAACTATTTTCTGAGACCGGGTTCATGATTTTGCAAGATTTTTCATGAAGGCGTTTCAACGTCACATTATTGACTTACTTTTTCTAGTCTGTTCTAATCTACCTATCATATCTCAATAATGACAAAAACATTTCTTTTCTTTCTGACAGGCAGTTTTTGAGAGTTCCAGGTGCAGATCCTGCTTTGTATTGCACAAGAAAAAGACTTTTCTGTCTGTTTCTGCAGGTCGAAGGCTGAGAGGGAAGGCTTTCTACTATGTCGGAGGGAAGGTTTTCTGTGAAGAGGACTTTCTGGTGAGTTGGTCAATACATAATCAATATTTAGTATACCTCTAACTTTTGCTGTGACTTCACCCAATCCATATCTCAGTTGTAGAAAGTTTTACAGATCTCTCTGTAATTGTGATTAACTAGGAATTGTTGCTTTAAATCACCATTATCAGGTTCAATAAGGTCTCTTACTTACTTAAATGCATCCAACTTAAATACAATTTAGACTTTCACCTTGTGGCCCAGTTTCTAGCATCTAATGCAGCTGATTGATATCAGTTCCCTCCCTTGGGTGGGACTGGAAGGAGGTCAGTAACTGGAGAAGCTGCTTTGCTATGGTTTATAGGGTGGAGGGCAGGCAGGCCATTCACACTAATGCAGTATGACTGTATGTACTTTCTTTGGATGTACATAAAGCACAGTTGAAACTCCCTGGTAAAATGTGTTGCAATTTCATTTTAATTTTCAATTTCAATTTAAAGCGCACATTTTGCAGCCAGTCTGAACACTGTGTTTTGATAGGTAATCCTATTACAACACTTTGTTTTGCTGTAAGTACTTCCCCAACTCATCCTCTTATTTACACTTTCAGTAGCTCAGTGTGTGTTTACTTCAAGAGCCCTCTCCGTATAAAACCTTATCTAATCGCTGTTCCACCGAAAGCTTTCTGTTGCTCAATTAAAATCAAAATTTATACTGAATTTAATTTGCTCAGGCTCTGCTCCCTCTATGTGCTGTTAATTACATCTGCTCTTCTGCCTGGTCTGTTAGTGTGGCCATTGCAAACCAACACCGCTCATACATAATAATGGATAATGAAGCTGAGTTGACTGATTCAAATACTGTATCATTTAAATGCCAATTTTAAGAACCATACCATAGTCAATCCTAAAGGCCTTGTTCACTGTCTTTTGTAACAAGTTCCACACACAGTCTGTTTGTTGTTACTATTTTTAATTACAATCTACAGAGATGCTGTTCTCAAAGAGGGAAAGTGGTGATTTTATGTTGTTTAAAGGAGGTATTTTACGCGCTAAACCACATAGGCTACTTGGGATTATGTCTAAGAGACACAGTGGAGTTGTTCAGTGCTCAGTTTGAAACAGAGTCAGAGATTTCAGTCATCCATTGAAAAACCAAATTCCAATGACATCACCACCGTTTTGTCTCTGTCTGTTAAAGTACTCTGGTTTCCAGCAGTCTGCGGACAAGTGCAACGCATGTGGACATCTGATTATGGACATGGTGAGTGTCTGTTACTTCTCTCCAGTTGTGTGTGCTTTTGTGTGTGTGTGTGTGTGTGTGTGCGTGTGTGTGTGTGTGTGTGTGTGTGTGTTCAAGTATGTATGTGTGTTCAAGTGTGTGGGTTAGAGCCAGGTGATCTCAGCAGAAACTTAGTGTTACTTCACCAAAAGAGCTTTCTGTGGGCACATCTGGATTAAGACTCAGGAGGAAGTGTTGGCTCTGTATGTAAATCTCTTGCTCTCTTATATTCATACATTCACACACGCACACACACACACACACACGCACACGTGCACACACACAGTCTCATGGGTAAAAACAAAAACAGACACACAGAAAGCATTTGATGAAGTCAGGAAGTGTCACAGCATATAAAGGACCGTTCTTGACATGAGGACTCCACACATGTCCTCCATCCAGCAGACAGGGATGAAGGAGAGTCCTCAGCTTTTACTGCGCTGCCTTATCCTCACATCTGCAAATTTCGCATGCCGTATCTCACACCAGAAATCTGCTGGGCATGATCACTGAGAGCGTTTTTATGTTATGTAGATGTTCCTTTATGTCACGTACAACATACTGTCTGCCTCTATCTTAAATCTGTCAAAGAATACAGATTTTTCTTTTTACTTAATTCCTGTGGTTTTCTTTCAGTTTTATTTGGTAGGTGTGATTACTTGTTGCCCTTGGTGAGCTTATTCTTAGCTTTGTCCTTTTCTTGTTTGCTGTGATGACTCAATATCCCCACAGGAATCATTAAAAATTAATCTAATCTAAAGGCAAAGACTATTTTAATTCAAATAGTGAGGAAATGTGAAATAGCAGAATGAAACAAGAGGATGGATTTCCTGATATTCTTCCCTCGTTTATTTCTCTGTAGATCCTGCAGGCCCTCGGGAAGTCCTACCACCCTGGCTGTTTCCGCTGTGTCGTCTGTAATGAGAGCCTTGATGGAGTGCCCTTCACTGTGGACACTGAAAATAAGATCTACTGTGTCAAAGACTACCACAAGTGAGTGCCACTTGTTATCCAGTAGTTCAAAGTAACATGAGCGCATGACCTGAATTTATCTGTGTTAAATTAGTTTAGCATGACACTAGGAAAAAAAGTCTTAGTTTCATATTCCAAGTTAAATCACAGCACAGCCCGTCAGCTTTCCCTTGCTATTGCAGGATCAGGTTGAGAAGGTCTGCGCCGGCTGACAGAAGTTTTCTCTGACACGTGTGGCAGACACATGAGAAGTGTAGTCAGGGATCAAAGCAGAGTCAGGGGGAGGGAGAAAGGATCACTGTCCAGTTAGAGGTGTGAAGAGTGGCGTGCGGCCACGGCTCCTTTCGTCTAAACTCAACAGTAACATGCTCTGAAAGGACAAATACAGAGCCTCTAATGCCTGAATGAAAAATCAAGGTTTTGTGTGTGTGAGGAAAATCGATGTTGCGCCTGTTACACACTTTTAGAGACTGTGCTTAACTGCGAATCATCAACAGTAGCACCTGTAGTGCCTCAGCGGTTCTACAGTTGCAGCCGTTCTTCTCTCTGCTGGGACAGCATGTACCGCACACCCGAGCACATGGCTGATCGCCGTCTGGCAGCTCCCACATGTTCTCTACGCTGATTAAATCAGACAAACCTTATTGTGTATACAGTATGTGTTTGACTTTTAGCCACAGTCATGCCCAACCACACTGAGAGGCCCTTTGTTATTTCCTCAGACATCCAGGTGCCAGCCATGTGTGTGGAAATAATGAATTCATTTTGCTTTTTGTTTTTCTACTCCTTTTTGGATTTGGGGAATCACGTGTGTGATGGAAAGCCAGCACATCTGCAAACCTGGCATCTCCTGAGTCAAATCAGGATCTTGAATCGAGTTAGAGTCAGGAGAGAAAGAGGAGGAGGGCAAATGGGTTTAAAGGTTGAGAGAGGGACATCAGCTATGAACTGTAACCTTTATAGTCTTTGGTTAGATTGAATTTGAATTCAGTTCATTAATGATGAATCAATTATTTAAACGCAGATTAAACAAATTTATTAAAAAAAAATTGTCTCTTTCTCCATCTCACTCTCCCAGGGTCCTGGCCCCTAAATGTGCAGCCTGTAACCAGCCCATCCTGCCCTCAGAGGTAAGATAACATCAGCCTGTGTTTATGACTAGGTTATAATGGAATTATTTAAATTATTCTGATAAGTAGGTATTGTTGATCACATGTCTGAATCAGTTATGAGTATAATTTACCAAAGCTTAAGATCTTAATTCTTAAAAATTTTTTTTATATTTTTAGAAATGTGTATGATTATGGCTTTGTGTCTGGATTACGTTTTTATCATATCATATGATTTGGAGATCTTAAGTGGTTATTGCAGCGCACTGATGTTAAGATAATGTTCTGATAAGTATTACAGCACTACTATTATCCACATATCACATACCCATTGTGTACTTTGTGTGAGTATGCTCCTGGCAGGGAAGGTTATTGTGTCATGTTACAGCAGCAGAATGTGTCATGCCTTTCTTAGTGATCTGACAGAAGAGAGGTGACAATAAATCAGGAGAGAGAGATGGAGAATGGCGTCCAGCAAAGGGCCTTAGCGAGACTCAAACCAGGGATGTTGTGGTTATGGTCAGTGCTTTTAACCGCTATGCCACCAAAAGCAGCATTGAGTCCTGTTACCCAGCCACAAACGCCATGCTTCTCAGTTTACAAGTTTACATTCCACAGTTGACCCTGATAACTTAAGATATTAAGCATAAACTTAAAATACCCTTAGTGGTAGAAGATCAGTCCTCTTGGGTAAGTTGAGTGACAGCCAGATTTGAGCGAAGGCTGATAGAGATGGCGTGTACAGTGTCAGTGGTAGTGTTTTAGCCCCAAGCCCTGTCAAAGAGGTTTCACTGAGAGGGAGTACAACATGAATTTCATGGTGTGAATCATCTAGAGGCTGTTCACCTTTACCTGTGGACCTTCGGCTAGCAGGCACTCAGCAGATTATAAATCTTTATCCCCTCATTTTTACTCACTTATGACCCTAACTCAGAGTTTAGTTGTTGAAAAAGCAGATAGTTCAATACAACCATATTTCCCACTAGACGACAGGTCAGGACAGTGTTAGGCCTAATATCTCTGTGCTGTGATTTGATGTGGTGTAAAGGAAGAACAGGGCAATTCTAGGGAGACGTATGATTCCTACACACACACAGGACATGCTGGCAAAAGCAAAGAAATGTCCAAAATTAGAGTCGACTTTGCTGGAATGTCCCTTGCCCTCCCCTTTTGGTAAGCAGCGAAGCCGGTATGTAGAGGAGAGGTACTCTCTGTGTGTTTGTGTGTGTGTGTGTGTGTGTGTGTGTGTGCGTGTGTGTGTGTGTGTGTGTGTGTGTGTGTGTGTGTGTGTGTGTGTGTGTGTGTGTGTGTGTGTAGGGCTAAGGGGCTTAGTCTATACCGTTGTGCAGATGTACCGGGGAGGTCCCTCTCAGGCTGATATTGTGATATTGTAACCAAAGAAAGATAACTGAAAAAAACGACTGCTATCTCCGTGTGGACATGGAAAATCAGGAGGACAAAGAGCACACTCTGTTCAGATTATGATACAAGATCTTTGTAAATGATTTGCTACAAGCTTTGACTCCCACTGGTGATTTTTTTTGTGTCTACAGTAAGCCAGTAGGATTTATAAGTCCTTTTTTTGTCACAAAGGTTCTGAGTTTCTTTTTCTTTTCTTTTTTTTCAACAATAAATTCAAAACATGTAATGAAACTTTATTTGATAATGCAGCAACAGAATGACTCCACGCTTAAAGGGATGACTGTAATGCAGAAGAGTATTTTAAAGTACAGAACACTCAGCTCTTGGCTTACACAAGTGTGCTGTGTGATGTTTTGAAGCTTTTGTCACACTGAGAAGTTGAACAGAATCAGACAGTGGAGTGGCTCCTGGCGAGACTGACTTCAGTTGCGTTTGTCTGTCTGAATTTCTTTCCAGGGGTCTGATGAAACCATTCGAGTTGTATCCATGGACAAAGACTATCACGTGGAATGTTATCACTGTGAGGTGGGTAGAAACATGCATGCTTACTGGCACTGCGCTAGGGACCCTCTAAATGGCTCATTAAGAGAAATGATAATGAGTAGATCCCCAATCTTAATTACAGTCTTGGAGATAATTACGTACTGCTGAGGAGAGCAGGTATGCGACACCTCATCATCACTATCTCATCATTTTACTGAAGTGCCTCGTCTTTTTTTTTTTTTTTTTTGCCAAAGACTGATTGACAGCTGCTGTTCTTCCACTTCATGTAAATAAAAATCAGTGGGCTGTGAGGAGCGGCTCCCTGTTAAAGTAGAGTTTAACTATTGATAGGCTGTGCCCTCTGAGTGGGTTTTTGTTCATATTTCAAGTGGTTCAAAGAGGAGCATCTGTATGTTTCTTGAAACTGAAAGCCATAAGACAGATAAAGGAATCTTTGATCTAGAGATGTACTAATGATGAGAAGTTTAAATCTCTTGGTAAAAGTAGAGATAAACCTCTTGTAAATGCCTGTATTTGTACAATTCTGAGGCAATTATTGCTGTCCAGTCTTTCAGTGGTTGGAAATGAGGTCAATACAGAGCAGAGGTGAGACCGATTATCCTCTTTTCTGTGTGTTCCAGCTCTTTCAGTGGAGGCGTCCCTCTCATCCCTTTCATCCTCTTTGTTTTTTAGGACTGTAAGATGGAACTGAACGACGAGGAGGGTCACCGGTGCTACCCTCTGAACGGCCACCTTCTCTGCCACTCCTGCCACCTGAAGCACATTGAGCCTGGCTGCTCCTCTTCCATCACCGCCGCCTCCTACTAACACTGCTGTAGATGAAGGGAGACACCTGGTGGATTTAAGAAAGAACTGCCAAAGAGTGACTTGAACTGCAGAAGTGGATATACAATTCTTGTTGTAGAGGATTGATTGATTTAGTGCCTGTGGTTTGATGTGTATTTTGACAGGGGTGTTAATGAAGTCTCCATTATGCAGAACCTAAAAAGGTTATGACCCAGTAATGAAGTATTGTAATACACCAAAGCCCTACTCTGAATGAAGCGAAGCATTGCGCTGTACCTGCTACATAGTGACTCTGCAGAAGTTTTGCCTTAAGAATATTTTTATGTAAATATCAGTTGCATTGGCTGTGTAAATATCTTATAGTCAATTTGTTTTAGATACAGTGTGCCTTCAACTTCACATTCACACCTCTGTTGTGAAATTACAATTCAAAGTGTATCTGTAAATCTTCTGTCCAAAGGTGATGATCATTTGTAAAAATTATGTGTCGGTCAACTCCACACAAATCACAGGTACATTATGTTTCAGTCACATAGAAAGGAGAGACAGCTGCTCACTCAGAAGTTTGAAAATAATGGATCAGTCATACGACACTCTGCTTCATGTAATCAGTAATGGCAATGGCTTTTGTTTTGGATGCCTACAGTTCAACTCTGGCCATGGGGGGGGGGGGGGTTGCAGTTAATGCAATAATAACAGATAGTGCCTATTTATACATAAGAGAAATACAGAGTGGCTGTGTTGTGTGTTGGGGGACATTTTGTGAATTCTGAGTATGTTGACCTGCACACAGAGCCAACAATTTTGTTCATTTTTACTATGCAAGTACTGGTAGGCAATAAATTACATCTAATAACATTTTGAACACAACCAATTCATAGAAGTGCAGGTTCCTCTGCCTTTATAAACTCAAACTCAGAACATTTTTATGACTTCCTTTTTGTTAAGTCTGAGTAAGAATACTGAAGATTGCCAGGTAATACATTTCTGTAGTGAATCAACAGCCTTTCTTTGTTGTTACATGAAGCCCGTTCCAAGCACTTAGAGATAGATGTGTGTTTTCTGTGCACCTATGAAGAGGTTGGTATTAGACCTATAGATCTATGTATTTTATTACATTTGAAACATTGTATATTTAAAAAAAGATATATATTGTAGGCCAATATTCATTTACAATTGTTTCATTTTGACTTGTGTGTAAAACCCCTTCAATACTAATTTGATTTGCAGTGGGAAGTACCTACCTTTGCCTACCTTTGCCATCCAAATGTTATTCATGTTCTCAGTTTACTAACTTAATACTTTGTTTGTCATTTGAGGTCCTTATGTCATAGCCAACTGAAAATGAAAATGAAGAGTAAACATATACGTATGATTGTTGTAAAGAAAATATTTAATAAATGCATTGCAATAGACTAACTTATGTTTTTGATTTGACTGACTTGAGTTTTTTTTTTTAACTGGAGAAAACAGTCAATTCAACTAGCAAACCAAACCATATCCTGTTTTCAGTCAAGACAGTGTTACTTTAACAAATTCTTAATATTTAGTAACATCAATACATCATCGCTGTAAGTGTCCATTCAGTAGGGACTGATTATGTCAGTATTACCAGAGGAGCCCTGCATGCTGGCTCTGCAGCCCCTTGAACTGCCATGTTGATTGTGGGTGAACAAAAAAGTGTTCATCTTGCAGACATGGGCTGATAGCACACACTTTTTCAACTTTCAAAGTTGAAAAAGCAGAGTGGTTGTTTGTCTGCAGATTATGCACTTGGAGCCAGGAGTGGCTGCTGAAGTGATGCTGTTTGGAGGTTTGAACTCTGCCTCTGGTAAACAAGTATCACTTTTCAAAAAACATGGAAGCATGGGAGCAAGCCAGAGGCTGAACGTAGATGTTTCTGATATACTGCCAAAAGTCACAGCAACCAAAATACTGTTCTAAATTGTACACATCTAGTGACACGTTTACAGTAGATGAACATAAGGAATACATAATATGTGGCCGGCGTTTTGAACATGTTCATACTGAGTAAGACCAGGTTAAAAATCAGGTGTTTAAAAAGACGACTGAGACATCCAGGAGTCAAACCTAGAATGGCCTGATAACCAGTATCACCCAATAAATTATATGTAGAAATTGTACTAAATCTCACTATATGAAATTGCAGCTTTAGTGTGTAACAGGGATTGCCTACACCTCTGACTCTTAGGTCAGACTAGGTCAGTTTCCTGAAGCCAGCCAGGAACCTTTAATCTTCTGATTTGAGGTCAGACGTGTTATCCGTTGCAAAATCAATTTTAAAAAAGTGCAATAATAAAATCTGTGCAATCAGTGGGTGTTTATTGTAATCAAATAAATATATGTCAACAATGAATCAACAGGAATATTGGAGGAGAGTAGAACAGGACAGAATAGCTTGTATATAATGTAATAACAAATTATATTATAATGTAATTTAATGGAGCAGAATAGAATAAATAGAATATGTTATTATTAATACAGTTATTATTTGAATAGAATGTATGTAGTAATATATAATAGAATACAATGTGCATCTTCTTCACTCCCCTGTGTTCCTGCTGTTTTCCCTTCCTCATGTGTCCTCTTTGTCCCCAGTTTGTCTTTGTCTGTGTGTGTGTGTGTGTGTGTGTGTGTGTGTGTGTGTGTCTGTTGCTGGGCGTGGCCCTCCAGACTCCTGCTCCCGCCAAACCACCTGCACACCTGCTTCAGACGAGCTCATTAACTCAACCAGTCCCCTGCAGTATTTAAAGCCGGCTCTTAATATGCAGCAAAGGGCCGCGGGTCGGACTCGAACCCGGGTCGCTTATGACTGGTGAGCAGGTGAGCCACCGGCCCCGTCGCCAACTCCACATCAGAACGTGATGAAACGTGCACCTAACACAGCCCGTGTATCGGTGCGTAACAAAAACATGTTGCGAAACAAGGGATGAGCTGAAGAGTTCAGAGAGAAGAAAAATAAGTCGCTTCTTGCACGTGCAGCAAAGTGCCACAAAATGACTGACTTTCCGTGTGGTGGTGCTGCTGTTACTTGTACCGGCTCCGGGACTGGCGGCGACAGGGGTGAACATGAGCCCGAAGAGACAGACAGCAGAGATGAGGGCAACAGCAAAACAGCAGAGTCAAATCCAGCATCTCAGAGTCCATGACATGGTAAGGTTGGATAGTTTGCTTCATCAGTTGCAAGTGAGATAGCTTATAGTTACACAAGTATCAATAAGACATGAATATGATGGCTTGCTGCTGATTTTTTTCTGGGTTTAATGAAACAAAAACTACTAAAAGGATAAGTCTTGTCCCTGTATTTCTCAACCTGCTGTAGCTACTGTCTAGATGAAATTAGTCTGTCATATCTTTTCAGATACAATTTCTATTGAAACTGCCTGTAGAGTGGTGTTTTGTTGCCCTCACATATTTGATTTGGGTTATAGACAGTGTCATTGTATCCCATGTGTCTAGCTTGGCATCATTGATCTATAAACATTTAAATCACAGACACTCATTTGTGCAGGTGGACAAATGCTTTGTGCGGAGAGTGGGCTGACCAGGGACAAATTCCCCAGCCACTTTTTTGCCCCAGTCCTCCCCTGGGTTCACCTCCTCCTGCTCGGCAACACCCTGCCTCACCCAGCTCCTCATCGTATTTACTGTCCCATTCCTCTTTATACCATTTTGAGCCCTTGCAGACTATGCACTCAATCACTTATCAGGTGACATTAAGTCTGTGAGGGTTCAGGACTTAGGCCTTAGGGGGGCATTGATGGTGTCACTCTTCCTTGTATACCTCCTCTTCCTCTTGCCAGTCCTGTCTTTTCCTCTTGTGGGTGGAGTAAAGCACATCTGTCGCTGAAGCTCCTGTAGGTCTGGAAATAACCACAGGAACCAGAGATAGGGAGGCAGGCAGGAGAGATCTGGGAACTGGTTTGGTGACACCTAGAGGTGGCCTGAGAGTTGTCCAGCAGATGGAGCCACTGCCTTTCCTCAACTGCAGGAGACAGGCTCTCTGGGCTCATGATGGTGGTCTTTCTCCAGCACACAATTCTTTTCTTCTTTTTTTTTTAAACATCTTTTTATTGCACATTTTGTTAATTTTACAAACAAGGAGCAACAGGACAAGAAGGTACATGTAGGTAATTGATAATAATAACAAAAGTAAAAAAAGAAAAAGGGGGGGGGGGGCAAAAGAGAAACAAAAAGCAAGACAAAAAAAATAAATAAATAAATAAAAAACCTCAGTTCAGCTCGTTATTCCAGTCATCTACTTCTATATCATTTTTCTCAAGGAAATTACAAAAAACTTTCCAGATTTTCCAAAACTTGTCCAGCTTATTCTTTGTGGTGAAGCTTATCTTCTCTAAAGCAAAGTAAAAAGTCATTCCTGTCAGCCATTGTGAGGTAACACAAGATTTTTCTTTTTTCCATGAACAGGCTGTACATCTTTTAGCTTCTAGAAAACAAATATTGAGTAAGGATTTTTCATTTTTAGAGGTCACAAAGTCATCCGGGTAGATATTCAATAAACATAGTTTTGGATTGAGAGGCACTTCTTTATCAATGATTTGACTGGCCAGATTCAACACTTTCTTCCAAAAAGAGTGTGTCAGTGGGCATTCCCACATACAATGAAATAAAGATCCCTTCTGCTGCTTACATTTAATGCAAGAGTCTGGGAAATTTGGGTTAAAGAGGTGCAGCCTACTTGGGGTAATATCCTGTCTGCGTATCCATTTGTTTTGCAGTGACTTAGAATATGTATTCACAGTTTGGGTTTGAGCTATTAAAGATGCTTTGGACCATTCTCCCTCTGTTAAATTCTCCTGCATATCTGATCTCCATGATTGTAGTATGTTTTGTGATGACTCTTTGGATTTACTTACAAACAAATCATATAAAAAAGACACCTGTCCCCTAGAGTTTAAAGATCTTACTGTAAAATCTTCAAGGGTAGACAGAGGGGGAATACTCAAGCTATTACACTGCCTGGCCAGTATGAAACTTCTCAGTTGAAGATATTTAAAGAAATGTTTTGACGGGATTCCATATGTGGCCTACACAATTCTTTTGTTTTCTTTCATGTTTGCAGTATCGAAAAATATTCCAAGTGTTATGTAGTGTGGTAGTATGTAGTATTAAGAGTACAATATACAGTGAACAAAAATGGGAAAAAAAACCCAACACCTTTTTGTTTTTACTCCCATTTTTCATGTTTTCTAACCACACAAATGATTTTGTTCACAAATGTGTTTAAATCTGTTAGTTAGCACTTTTCCTTTGCCAAAATAATCCATCCACCTGACAGGTGTGGCATATCAAGATGCTGATTACACAGTATGATTATTGCACAGGTGTGACCACCATCTGCCTCATCCAGTGTGACACATCTCGTTTGTACAGAGTTGATCAGGATGTTGATTGTGGCCCGTGGAATTTTGGACTGCTCCTCTTCATTGACTCCGTGACGTTGCTGGATATTGGCAGGAAGTGGAACACGCCATTGTACAAGCAGATCCAGAGCATCCCAAACACGCTCACTGGATGACATGTCTAGTGACTATGGAGGCCATGCAAGAACTGTGATGTTTCGAGCTTCCAGGGATAATGTACATCATGCCGCAACATGAGGCGATGGCGGTAGATGATTGGCATGATAATGAGCCTCAGCGTGCGTGCGTGCGTGCCAGATCTGTAGGAGGTTCTGCTGATAAGGCTCCAATGCTTGTGCCTGGCTCAGTTAAAGGGCCTGGGTGCTGGGCTTCTCCTTCCTGCAAAAAATCTGCAAAGATATTGAACAACATTTGTGTTAGTACCAGAAATTATATAATAGCATGCAGTCAAGGAATATGCAACAAACAAAATACAAAATTCTGCTCAATGAACTCCTTGAGCATGACTTGCATTTCTCTTCCATGGACTCTCTCTCTGCCTTTGTGATGTGGCATGTCACATCTGTTTCTGTGGGACGCATGTGGCTTGCTTCCAGTTCCACCCACTTGGCTGCCCTGAGTTGCTGCAGGTCACTCTCATCCCACACAAAGACGCAGTGGATGAGTTAGGTCATGAAGATGATGAGCATCCAAATTGGTTGTGCATCCGGTGGCAAACCTCCTCATAAAGTGCCAGACGTTGAACCGGATCTTCCTGCCCAGTCATGCTCCAAGGATCATGTATAGATGACACTTCCTACAGCAGTCGCTCTTCATGTATAGGATTTGTAGTGGTGGCACCCCAGCATCCTTGTAGCACCTCACGTGACCCTATGCCATCTACATCATCTCCCAGCCCTCACTTGCTGTGAGTACAGACATGACATGCTCTTAAACATTGGTGGCTCAAGTCGCTGTAGACTGGGCCTGATCCATCTGCTTCCTCACAGTCTTCTATGTTGAGCCCATCTTGATGACCTGTCCAAAAAGTGAGGTGATGGAGGCCTTCACTTAATCCAGCCTGCTGAGGACATCCTGGCCGTATACCTGCATCAGTCATCAATGTTTTGGCACTGCAGACATAGCTGCTAAGTCCCCCAGCTGAACTGGTGAGATCAGCCCAGAGGAGACAGCACATGCAACTCGTCTTTAATCAGTGAGGAATTGAATTTGTTTCTAAAGCCAATTTTCTGCATGCTGCTCCTCCAGCTGCTTTTGAAGCTTGCTGCTGCTGTTTCCCAAGCCTCACTGATGCATCGGACACACAGTCTGCATGTCACACCCCAGCTTGTCTGTCAGCAGACATAGGAACTGGATGAGGTGACCAAATATCTGGCTGCGAGATGATGTTATGGCTCCAGCTGATGGCCTTTCTATTGCAGCTCTTACAGGATAGATGTTTGGATGCCAAGAAATAAAAGCTGCCGACACTAACCACCTGTCTGACCCTGTGATGTAGTGATGATGTAGCTGGACACGCGAAAGCTTCCTTGGCATCCACAGGAACAGGGGGTGCCCACAGAACTGCTCCAATGCTGGCATGCCACAAGAGGTGAGTGATGGCCGAGGTGGATATCACCACATTCTGTCCACCTTTGCATGGTCCAGGACCTTAGCAGTCCAGCGCTGGTCCAGTTCTAGCAGGGGGGATCCAACCAGCGGGCAGGCATTTTCTGCTCTCTGTTAAAAGAATATGAGCGAATGAAGGAATGAATCTATAAAAACCACAGTCTCTTAATTTTGAAGGGATTACACTCACAAAATTCACGTGATATTTCATAATACTAGTTTAGCATATTAAATATTCATCAGGAACCTCTAAGTGTTGGCGTCTTGTGGGAAAATATATGCCCATCTCAGTCATTTAGTCCTGTACAGAGCTAAAAACTTTTTGGAAGACATAAATAAAGAAATGGTGTGTATACTTGGTTATAATTTTGTACTTTTTGGGAAAATGCCAAGAGAAATTGTGGATTATTCTCAGTCCCCTGCGTAAAGCTTGGTAGTACTACCGGCTTTGGTCAAATCGTGGAAAACTCAACGAAATGTGATTGGTTATCACGGTTCTTGGGGTTGGGCCGGCATCTGAATGGTTAAATCTTGCTAACTTTTTGGTAGCGATAGGCAACGCGATTGGCTATCACTTAATAGACTTCCTCGGCCAACAGATGATATGAGCGGAAGTCCAACTGAATGATGTTTGTATGTATGAAAACATTCCTCAAAATGTCAACGAGAAAACAATCGAGCCAGCCAGGAGTCGAACCTAGAATCTTCTGATCCGTAGTCAGACGCGTTATCCATTGCGCCACTGGCCCACGTGATTTCAATCTTAATATATCCTATATGTATGTTCGTTTACGGTCATATTTACAATTTCTGATATGTACACGAAAAAAATACGTGGCTTTCTCAAACCCACTAAAAATCAAAACAAAAAAACGAAAAATAGTTACAACAATTACCCGAAATGCCCCCCATTATCCAACAGATGTCGCCATCTTTCCTTGATATCCACATACTGGTTATCAACAAAAAATGTTACAGAGTCTGTGTTGTCATCACATTAACTGGCTAATGTGTATATTTATGTAATAATGTGTATTCCTATTAACCACTGTTTACAAGAAAACCATATGTAGTAGAATCAAAATATTGCATAACTAAGAGATATAATAAAAAGTGAGTGGAAATGTTTGGTTTCAGGGATCACTGGACCTTTCTTACTGATGTTTGTCAGTAATTAGCTTTCTCACTGGCCATCAGTGACAGACATTTACAGCTTACCCATCATAAGAAGAGGTGGTAAAGTGTGTGGCTGTGTCAGCATGGACTTAAACCTCAAAACAAAGCAATCAGTGAGGTGTCCTTTTCCCTATTTACTTCCCTACTTATTTTTGGTTTAATCAAGGATCCATTATATTTATGACAGAATTTTCTTTTTCTTTTCAAGGTCTCCAGTCTGGATTTTGATACACACTTACAGTAGATGTGGTCATAAATAGATAGGCAGGTTATAAGCTATTAATTATGAGAACATTCACAAAACAACTTTGCAGAATACATGCACACACATACACATACTGTACATACTTACCAAAATAGCCAATGAAAAACCACATGACTTCATCTGTCCTGGGGGGAAGCGTTGGTTTTATGTTCACTTCAGATACAGAAACGCGTCCATTTCTTAGTAATGTCCAACCAGTTACGTCATTATGCTTCTTGTACAGATTATAGTGGAAAATTAAATTCAGATTCCTCTCAAAGATTAAGATCCTGGGTCTCCTTTTTTTTTTTTATCAACATACGCCTTTGCGGTTTTGAAAGGAAAACATCAATTACTTTTCCCAGTTCATGTAATCAGGGGTTACTTATACAAATTTATGTCATCTTGTTTCAATTTCTGTTTTCAAATTCTGTCAAGATTATGTTTACTTTATGTATGTATGATATCTTTAACATCGCCCTAGCCACACTAGTTCCCGTAGTAACACTGAAATAACACATCTCCATGTTCTGGACTTGTTTCAACTCATTTTGTTACATATCTGATAAATTGAGCAAGACCTGTAGGAACCTGCATTTCTGGAGGCATTTCTGTGTCTTTGTTTATTTGTTCTTGTTTTTTTGTTTGGATGGGCCTGGGTAGCTATTGGACAGGTTCTTGCATTGATCAAGATATGGAAAAACATATAGGCCTAAGATCAGTCTCTCTTCAATCATAATTGTAAAGGAGACTGAGAGTTGTATTCAACTGTCAAAAGTACATTTGGGACACGATATCAGTGATGTGATAGAAATGAGGTCTGTAGTTGCACAATTTGTGGCCACCATATTTAGAATTTTGGAACAGGATGTTACATACTCTGATTGTATTGATGCTGTTCTTTAAAGCAATCCTTTCATTTCCATCTTATTTAATTACTGGGTACTGTATATCAGACACAATATTTGCATTTTAGGAAGGAGATAACATTCAAGCAGGTGAACTCTCACTGATATCAGAGGGAAAACATTTTCATTTTGCTGATGCTGTCTCACCATGATTCTGGGAATCTGTGATTAAATGTTCAAAACTCATTTCTGGTCTACGTGATGTAAATCTAGAGCTAGTTAAAACTATCCTGCTCACATTTTCAGCAGTTTTGCAGAGAGAAACAAACAACAGAGCCAACCACCAAATCACTGGGTGCTCTCATTTTAAGTAAAATGGATGAAAAGGCAAACAGTTACTATTATTAACAAAAAAAATTAAGCAATAATTCTTTCAGGAAATCTGTACTTTTACTATTAAACTAATTTCATTCGTTAATACATCGTTTGCAATTACGTCACTTATTGCAACTGTATGTTCTGTGTTTTACATCACAAAATAATAATAATAATGTATAAATTGACATGCCCCTCCCATCCCATCCATCTCTGTAATGCTTTCCAGTACCCGACAGTGTATGAATCGAGCGCACCCACATACCTCTGTAACCCCGCCCCTCTGGTTAACTCCCCCAGTGACGACAAACGAATCCTCCCAATGCGGGGGCTCTGTGGATGGGCCCTGGCTGCGCCGTGGAGAAAAACGTGCCTTCATCCCGTGTGGTGTGTCAGTGACAAACAAACCAAGCCAGCGCTCAGGACCGCCGTGGAAGGGAGCGTGCTGTTTTCCACAAACGCTGCATCCACAGCAGAGCAGACAAACAGAGGGACTCATAAAGGGAAGTGCATGCATGCATTAATGTGTGTGCAGATATTTGGAGCTGGTGAAGATTTTCGAGGAAATAAAAGTGGACCGCTGCTGATGGAGCTGCTGGCACATTGAGGCTGGGCTGTGACTGTTTGCATTGTTGCATATGTTTCCTCCAATGGAATAATTGTCCTCATGCATAAAAGGAATAACTGATAAACTCACATTTTCGTTCTCAATGGTGCTTGAAGGGTAAGCAAAAATTGAAATGTTAGTGCATTGTTTATTCTCTGAAATCATCACCGCGTGGATGCATGTATGCCTTTGTTTTTCAATCCCTTCGTCCCCTCTGAATGTTTGTCAGCTAAAAAAAATCTACTAGTGCACACTTTTGCTGCACAGCATTTATACTCCTTTACCAAAAATTGAGTGAAACATGAGCATTTTACTAGTGTAGATTAATGTATTTGTGTGTGGCTGCTTGGCAACAAAACCGCCCCGGGTCTGTGCCTCTTGTGTTAGCAGAGAGATGGACGGGATCGGTAACACCATGCAGAAGAAGGCTGCAGAGCTGGAGCGGCTGGCCGAGGTGCTCGTCACCGGAGAACAGCTGAGGTAGGTCGGCTGGTCCCTATCCCACATTCCCGCTGACACTGTGCTGCAGGTCACACAGTGTTTGGGGGAAGCTGTTGTATTCATCTCAGGATCATCTGCAAATCTCTACCAGATTTGCAGTCACCATTTGAAAGATCTGATCATTAGTAAATCCTGTATTAACACGTCAAACTAATCGTTTAGTTAGTTTGCATGGCAGCTCGCGCCTGTTTTTGTGGCCCAGATCAGGATGAACAAGAACATGACAGGACATGGCACATTTAAATGAGAAAAGTGTGTGTTGTGATCGTGTTTGACAGCAGGTTAATCATTAGTTCACCCTCATGCTCTACAGACAGTTTTCAGGTCCACTGCAGCATGCACAGCCAAACAAAGGCATCCACACATGTACAACCCTCCCCATGCAGGCTGCTGCTCCTCACCTATACAACATGCACCTTACAGCCTGGTGCACTGTACTGTAGCTCTTTACATCCTGCAGGAACCTCCTTTGCTAAGCTGCTGTTAGGATTGAACACATGATTGATTTGTGTTGCTCCAGTGTGTTACAGTGCCCTTTGAGCTGCACCGGGAATGATGAACCTACTAACCCAATATCATTACCATGTCCTGCCCGTTCGCCCTATCAGGAAATTGTACCACTCACCCTGCCAGTGTTGTTGACATGCTGTACTCTTTGACCTACAGTATGTAAAGAACACCCACATAACCCCGGTGGCGTTCGCTGGCTCACGCTCCCAGCAATGAATAGAGGCTCAGTAGGTAAAGCATGGCACCAATGCCTGGAATTTCAGCCCCCCACTGAACTATGAGGAAAATATGCTACTGAATTGTGTTTTCCAGCTGGGTGTGATAAGTTGGAGTTTTGCTGTTTGTGAAAAAAGTACATGCTGTAACATTGTCCTGTTCTGAACCATAAAAAGTAACACCAAGTCATCACCTCCAGAGATTGATAGTTTGTGTCTGGACATACTCTTCAGGGTACTCTCACTTACTGCCAGTGTGTGTTTCCCTGTTTGTCATTGTGTGTGTGTGTCCCTGGCACAGCTGTATACGGAGGCTGCCAGCTGGCAGTGTGGCTGGTGTCAGTGAACGAAGGGTTGGTTGGGGTGGCTGTCCCATAGTCCACTGAGACGCTGCTGTTCTGGGGGAAGGGACTCGAGGTTTTCACATACAAGACTTGATCTCTGTCTTTCTGCCTCCTCTACAGACGCAGCAGTCAGCCTGAGGGCTTTTTTAGTCATGTTGTTGTTTAGCAGCATGTTGTTCACCACTTGTCCACCACTTTGGTCCGGACTGAAATAATCTCAACAGCTATTTAATTGATTGTCATGAAACTTGGTGCAGACATTCCTGGCCTACAGAGAATGAAGCCTATTGATCTTTGGTGATCCATTAAATTTCATCAACACCTTGGTTTATGACCAAATAAGCTGCAGAATTAATGACATACTAATGAGCCTCAACTGTACTTTTTTTATTGCTATTTGCAAATGTCAGCATGCTATGAGTGCAAATTTTATTAAATATTATACATATATTTTAGTATTTATCCCAAAGGACCACTGTCCCTGCCTCACATAGCACCTGGCATGGCTGTAGACTCTTGGTCTTGTTAAACTGTGCAGTGTGAGCACACACACACACACACACACACACACTCACACTGGACAGTTTAATGAACGCAAATGCTGACATGAGGGAGTGAGAAAGTCGCAGTCAATTTCATTTTCATGAAAACAAAATTAGACCTGATATGAAACACAGTTGGTGTAAAAGCAAGGACTGTACCTAATCCACACCTTTGTTTGATCGTTTTATCACGAGTCCAGATCATGGAACATGACTGACACAGTTCCTGGTACTGATAACGGTGCACTGGCTTTTTAAAAAAAAAAAAAAACATATCTCATTACACATTTGTGTCCCATCATGTTGAGTGCTCAATATCTTAGAGCAGATCCGCCTCAGGCACAATGCTGACAAACAGACAGAAAGACAGCTGCCATGATATGCAGACACATACAGCTGCTGTTGTAAGTCTTGTGACCAGTTCATAGCTGTGAATAGACAATTTGTTGCACTATGGCAGACTGTGATAGAGAGTGAGGCTTCATGGGTTTTTTCAGGCTGGGACTCTGCGTCATTATAGTCATACTGGGTGCCAGAGAATCATTCAGAAATGCCATCTGTTATTGTTTGATCCAGCACAAGTTTAAGAAATGTTAAGAGAATAACCAACAGAGTAAGAGCACCTACCACAAGTCTGACAACTAAGCCTCCTGTAAGGAAACAGCAAGATTGATGATTTAGCTTCCAGCTCCATTTGAAATGATTTATGGGTAGATTAGACCGAAATTTTCTGAGGCTGTACACACAGAGAGAGGATGAAGCTAGACCTGGTTGGAAGTGAAGTCTGTAACTTGTTCAGCTGAGGTTGTTTGCCCATCTCGAGTCCTGGCAGAATGGAGTGTGGGCAGGCTTGGACTAGGACTGTCACTGCTAATCCAAAGTGATTTTAGCCAGCTGCACACAGACTCAGCATGGAGTGGAACTAGCTAGCTGCAGGAACCTTGGCTGAGACTGTGGTGGGCTGTTTCACAATATTCAGGTTCAGCAAGAGGTCACCTTGATGATGTGAAACTATAGCATCCAGGTCATAGAAGCATGAGGGGTTTATCATCATGTCATCATGTAATCTTGTCACATTAGAAATCCCTGCAGACAGTGTTTGAATAGCATGCATTTATCCGAAGCCTCGAGGACTGTTTTTCTCTGTCTAACCTCGAATGAATGTTCAGGTAAATCATGTTTTCTACTATTAGAAGATTGTTTGTCATACAGACTAATATGATATGCAGCTCACATGGATAACTTAAACAGGGAATGTAAGATGCCACTTTTAGAGGGTTACGTATCATTCTTATTAAATCCAGCATGAATTCTTACTGTTATTAACATTACAAACGGGAACAGTCCTTTAAAGTTCTGGTATAAACCAAAAGATCATTAATGTCTGTTGCCAGATGTTTTCCAGTGCTGTACCCTTAAAAAAAAAAAAAAAAGAAGCAATATCAAGTCATCAATTGGTCACATGCTCTATTTCTTCACTAATAACAAAGCACCAGTGTTAATGCTAATGTTAAAGGAGAAGGCTGGTAATGTTTGACATTTTTGTTGTCGACAAAAGCCACAAAAATACCAAAACCAACAATAATTTTATCCAACTAACAGGTGTTGCCTCTGTAGCCAAATTCTGATAGAGCTTATTCTTCCTGTCGTAGAGCTCCATTGTTGTCCAAAAATTTAAAAACACTTGACGAGGCACACTGTTGCACAGGGTGACATGTGCTACAGTGACATCCCTTATTACAATGAGATCACACACACACACACATTGTAGTTTATTGGGAGACAATCCCTCATGCACCGTACCACTACTGTGAATACTCACTTATCTTATTTATCTGTTTTACTTGTTTTATTCTTATTTATTGTCCTTATTGCTGCTTGTTGATCCTTGTATTGACCCAAGTATGCTGATCTGTTGCCTCTGACATATAACTACTTTGCCTGTGAGTTTTTAAGTTGTGAAACAAGTGCGCTGTTTCCTCCTGCTCAGGTAACTTTTGCTAAAAACTGTGGCACCCAGCTGTTTTAGGAAATTACATAGCCATTTTCAGAAATGAAACTATGTGTTTGTGACCTGTATTTAAAGAATTACGTCCTCAGTAGGAACAAATGGTCTTGGGGGCTGAGTGCCAAAGACTGGGTAGGGAAGTGAGAAAGTAGGAAGAAATGGACAAATATATTGCTGGTTTCGGTCTTTTCATTGGATTTGCTGACTATAATAAAATATAGAATAATGCTTGCCTCATCCTCTTGTGCATTTAGCAATTAGCACAGTTAACACATTATGTTTCTGCTAAATATTTGTTGTCCAGGAGCCCTTAAAGTATTTTAAAAGTACTGTTTATCCTTTTTATTGTTTTTTATGTTGAATTCAGTTCTCATCATATGTACCACAAGTGTCATTACTAGTACCTACCTCAGAGGTGTCAAAGGAAACACAATAAAGGTTTTCATCTAACTTTTAAGGAATTGTTTGTTTGCTGCCCACCAGGCTGCGGCTCCACGAGGGGAAGGTGATCAAAGATCGGCGGCACCACCTGCGAACTTACCCAAACTGCTTTGTGGCCAAGGAGCTCATTGATTGGCTGATCGAACACAAGGAGGCCTCAGATCGGGACACAGCTATCAAGATCATGCAAAAACTTTTAGACCAGAGCATTGTTCACCATGGTAAGGCGTGTGTGTGTGTGTGTGTGTGTGTGTGTGTGTGTGTGTGTGTTCACAGTGTGTGGGGTCAGTCTTTGTTTGCAGTTTTCTTGTTTACTATTTCCTTTAGCTGCAGGGGTCTCTCTCCATCTCCTGCTCTTTCTTTCTTTCATTCTTTCTTTCTTTCTTTCTTTCTTTCTGCATTGACATTTTCTGGGAATGATCAGTGCGTCTTAATGGATGACTGTCCATGTCTCCCAGCCAGTTTGACTCCAATGTAGCGTCTCACTACCTGCTTCACATTTGACCAGACTCTGAAGACGGGGACAGAAGGAACTGGCTGCCTCTTTCTCTTTAGTTGATGTTTAGACAGAGCTAACTCAATACTTACTTACCCCAGCTGTAGATTAATGATTTAATCATGTTTGGATTTTAGTGACTGCTTTATAAAAACATAATCTAGATTATCAAGATCTCCTTATAAGATGCTTTGCTTCTTATAAGGAGATTATGTGTTTTTGTAGACCTAGCCAGAAGTTAGCATCACCCTGGTTCCCTCGCCAAAAAGCCAATGTGATTTTTTACATTGGTTTTTGGATTATTGCAGAAAATATGATGTGTTACAAACAAAAGTTAAGTGTAAACATATGTAAAGAAGAAAAGTAAACTGTAAAGTTTATTCACAGTTACCTCAGTTACGAACATGAAACAGGTTTTTATCTTTTTTGAGTCTTATAATTTAAGTCTGTGTATGTTGGTCATGATACTAAAATATCAGGACACAGTCCAACAGGAAACATTAAGGCTGCCTGTAGCTCCGCCTGTGTCCATCTGTGTCTGTCTTTGTAGACATATTTCTCTGTGTCTGGAACTTAGGAAGAAGTCAAGAAGTTGATAACAAACTTACTGCTCAGTCTAGATTATCCATGTTTCTTTCAACAGTATACAGTATGTAATTCCTACAGGTGATAAGCCCTTTAAACTGAAACAAACTGAAAAACTTTTTTGTTTTCTGTGCGTGTGTTTTTTTCAGTGTGTGACGAGCACCGGGAGTTCAAAGACTTGAAGTTGTTTTACCGCTTCCGTAAGGACGACGGTACGTTCCCGTTGGACAGTGAAGCCAAGGTCTTCATGAGGGGCCAGAGGATATATGAGAAGTATGTGTGCGCACACAAACACACACCTAAAACACAACACAGACAAACCTGCTGATTCCTGTACTTCATGGTGTAACTGTAAGAAGGATTGAAATAAATAAATACATTTTTGATTCACTTTCTCTTTCAACTTATCAGCGAGTAGCTTTAAAGGAGCTATTTGTAAATTTTGCTATTGCTACATGGCCAACATTAGCATTAACAACTGTTTACTTACCAGTATAGAAGAAACATTGCGAGTTCAGCATCAAACTTCATTCCTGTACTCACCAAAAGCTGTCTCCGGCGGAAAGCAACACCGATGTTAACTGTTTTCTTTATCTCTTCTTTTCCTCTACTAAAGTTAGCATGCTAATCAGCTAGCCCTGCCCCATGTTGTGACTCACTGTAGCCTCCAGTCTGCCCGGAAGACGTAGCGCTGCTTAGAGGGTGTATTATAACTTCTCGTCTGGTAAATGCAACGATGGCCGAAGCTCTTGTCAAGCAACAATCACCACCACCCGCTCCCATTAAGAACGCACATTCAGCTGCAGAGAAAATATACAAATAGCCCCTTTAAAGCAGAAGTTTGACATTTTGGGAAGTATGCTTATTAGTTTTCTTGCCAAGGAATACATGAGAAGATTGACACTGCTCTCGTGTCTGTACGGTAATCATGAAGTTGAAGCCAGTGATCGGTTAGCTTAGCTTAGCATAAAGACTTTAAAATAATGCATAACTTTGTCTGATGTTTTGAAAACATTAGTAGCTGTTGATTCACAGCTATCGTGCTTCAGTTGATAAAAACTTACAGACTTACCTTGGTCAACACACAGTTGCATGATGTTTTTCATAACTGATAGCAAAGAAATGCATACAAGCTTAAAATAGCCATGAGCTATGAAAAACATCCCCTCTCTCCGGGTTTTACTGTGATGCACTGATATAAATGATGATTGTTTGTGTGATATAAGGCTTATCTCCTCAAAGAGGGTTCTGGTAAAGCATGCTGACCTAATGAACAGTGAACTATCGCCGCATTATCTGATGCTGCCTGAACTTTTGGAGCTTCTTGGCCACTTGGCAGGCTGTGGCACATAACGTGTGTATTTCCTGCCTTCCTCTTTGTTTTCCTTTGTGAGAGTCACTGGCATTCTCCACAGCATACTGATAGAGTATGTCAGAAATGCTACCACCACTAATTTTTTAGAACATCTTTTTTGTTTAGAGTGCATAGTATTGAGCTTAACTGGTTTTTGACCATGATAAAAGTCAGCAGGAAGTGAGAAATAAGAGGGTGTTGGAAGTATTTTGACAAGAGATGACTCATAGCATAGAGGAGGGCAAAGGACACTACTAATGGGAATGTTTTTGTTTGTCATCAGCTTTGTACCCATGATGCTGTTTTTCCCAATAGTGATGAGACTAATTGTTTCTATAGAAACAATCTTTCTGGTGCTATATTAGTGGCATCTCTACAATTTTGAATTGAACACACACATGACGCACGCACGCACGCACGCACACACGCACATATGCACACGCACACACACACGCACGCGCGCACACACATGCGCGCACACACACGCATGCACACACACGCACATATGCACATGTACACGCACAAGTAAACTGTGCGTAAACTAGTCTGTAAAACATTGTCTAACCATGTTGCCTAGGAACTTCTGTCACAACAACTGTTTGAAATGTCTTCCTCCGGTTTGTTTATTGAACTTTGCATATGTTGAATTGACAATCGACAGCATGAGAGATCAATGTGAGAGACCTGTTTATTTTTCCAATGGGAAAACTAGATGTTGTACTGTTGGGTAGTCAGAGTTTGCACAGTATGTGTACAGTAAGTTCAAGTCCCACTTGCAGTCCTAAAACTTGCATTGGAATGTCAATTGAATTTGTTTCAGAAGTGCTGAAATTCAGTTGAATCTTTGCAAACCTCTTACCAAAGAGCCATATCATATGTTGGTGTACAATTATGAAAGCAAGCAGCACAAACAGCAATCCTTCCTGGATGGGAGATATTTGCACTTTGCTCTGAGGCACTAGAGACTGGGAGATGGTTGTTTTTTTATGCTGCTGGACTATTACTTGTGCTGTAAGAGTAATTGTGAAGCAACTCTAGTTCACAAGCAAACAACCACCAGAGCAAGCTTGAGGGGTGTTTGTGTGCATGCGTTTATGTGTGTATGTGTGTGTGTGTCCTGGGCTGCACCATGGTGATTACATAAACACATAGCTTTGAGAGCTGAGACGACAGATGTCTCCCCTTGGACTATTTCTTCCTCTTATGCAACTGCTGTGTGTGTTTGTGTGTGTGTGTGGGGGGTGTCAAAGAAAAAGATATGAAAAATAGGTCTCTGTTTAAATGAGAGTGTCACTGTGTATGTGTTAAGAGAGGTACAGAAATATAGTTTGCTTATGTGACAAAGAGGTGGCCGGATGTGTGAAAGGGAGGGGAGTAAAGCTGTTGTGTTCTGTACAAAAAAAAAAGACTGTATGTGTGTGTTGTTGTAGATTGTGGTCGAATTGTGTAAATGATTTAGTCATGCTCATATCATATGAAAAGATGATTAATTTATTATATTTATTATTTATTTAAGCTTTATTTATCTGGGGTAGATTCACTGACATTGCCCTGTCTTACACTCACTAACATTTATACCAACAGTCTTTCCTGTTTTATGTCCAGCTGTGGTTTATGTGCCTTGCTGAAAGGCACATCAGTTACTTCTCTAGTCCACTTCTGTTCAGTTTGAAATTAAACATGATTAATAAGGAATCAAACCTTTAGCCAAACATTGTATTTTCCAAGTCAGTCTTAGTTGACTAAGTTACTTCAGTCAACTTTCTTCACTATCGTCTCAGTCAATATTTAGTTTTATTCACACTATTTGCTGAATGACTTCAAAAGTTCAAAGACAATCTCTGCAGGTCCTTCTCTCCTGTCATTTGCACAAGTCTTTGTGTGTTTGTGCATCAACATTTGCTGCATCAGTGTGTACTTCAGTGCCTGTGAGAGAGTGAAAGAGACAGACAGTGCTGCTTATCGATTCCGTGGGTCTGTTCAAGGCTAGAAAACACCTCGGTTTAAAACAACAAGCAGTCTGTCTCTCACCACAGTCCTTGAAAGTTTTGCCTGTTTTAGCCCATTCACTGCCAAAATCCTATAGTTTACATTACTGGTGACCATGTTTTTGCATAGCAGTCATCCATCACACTGTTTTTTTTCTTTCAGATGCATAAATGCCACTAAATCAGAGAGAGCAACACAGCCCTTCATTTCTAAACGTAGCACAGATATACATTAAAAAGACGTCTGTGTCACTGCTCATTTAGACGAACCTAAAACTTATAAACAACTGATAATGGCTGGTTAATTACATCAGCTGCTCTCCATGCTTGAGAGCAGATCCTAACATTTCCACATGAGTTACTGGTGACTGGTGGAATGTCTTTGGTTATTACAGTATGAACTACAGCATACAATAATGCTCATCTGTGCTGAAAGTCCTGACATACAAAGTAATGTTATCATCTGTTTGTTATTCCATGAGGTCTTTGTCAGGAAGCTTTGGAGACTGTAACTGAGATTAAGGACTGTATGAATGAAATCCGTTTGATATGAGAAGGTCATGTCAATAAAGGTTCAGAACGTGTTGGGTTTACAGTGCATGTATGCAGGGTAGTTTGTCTAACAGAAGTACACACACTAGGGGCCATTTAGCTGTGAGGTTTCCACAAAGCAGCTGAAAAGGGCCGGCGAAGTGGGGAAATGTGTTTGCATATATAAACACCCTGAGACATCAGTCATGCAGAAAGAGCAACCAATTTGGTCTCAATTTTCTAAATAAGGGTTCTGAATTAGGTACAGTATTGTTTTTCATACATTTTTAACATTTTCCCCTCAGAGACTTCAACCACTGCTGAGACCAAACCCACAAGCAAATTACCATAAACAGGGTAAAAAGAAATCTTATCATCATGCAGAATATACCCACACTTTGCCACAGTGTGTCTTACAGACATAACACTCTGTAAAACTGAACTCTGGGCCTCTTTGGGTGAACAAATGAAAATATATTTTTGCATTGTTTGACATTTTAATTTTGGCTCTTTGTGTGCTGTTTGGTCACTCCTTGAAGTGATTTAGAGAAAAGTACAACTTGATTTCTTCCACCTCAGCTACACTTAGAAATCACTCAGGTTCTGTGTTAAATAATTAAAGGTAAAACCTAAGAAAAAAAAATATTCTGTATAAACCTCTGTATCATTTTCCGATGTTTTAGTTTTTAAAAGTTGGTGGGTCGCCAGAGCCCCACCTTTATGCAAGACCAAGTCTGAGAGAAGGGAAAAACCAGGCTGTCCCACAACCACGTCTCAGTGGACAGACACCGCTCAGGCTGTTAGGTATGCTGACTGAACAACTACACTGAATGTATATCCAGGTCACAGCAGCTCGCCTCGTCCCACTTGAGTTCTCATGATCTATATACATACTGTATATACAGTTTCACAATCTACTGTACTGCTCATGTAATACTCAATAGGCTATTATTCGAAGCACTGTGCTTAACTTTGACTACAGTACTTTGAGTCAATCCCTTTGAGCTAACATAACATGATCTGTTGACTTAACATGTTTAAATGGATTAAATAGCATTATGTATGCAGCCAGGTCTTATGGAACATTATGTTCACTTCTTTCAACATTTGTATTATGATGTTGGCTGCCAATGTGGGTCATAGCAGTTGTCCTACTAAATTTCCTAATCCATCATAATTTGTCATCTGAACAAGACCTGTGTTCTGCAGTGTGTTGACTTTATGTGACTGGAGAACACTCCCACTCCTGGGTGTGCACCTCAGACCATTTTTCATAAATGCTGTACGTTTAATCTGGTGGTCTATGTTTTACTCAGCTCGGGGCTGACATTTGAAGAATACAGTGTCACAACTTTAATGTACTTCTTGTGGTCCTGGAGCTTTCTCTGGATCATCAATCACAGTTTAAATGAGCCACACTGAGACGACGGTTCTGGCAGAAAGGACTCAAAAGAATCCAAGGCTTTTTGCACAGAGGAGGCTTTTTAGAGGCTGCACCTGATTTAGGATTCATTTAGTTTAATTTCACATATTAGGATCCCTATTTAGCTTAATCAAAGCAGAAGCTGTTCTTCCTGGGCACTGATGGTTTGGCCACTAATGTCCTGCTTTCCATAAGATGTTAAATGTTCTCCCAATAGACAAAGTGAAGGCTTGTCAGTGCCCGAACAATCTTGCCTGCTCTGTACACAGCCATTATTAGTTAGTACTATATACAGTGTGAATTACCTATGTGCACAGGGCTGGTTATCTTTTTTCTGATTATGGATAAAAGAAACAATATTGACTTTTGGTTTCAAACTATTTGAAATGGGAAACAAACAGTCGTCTCCTGTCTGTGTTTAGACTTTGTTTCTCTTTATACTACATCACTTTACTTTCTCCTTTGCTCCTGTCATAGTTACTACGTTAGGAAGTTGCCTAACAATAAAACGTAACTATGGGTCATAATAAGTTTCTTACAGCTTTGTATTTAGAGTGGCATCTCATTTCTCATCTAAGTCTCGGCAAGAAAGTGAATGAATGAATGTATTTCTCAAAACGCCAGACTGTTACCTTGAGCCGTCGTCTATCAGCCTTTTCACTGGAATCATATTTATCTCTTGACTGTCTGACTGATCTGTTAGAGACATCTGGGGTTCAAATTAATAAGCTTTTAAGGATTATCTGTTTGTTGACAGACAGGCAGACAGTACTTTCCTTTCTGTCCTGTTTGGACTGGTTTAATAAGGCTGGTGGTTGTTAACGTTTCTTGGCCAGGAAACGTTCCCTCAACTATGGGATGTGACTGTTAGTACAAATATTCAGTGTCTTTATCTTGTAACTTTTAGTTTTTCATAGACTCAGTTCATAAGATGTATGAAATTACAAGCTGCTGTCATCTATAAATTGTATGTGTCTGTCTTTGTTAACTGTCAGGTGTGTAGAGCTGATAGTTTGGTGAATGATTGATAGCCATTAAAATGTGTGGGAATATAATTGGTGCCAACAAAACACAGCCAATAAAGACGTGGAAAGCTGAGCGCTTCTTTCCATTTGACGGTACACTTCATGTCTAGCACATGTTTAGACATGTACGGGTGAACCACAGAAAGCATATTGTTTCTTATGAGCACTGCAGGGCTGTGTTTGTATTGTTTGAAAGTTCATGTGACAGTGTTTGGGTGAGAGTGATGGGTGTGAATGTGTTTTTAACAGAGAAGCACAGGGAGAGAGAGTCAGCAATTTTGTTCTGTGCATGTGTGTACTTGTCTGCTTTTGTTTGTTTGAGTGTGTGTCTGTCACCTGGTGCCATCCACAAGAGATCACACCACTTATTTAATGTAACCCTTTGATTATTGGCTATTCAGGATCACACACATCCATGAATAAAACGGGGAAGCACAAGCATGCGTGAGATATTCTTTTCTTGCTAGTTACTAGAGGCAATGTGAAATAGCATTCACTACTATGAGACAGATTGTTGTTTGAGTTTTTACATCCAACTGAGCTGAATCCACAAAGTCAAACTTCCATTTGCTGCCAGTGAAGCAGATCTAGAGGGTTTCTCTCAATGTAATTACCTTGTCATCATGCTAGGCTGATCTGTAGTTTTGGTGCATTAGGTTTAGGAATACCATTAATTTAGTTTTAAGATTCACTCTCAGTGCCTCCACTTGTGTGGTTGAAATGTTAATCCAGACAGAGGTACAGTGCAGCTTGTGTGCATTTTCACTGTGCAGATTACAGAGTGGAGTAGAAAGCTGCCGCTTTGGCAGATTTTCCCTGTCGGAAATTCGCACTAAAGAAAGTTTCAAAATAACACCATTTTACAAAATATAGAAAGCAACACTGGATAGATAAACAGTTTTATGGTGGTTTATGTTACTGTATGGGTATTAGTTGAAGCATTTCTGTGAGCAGACAATTTTTTCCATGAGGTAGGTATGCACTGTATATAACACTACAACAGTACAGCCAACACAAGAACAAAATACTGCACTAAATGTGCTAAATTTATCCAAAATCAAAAGCTGAATTGATTCCAATTGCTGAATTTATTTATAGTCCTTATAAAATTATGTAAAATATCTAATTTCACCTCAGAATTGTTGGAGTAGGCCGCTGACTTTTAAGCTTTGTGTTTCGATTAGATTGCTTTTATAATGCAACGTTGTAAAGACATGTACAATTAAAGTAACAAAGGTTTTCCCTTTTCTCTCCACAGGCTGATGAACACAGAGAACAACCTCTTACAGACCAGGGAGGAGGAGGGTGGGACATTCGAGCGGACGCTGGTGGCCTCCGAGTTCATTGACTGGCTGCTACAGGAGGGAGAGATGGCAACCAGGGAGGAGACGGAGCAGCTGGGACGGAGGCTTCTTGAACATGGCATCATTCAGCACGGTGAGGGAAGATGGAGCAGCTGTTCATATTGTCTGCAGCCTGGCTACTGAAATTTTTCTTGTCAAATATTAATATTAAACCCCCTTCAGGGGTCATACATGTAACAGGGGTCATGGTATTGACAGACTGATGATCTGTGAATGACCCATGGTGATAGTAAAGGTAGTAGTCCCTGTAAGTAGTCCCATTTCACCTCTGCATTATCCTGTAAGAGAGCTCTACTCAGCTCAACTGATTCTGATGTAGCTCCTCTTTAACCTGGGGACCTTGCCGTTTATAGCGCCTCCACTCTTTTAGGTCATGCAATCTGATAACTGTTGTTGACTTATAGTATGATTACAGTCCTATCTGCACACTGAAACACACCCTTGTGACTCACTTAAAAAAGTCCTTGTCAAAGTCAAGAAAGGTTTAGTCTGAGCTTGCAGCAGTTTAGAACAAGGAGGGGACCCAGTTGACCATTTTAGTGCCATAGATATGAGTAGATAGATGTAACCTGGATTCTAGTTATACTTTTCTGTTAAAAAATAGCTCTAGTCCTCACACCTAAAAGCAAAAAAATGGGTTAACATAGTCTCCAATGGGAAACTGGAAACTTTAAAAATGGAAACTTTGTAAGTATAGCACCCACTCTCATCCTCTCCTAAAACTCATTCCAGCTCATGGTGGGCTCCCAGCCATTCTGAACTAACCCTGATTATATCTCACACTGGCTGGGATTATGTTTTTCCACCAGTCTTGATTTCCTGTACCTCCTATGCCCGACTTGACCTGACCTGTCTCAGGACTACGGTCAAGAGTGAGTAGAGTTACAGAGTGTCGCAGAGGAGAGGAAAATGTGACCTGAATGTCTCGGGCTTCAAAAGGTCAACAGGTTCTACTGGCTGCGGGACTGGGAGCAAGAGATCATATTATCTGTGAACATGTGATAAATGCACTCTTGTTGTACATGATTGGCTCAGCTTATAGTCTTAGCACTGGTGGAAGATGTAGTCCGACCCTTTACTTAAGTAAACGTACTAATACCACATGTCAAAATACTCCATTACATGTAAAAGTCCTGCATTCAAAATGTTAAGTAAAAGTACAGAGGCATTAAAAGTAAAAGTGCACATTGTACAGATGGGCTTCTTTCAGTGCTATATTATTATATATTATTTATCACTGGATTATCATGAATGCATTGCCCAACATGTATTGTTGTACTGTGGCTGGTCAAGGTACTGTAATCTGTTAAATATCATATTTAATCATATTTATTTATTTTACAAGCTGATCACATGTTTTGGATATAACAATGCACAATGTAAAAATACTATTATGTTCAGACGCTTTGATATGTGGACAGGAGGAAAAAATTGAAACACAATACAAGTACCTTAAAATTGTACTTAATTACAGTACTTGAAAATCTTACAACAGCAACTTGATTACAAGGGAGGAGCAAAAGAAATTTCTATCTGTCCAGTGTGAACAGAAAGAGCCATCAGAAAACAGGTAGTCGGGTACCACGTTTTATTTTCTGCATTAGTGCACATTTCTCTCCTCGTTTATTGGGAAGTTTAAGAGGAACTGAAGGGGCAAAGTGCTTTTCTCATTTATTTTAAAAGAGCATTAGAGCTTCTGCTTATTGTGCGGTGTAATCAAACATGTTAATATCCCAGGTGTGAGTGTGTGTCTGCAGCCCCTCGTTAAACCATAATTGGCACCAGCTGTATGAATGCTTTGGTTCTCTGTGTCGATAGGGCGTACAGTCGTTATCTTCTGGCTGGTAAGACTTCTAAGCTGTTTGTTAAAACATTTTTGGCTCAAAACGCTTCTCCAGAGTACTGCGACAGTTTTTGCATTTGACATTTTGTTCAACAATGCACCTGGATGCTGAATGAGCTTCTGTTGGGTCACCACATGACATGAGATTTGATTGTCTGATGTCTGTGGTTCACACCCGTGTCTGACGGAAGTCACATGGCCTTAGTGCTTTTTTTTTTTTTGCTTCATTCAAACACAAGCATTGAACATGTACGGCATAGCTGTCGACACAGCTGGGGGCGGGCATGTTGAACCATTCTGGTGTGGATTACATGTAAAGTACGTCATAAATTACCACTGCTGCACATGATGGTTGCCATAATGTTTGATTTAAATAGTTTTAAACAGAGAGGAAATGATTTATCATATGATGAAGAGCAGAGTGAAAGTAATTTCTGCCCTCTCTCCTGTTTTTTTTTTTTTTTTTTTTTTTTTCATTTTGCTCCTGCTTCTCTTCGTCTGCCTGATCGCCTCTTGTCACACAGTAGGCCCATCTGCTCTCTCTCACTTCCTCGCTCAAGAGCTGTAATAGAGCTGAGCATCTCTGGGGTACTAGGAATGTGGTGTTCTTCAACACACACACACACACACACACACACACACACACACACACACACACACACACACACACTGCAGCGCTGTGTGTTGTCACTTCACTTAGTTAATGTAATGCAGAGCCTGCTCTGCTTCCTGCTGGCCTCACAGAGGCTTCATAGTGTCATCCTCCCTCTGGAAATAACTGCACTAGTGTTACACGGATGACCTATGGACTTTTCACTGTGTATATTGCTGTACACCCTTTTGCTACATTAGGAATGATAATGAAAAAATAATTTTGTTTTTTAAAGTGTTTACAGGCCCTCTGCACATTGTAAAGAGAACAGAGAATGAGATAACTAGCTAGTCTACATTCCTGGTCTCTGCTCTGCTGGGCAGCGGTCACACATTCATACATGTAATGTATAGGGGGCAAGTCTGGATGGATCCACATTGTGTTTGGTTAGTGTTTTTACTGTGCGACAGCTTGGCAGTTGTTTTTCTGCATTATGCATCTGAATCATGCACAAAGAGACAGCTTTAAAACAGCGTGTACATTGGAGATAATGTGCATAAGCAAATTAAGAATATAAATCTCATAAGCAGTCAGAGTAGGGTTCTGTATCGCTGTGCCAAAGGCATTTGGCCAATAGCAGGCTGGGTAAGACTTTATAAATCTTAAACTGAGACTGCTGGTGCTGCAAGATTTTCCTAAATCAGTTAAAACTGAACAAGAGAAACAGCGTTTCAGTTGTAGAGCATCATGCACCGTGCCTTTTCACTCATGATAAAAGGACTTTGTGAGGCTGACAATAGCTTTGTACCCACAGGACGTGAACTGACAATAAGGAAACACACTGGGTGTTTCTTATTATGCTCTAGGCTGATAAATGAATGGTAACTAAGTAAATTAACATCATGACTGATAAATGAACTTGCATTTTTTGGCATAATGTCCTTTCACAGTGTTGGATATTATTGGCCAGCTACAGATTGGCCACTGCCATTAACCCTTGTGTATTTCTATCACTTTCTTTGTCTTCAAAAAGTTACATAGTCTAGATTTAAATCTTTATTCACGCTTACTAGCACAACATGTTAACAGTGTTTCAGAAGTCATGAGCAGTAAGAAGTGACATTGTTTTTAAAATTATTTTAAATGAAGCTTCAGAACAGGAGCCATGGCCGTGGTTGGTGTTTGGATCTGCAAACACTAGTGAGTAAGTGAAGGAGGTTGGATTTGAATACAGTCTGAGTGGAACTGGGGCTGTAGATGCCAAACTGAGGTCAAGAGACAATAAAAAGCACTACACAAGAAGGGCTGTTTTATTTTATTTTTTTTGGGGGGGGGGTTGATTTAAATTTGATTAGTTCCACTGCATGAATGGGTTTAATGAATCATTAAGCCTCTCATGAAAATTATCCAGGTTGAAAACAGTTTAAAGGAAATGTAGTCTTCCACATTAAACTTACCAATAAGACAGGGAGCGTTGTTTCTAAGCAGATTTATTTATTTATTTATTTATGTAACCCATTATTTTGAAAAGTCACATACAAAGACATAAATCATCAGCAAAGTAGATAAAAATCAGAAAATAACAGACTCGATGCTGCAGGAAGCAAGAAAAAGAGGTTAACAAAAAACTAAAAAGGTACAACAGATGAAAACAAGCTCGTGAGAAATAGTTTGATAGTTGGCAGATTTAGCAGATTGAGGCTGTATATCTCATCCAGTGTCTGGGAATCCTAACATTTTATCTTCCAGTTTTCCAGTCTGTACTGTTTTTTCCTGTCTCTGAAATCAGGGAATACTTTTCAAGTTAAAAAAAACTTAAGTCTTAAATCATTTAGCAAGCTTATAAATTTAAATAAAATTGTGCTCAGGTAACTCTACGGTTCAGCCGGTCTTATCCGTCCAGCTGAGACGGCTGAGGTCAGTGCTCTGTGTGGTCAGTTTGTGTTTGTTCAGCACAGGTGATCTCAGCTCAGTGGAAAGTTTGTTTAGTGCTGCTCCTTTGAGTTCAGCCGGCCTGCGGGGGAAAAAAGGATTACACATTACTGGAGTTGTTAAAATAATTTGACTTAGGTATGAGTGACTGATTCACAATTATAAATTGTTCTTTGCCCATGTTTTAGTGATGGAAATGCATGCATAATGCTTTTCATCTCTCTAGCTTTTGCATACTTCCTGAACGAGGAGATATCTAGAAGAGACAGTCTTAAGGTTGTTCAGGACTACAGCCAAGATTTTGATTTTAGATCTGACATCAGTGAATATCCATGATTGCGTATGATGAAGTTTCAAATCCTTTTATGCTTTCTACCTTCTCTTATCCCCCACTTTACAAAACTTATTTATTCTCTCTATATCCATTTTTTTTCATCAATAGTCGCCAACAAGCATCACTTTGTCGACGGGCCCCTCCTCTATCAGTTCAGGATGAACTTCCGGCGACGGCGGCGACTGATCGAACTTCTTCACGAGCGAGGCCGCAGCATCCCTGAGAGCCATGACAGCCCCTTCTGTCTCCGCAAGCAGAACTCAGATGGAGGCAACACCAGCTTCCTGTCAGGTAAATACTGTAACACAACCACACAAAGTAACTGCATGTACAGTCATTACATACATGTACAATACCATATCATACTGTATTGTACCAAACAGGCATCAGAGTCAGTATGAATTCTGTTCTGAGGTTACCTGTCCTTCTGTTTAAACCTGACAGAAAACTTTAGAGCTGAAACATTTCATGAATTAGTCTCAACAGGTCAACAGGAAAATCGCACCTATTTTGATCATTGATTAATTGTTTCAAGCAAACATAATGAAAAAACAACAGCAAACATTCTCTGGCTCCAGCTCCTCATCAGAGGATTTGCTGCTTCTCTTGCTCATATATCATTGTAAATGAAAATGTCTTTGGGTTTTAGACTGTTGGTCAGACAAAACCAGACACTTGCAGATGTCACCTTGGGTTCTAGGAATTTGTGATGGGTATTTTTCCACTTGTTTTTGGCATTTCACAGAAAACTTTTAATGTGATAATAGTGTGTGTTCATGTGTTCATTTAAGCAGTTTTTCTTTGTATAGAAGAAATTTTTCTATACAATTGAAATACTTCCCTTGGTTTTTGGATTCTGTCTTCTAGGTAAACCCACAGTGACATATTTACCCCTTTTTCCTAATCGTCTTTGGACTCACGTACGCATACTCATGATAACCGGTGTCCTTGGGGGTATCTGCTATTTGTGTTGCTAAGCAGGAGAACATGTTGAAAAGTGCAGAGTTTTGTTGGTCGATCATATGGTCCAATTGACTTGGCCTCTGAAAAATAACTAGTAAAGTTGTTGAGTTTCGAAAGCTCAGCTCAACTGGGGAATTTTATTTTGGTTTATTCAGCTTAGATCAGACGTCTACACTGCATAAATGTGTCATTGTGGCGCAATGCGGTAGAGGATATTTCTCTGTTTTTCTCTTTTGAGTGTAATAAATTCCACAAAAGTATTTACATAATTGTAAAATGGTTGGACAGGGGCTGCTGTTTAGATCCTCAACTGTGATCTGAAAGAAAAAACATCTAAAATGCACAATGCAGAATCCAGTTCTCCACCTTCAGCAAACTTTGGTAATAAATGGACCTGGTTTAGATTTTCAAAACTAAGAAATGGTTTCATCTGAATGTACTACTGCTGAAGACCTGTGTTGTTCTCATAAAAATGCATAAACATCACATATTTAAAAGCGGTTCCGCCACATGTAAAAGTGTCATAAAGTGCCACAATGACAGAGAGAGAGAGATCTCTGGGGAATATCTTTGACTTAATGAGGTGGGTAAATAGAGATGGCTGGAAAAGAGGGGTAACAAAACAAACTTTTAATTGTTGAACAAATGTGAAACACCTTACCAACTCTTTTTAAAAAAAATAAATAAATAAATAAATGAGCTAGTTTATTCTAAGTGAAAGGCAGTTTTTATCAGAATGAGCTCTCAGTATATTTTCTCCCTCCAGTTCTGTCTCTCTCTGCTGTTTGTGTTTTAGTCCAACGCCTCTGTCTGTCTGTGTCTGTCTCAGTGAGTCCCACTAAAGAGATAAAGGTGGCGGTCGGAGTTCGTCGGAGCAGCATGAGCAGCAGCTGTGGCAGCAGCGGTTATTACAGCAGCAGTCCTACGCTCAGCAGCAGCCCACCTGTCCTCTGCAACCCCAAATCTGGTACGATGACAAGGACACGCACAAACTGTACATAGAGTCTAATATGTGAAGAAGTATTAGAGGTGTGAAAAGCTTTTTTCATTTTGTTTCAGGTGCCTTGTATTAGTTTATAAGTCAGTTAAAATTAGTTCTTTATTGTTCATCTTTTATGAAAATGTTGAGGAGAGAGGCTAAATGACCTCATGCCATCTACAGTGGAAGACAGATGTGTGCTTCATGCAGGAAGTGATAATCATTCATTCATATAATGAGGAGATGGACTGCTTAAACTTATGAATGGAGATTTGAATGAAGTGACACCTTTGAGCTGTGTGTGTGTGCGTGTGTGTCTGTTACTACTGTGACAGATTTCTTTTGATGTGTCCAATCCAACCACAGTCCTTGACAGGAGTCTCTTTGTACCAGCAGAGCTCCCCCTCAACATGTGCACTCACACACACACCATACACAATGAACAGGAAAAGGAAGACACACATACACACACACACACACACACACACACACACACACACACACACACACACACACACACACACACACACACACACTCTTAGGGTATTTCCCCTCTGCCTAACATTAACCTTAGTAATTGCGTGTATCACATGATAGGAAGATAAGGAGACCAAAAATATAAAACATTCAAAGTACATGGTACAAATGTTTCCCAGTGAATGAGGAGCTTTGTGTGTCGTGTAATTTCTGGTATGAATTTATGAAGCCAAACAGATATTTTTTAAAAATGGTAGATGAAGTATTAAAGCTGGAGAAGAAGGTCTCTCTCATATCATCCTGTTTCTTATCAGATTAGAATCAAGTACTACACAGACCACAAGTGATGTGTCAATCATAATCACACTGTAGAAGAAAGAATTTGAGCTGCGAATTAAACATTTTGTAATTGGCATATTAAAGGTAGATGTATAGATTCATGCAGTGAAATTAGCTGAAAACATAAATTGCTATATTACCTAATTAGATTACATTCTCCTCTTGTGTAGGGTCATGTTGAAGTGTGTAATGGTAAGGGGAAGTTGGAGGAGGGGAAGAGGAGCTCTACTGTTTCAGGAAGCAGCGAGCCTCCAGGCCTGTTAGCACGTGCAACGTTTACACAAACACACACAGACACATTTTGACCCACAGTAGTGTCTGTTTTGTGTTTCAGTGTGTGTGTGTATGTTCATGCCCGTTTGCACACGTGTTCTGTAACCATGTGTATGTATGTTGGCCTTTATGTGTGATCCTGTCTGACTGTCATGATAGCAAATAATATTTTGTGTGTGTGTGTTTTTTTTTTTTTTTTTGCCCAACAGTTCTAAAGAGACAAGTGAGTCCAGAGGAGCTGCAGACACCAGGAGGACCTTTTATAAAGAAGACATTTACCGTAGGACACACACACACACACACACACACACAGATAGAGCTGGGCTTTAACAAAGACTACTTTGGCATGGATCCACATACACTCACAATCACACAGGGAGTGTACTCAAGTCATGTGTATATGCATAACGCTCAGACACACATTCACACACACATGCTCATCTGTTACACTCTGCTCTTCTTCTGTGATGAGTGTGTTTGCCACATAGTGCTAAATGTGCGTCACACCAGCGGACATTAATCTTACATGCATTAGACACTACGCATGTGCATTAAAAACAGTAATATCTCACTTCATATTAACATTTCAGATGTTCGTTGTGTTCCTCAGATCATAGGCGATGCTGTGGGCTGGGGCTTCGTGGTGCGAGGCAGCAAACCCTGTCACATCCAGGCTGTGGACCCCGGTGGACCTGCAGCTGCTGCTGGAATGAAGGTAAGATGTACGTCCCGAAATGCACTGTAAATCTCAGTGGGCTTCCTCCCTCAGCTCACCCATGGGATAAAGGGATGAACCAAAGAAAGGAGGGTAGATGTCATCGCCCGTAGCGTTAATGGACTGAAGCCTGAAGGTTAGATGAAGGGAGGTAAGGAGGGGCACAGGCAGAGCAAAGGAAATCCTAGCTCTTGGCTGATAGTGTTGCTGATAGTGTTGCTGCAGAGTTACATCTGTGAGATGCAGGCATAAAAATAGTAAATGGGACATTTTTTTTTTTTTTTTTATGAGTGTGTTTTAATAAGTTTAACTGGTACATGCATGTTCTTTCAACCTGCCTTCTTTTGCTAGTAGTTATCTACTTTTCAAAAACATGCCCATATGTTTCCAAGACAAATTGCAATTAACATCTTCACAACAAAACAACAGGAGGTGTTGTAGTTTTGTTTGTTACCGTATGTAAGCTGTTAAGGCTTCAGTGCTACTAGTGAAATTACTATGTCTTTATCCTCTGTGCTCTATTGCTCTCCTTCATGGCTGTTGACCAACAATGCAATATAATGAGTGCAGAAGGGAGCGGTTGTTATTTAATTCTGAGAGATTAACACATTAAATCAAAACTTGATGTTTTCCTTGGAAGTTGCAAAGTAACAAAGGCTTTTCCTTTTAAATATATAATGTTATATTTAAGTGCAGACTGTGAGAGAAGTGCGAGACAGGTGTTAGGAAAGATGCTTTATGTAACTTCATCCCGCATGAGGAGGGTGATCAGGACGGGAGCAGAGAGAAACTGTGAGAGCAGGAAAAGTGTTGTGAGAGGAACAAAGTCAGGAAGGAGGAAAATGGGGCAATGATGGGTTTTGCTGCCACAGCGGGCATGAAGGTATGTAAGGAGAGTTGCAGCAAGGAATCCTGGGAATGCAGAACATAGCGAGTTTAACCACAACATGGAGAGGGCGAGGAGCATGAGCCATAGGGAGGAGCAGCGAAGCATATGACTTGGAGGAGAAATTTGGAAGAGAAAACATGAAGTTATGAAGCACATAATAAACTATTGGCTGTGTTTTAGTTTAATTGATTAATAAAACATCGATAATGTCCAGTGCACATTTTCCTCAGGTGTTGAAAACAGCTTTCAGTATCACCTATTAAGTGTCTAAAATGTTAGTCTTGACGTTTTTAAAGGGAATGCAAAGGTGACGACTACAGGGTTTTTATGTATAGAGAAAACAGAAAAATACAAAAAGCCAAGCTGCTGCTGTATTCTCACCATGATGGCAGCAAAATGAAACTTTGCCGACTAAGTAAAGAATGTTAACTCGGTGTGAGGTCAGAGAGAAGACACATGAGCTGAGTGAGCGGTGAAGAATGTGCAGGATGAGGAAGGACGCACATGTAGAGGAGCTTAAATGTGAGCACTGAAAGAGGAAATAGTCCGAAATAATATCACTTCTGCTCTGGTTACTGTCAACAGTCATGTTTTGTTTTTTTAACCATGGAAATATGTTTCATGGTTCAAAGTCGGTCATAAAAGTGTCCACACACTTGTAAAGTGTGTGTGTTTATGTCTTTGTGTGGGTAGTTAGCGGAGCTGTCTTGAACTGATTGTGTGACCTACATGCTCACCGAGGACGTCATGTAACAGTTTTACTCCAAATCTTGTCATTTTAACTTTATTGTGAGGTTTGTTTTTAGAATGTAACATTACATTTTATATGCCGTGACTAAAGTTTACAACCATCAGGGCCATAGAAACGAGACAAAACCAGAATAATATGTTAGAGATATCAGAGTCTAACAGTATCATCATTGTAGATTAAATTCTTGTAAGGACTTCATTGCACTCCCTGCAGCTCCTAGAACATTAGTCTCGTTCCACCTCACCTGAGTAGTTTTATTGATGTGTAATTAGGCAGTAACACAATCTAGTGGAGGCAATGCTGTGTTGTAAGGTGCTGGCACTGCGGTCCAGGCAAAAGGCCAGAGGAGAAACTTACACCCATTGAACTCATCACCAAGCTCTTCTCGCTTCTCATCAAACACACATGCTCTCAAACACTGCTTCTCCGTCTCTCTGTGCCTCTTTTTTTCCACCACACTCGGACATACACATCAGCACTGTCCTGACCATAATGGATTTGAGCACTTATGTAACTGTGCAATACATCACTCTTAGAGCCACTTCTAATGCACTTTTATAAGGCCGCAGGTAGAGCAGGGTGTCTCATGTTTGTCTCACTTTGCGTCCATTTGTGCATTCTGTGCTGCATGTTTGCACACCATTATGTGTGTGAACTGAACAGTATGTTCTGATACAGTAATTGGCCCACATAGATATAAATGTCAAGTGTCTTAACCTCCATTTAGAGAACATTTAGACATGAGAAGATTTTAAAGGTCAGATGAATCAAGAATTGAATTGTAACAAGATCATTTATATGCAGGAGATTTAGTTCTGTCTATGAATATATTGATTCTGCACAATTACTGATTGGTTACACACAATTATGAACACTTCAGAGTGCAAAACATAGATATCTAATGGCCTGATGAAATACTATCACATTTTGGAAAATATTAATATTGGCTTATTTGCTTTCTTGCTGAGATTCTCCTGGAGTCTTCTCTTCACTGAGAAGTTGCCAGGCAACCAGCAGACTCCTGGAAATCACTGCTCCTGGCCAAGAAATAGTCCCACATCTAACTCTCTGTAAAGCCACAACTTGTCGTTTTTACATTTCTGAAGATATAGTGTGTCAATTAGTGAGCTGTAAACCAGGCAGACACCGTGTGGATTAAGCCTGATTTATACCCCCTGACTAATTTGTTGTTCAGTTTTAGGGGATCGTAATGTCTGATTCGTTGCCCAGGTGATCATTACAGTTTGATTTCTCACATGCCTGCTATCAGTTGTTTACATAAAACATATTTATAGTGGATAGAAATGTAAATACATGGCTCATGTACATCCTAATAAATATGATCTTATAACATTTAGTTTTGCTTGTTCTGCCTAGTCTCATAATGCAACGCAGAAAATCCAAAGATGAATGAGTCAAGTTTCTGCCAAAAAAATATGAATATGTGCAACTGTAACGCTAATGGTAAAAATGTCTACCCTTGAATATAGCCTCAACACAATCAGTTTTATGAATCAGTCTTATTTTTAGATTAGGTAAAAGAAACGAAGGAGAAAATGACACATTGAAAACACAGATGCCTACGTCTCCACTGCGCCTGGTAAATGTTGCCCTGTTAGCTTTGGATAGAGGCAGGATAAGTTTTTCCCCCTGCTTCCAATCTTTGTGCGAAGCAAAACTACGCTACCCATCCTCTGGCTGTAGCTTCACACTGATATCCTTTAAACACCAAACCAACCAGCGAGCCTTCCAATGTGTGGGTCCAAGCCACTCAGTTATTGTTTCTCTGGCTTTCTGATTCCTCAAGTGACATGAATTCAAACGTAGCCCTGCATCGTCACTCACCGGTACTTTGTTTGTAAAGAGCGACTCTACATTACACACAGCTGTTATCACTGCATGTAAGTGAAATATCTCAGTATGGACTCCTCACATGTGATGTTTATTCTCTCTCTACGTCTTCTCTTCATGCTGGATTCTATCTCTTTCCTTTCTCTGTGTGAGAGCGATTTTAACCCTCCGAGTGCAAGGAGCCATTCAGTCCAACTGGGCCCCTGCCAAGACTAACAACCCCACGGACTGAAAGGAGAGAAGCATCGGTGGGAGAGAAAGAAGGGGGGAGGTGTTGGGAGGGAGTTAAAGAGGTTGAAAGAAAGGTAGAATGGGGAGAGAGGAATGAATAGAAGGAGAGGAAGAGAGAGCGTGTCCAGAAGTGCATGATGGACAGTACTTTGACTTATGTGAAGCAGTGCGATATAGGCTGCAGAGGTTTAGATGTGATTACAGTGAGAGGCTGAAATTCCTCTGCAGCACAGGATTAACAGCCTGGGTTTTTTTTTTTCCTTCCCTCTATCACTCTTAATCTCTCTTTCCACTCATTCCCTCTGCCTATTTTGATCTCGTTTCCTGTAATATTTAGGAGCACCGGAAAAATACATTTAGAAGCAATTTCTGTGAAAATGACCAAAAATAGTAACCTCTATTTGCATGTTTTCACTACTCTCTGTTTCGTATGTAACACCAGTTTATGTAAGGAACAGGCAAGGTATGAACAGTTGCTCCCTGTGAGATGATTCTATATGTGTGATGTTTTCTGCATCTAAGGCACATGAAACACAGCTGTAAAAGTTTTTCTTCCATCATCACTCAGCAGTCTACGCCTGCAGATGATTTATAGGCAATTTAAGAATCAGAGTAACTATGTTCTCTTGTTCTTTCTGACATCCATCATATATCATTTTTTTTGGCATCTTGCAGAGCTTTTGGAAGACTTTAGGGGGCCAGTGAAGTTGAGAGTGCGCTTGCATGTGTGAGCGTGATACTGTAATGGCTTGCAAAAAAAACCCAAACCACAGCAGCAGCAGTAAGAACAGCAGCATCATGTTGCAAGGGGAAACAGCTAGAATACAGCTCTTGTTGTTGTTTTTTTTTTTATCAGAGCTGCCGAGTTGGAGTGGTGGTTAAATAGCGATAAGGGAGGTGGGATAAGGCGTGACGGGGGAGTGATTGGACCATGGCTGTCATGTTGTACCTGGTGTAATTTAGCTGCACTTACCATCTCATGTCAGTTCACACTATCAGTGTTTACTGTTGGAGCTATGACTCTGTTGCAATTTCTCACCTTGGCTCACTGCCACCTTCTCTGTTAGGTTAAATTTATTGGGGTTTATTAGCTGCACTGTGATTGCAGATCTATGGTGTTAAAAGGAATACTCCACCCAAAAAAACAATCAAATGCCAACCTGAAGTCTTGAAAGGTGCTCTTTTGCAGCTGTCGTCAGTCTTTACTAGCTGAACTGTGACAAATTAATAGTTAGATTTAATCATGCGGCCTTATTGATGAGAGGCAACATTTGTCAATCACACAACCAGCACAAAAGCATAAAATAACACACTGTCGGACAAGTTTTAACTGCTGAAGTAATAATGGGGAAAACATGACAGTAAAGAATATCTCCATAATCAAGTGCAGGCATAAAAAATGACTCAACTATAGATTTTTAGAGGTGGCTCACCTGGTAGGGCGAATCATTAAGGCTAAGTCCTTAACACTGCAGCCCAGGTTCTACTCCGACCCGTGGCCCTTTGCTGCATGTCATCCCTCTCTCTCTCTCTCTCTCTCTCTCTCTCTCTCTCTCTCTCTCTCTCTCACACTGCAGCTAGAATCAAGGCATAAAAAGCCAGAAAAATAACTTAATAAAAAAACCAAAACACTAGACTAAGGAATAATGCATGAAATATTTATCTTTTGAGAATGAAACACTCACCCTCTGACTTGGGCTGTGAAAGAGCAACCAGCTCTACAGTTGATTCCAATAACGGCTCAGAGCTACAACTTAATCAATAGAAACATATAAATATAATTCTCCTCCAGCACTGAACCATATGGTCATAACATTCGAAACACAACATAGACAAATACATCTCACCCTTGCCTTCTCAGAGCACCGAAATCAGGCAACGATTGACTTTAACAGCTGCAGTACCTTCAAGCCTACAGGCAATGAGACTTTTCTTCTCATTGCCTCTGAGTGGAGTGTCCCTTTATTTCTTTCTCCTCGTGTCTCTCCATACTCTTTCCATCACCTCGAACCCCACCTCACTCTTGACATTATAACTGCCGGCATGAAATTTGAATCAAATCAAATCATCAAGCAGCTCTCTTCTCTCTGTCTTTTCTTCTCCAGGTGTGTCAGTTTGTGGTGTCGGTGAACGGACTGAACGTCCTCTCTCATGACTACCGGACCGTCAGCAACCTCATCTTAACTGGACCCAGGACAATCGTCATGGAAGTGATGGAGGAGGTATAAGTTTGAGACCAGCTACAAGAGAAGGCCTCGTAGAAGAGCAGTATAATAATTTTGTTGGGGACGAGAGGGTTTAATACGTGACCTCAAAACCACACGGAGAAACGTAGACAACTTGATACGCAACTCGCACTCTCGCTGTTCCAACGTTGTTTGAACGAGGTGGATGACTGAGAAACTGTGTGTGTTCAGGAATATGGGTAATCGAGTCAAGTAAATGATTCAACCTGTGGGTAAAACCCACAGGTTGTTCTAGTTTTTCTTTGAATTTCGAGGCACATGCACTACAGAGGGAAAGTGCAGGAGCCACCACTTCTATAGATGGTGATCCAGCTGCCTCATTGTGACTGTCAGTATTACGACTTTATGTGTGGAGTAGGAAAACCCAAATTCCCTGTTTTTTGTTTGAGTTTTCAACCTGAACTGCTTCATGAATCTGTTGCTGAACATGTCAAAGGATGTGAGACACAATTTTTATCATTAGAACGTGGAGATGAGGAAGTACAAGCTGAAACTGTAAGAGAAAAGAACATTGACCTCTCCCCCAGTTAGTTTCCAACCAGGGACTGAAGCGCCTGACGGCTCAACACTGCCCTCTGCTGGGAAGGACAGGCAGACACGGAGAGGGAGTGCATTTATACTACTACAAACAGTAAATCACAAGTCTTTGGTTTCAGAGTGTTTAAATGTTTCTTTCCTTGCTTGGGAAACACCATGTTAAATAGAAAAAAATACAAATTTCTACCCTTGTCATGTGAAAAACCCTGCACTGGCAAATTCACAACTGTGAATGCCCAGGTAGATTTATACATAGCTGCTAGAAACATGTAAGTGTACATAATAAAGGTGCAGTAATAAACTGCATATGACATTAACAGGCACAACGTATATATAGAAAAGTTACAAAAACTTTATGCACAAACAAACGAAGAGGCCCTGCTTTAGAAAAAATTGTGTTTACAGGATGAAGCCTCATTAAAGGTAGAGTAAGCAATGCCGGAGAAAGACTTCCTATCTGAGCTCAACAGTAAAACAAATACACCCCTCCCTTCAGTGTCCCTTCAGAAGCTCTGCCCCCTGTGGAAGTGGATACTCTTTCTCATAGCTGAAGCAAAACAAACCTTGTAATATAAAACGTCGTCAAACAAACGACACGCACACAAACACATCCAAACATCAAGCATCTAAAACACAAACTAGTGAGAGATAGTTGTTTAGTTTGTTTTAGAGAGGACTATGTAGGATTGTAGCTAAGCTAACAAGGAAGGTAATGTTACCTGACATAGCATTTCAAATTATGCATCAATCCAGATAAATCCAATCCGCTAGCAAACCTGTGTGTTTAGATCCTTGTGGTTATAAAACCTTTTGCACGTTGTATGGACCAGTATCATGATACAGAGTAAACAACGAGACGGCAAACTGCTGCAAAGCTAACATGCAGAGAAGACGACGCAGTTTCCCATAGCCTGCGAACCAGCTCCAGACAGCGATACTCACTACTCTCCTGCTACTGTAGCTAGCTTCATACCAACAGCATATGTAGGGAAAATAAAAAGTAAGCCAAACATCTGTGGGAAAGTAATTTAACGTTAGCGGACACACTAATGTACCTGCTGCTTGCCAACTAACAACTGGGGGTTAGCTATCACAAACATTAGCAAACGGTACAAAATAATACTGACCTATCGGCTCTGTGAAACATAGCAGCACTCTGAGGTCTCTCCTCGTTGGCTGCAGTAGCAGTGGGCAGGTGTCTCCTCTTTGGGTTGGTCCACGGCTGTTTCTCCTTCTTGACAGTGCGATCATGTTGTGGAGTATATACCAGCATCACAATGCTTCCGGTGAACATTTCTTCCATGCACGCACCTTCACCGCCGGTCTCTCATCTGCAGTCCCAATCAATCCCTTTTCAAAAACTCAGAACAGTCAGGCGGCAAAAGAAGGGTAGACTGCTCCTACATTTCCCTGGTAATCCTTAAATTGACACTATCCACTAACATGTGCCAGATTAACTATGTATTGGTTTAGAATTGCTTACTCCACCTTTAATCTGCAAACTAAAACTGCTACAGCACTGAGAACAGCTCGGTGACTGTATTTAAAAAAGAAAAAAAAAAGAACTTCCCTTGATCTCTTTAGTATCTTTTAGTTTTTAGTTTTTTTTAAGATGATGCCTGATATGCAGACCCTATACTTCCATAATGATACAAGAAGTCATTATTTGTTATCATTTGTAAGAGCTTGTTTAAGAGAAAAAGAGAGAGTAAATATTGTATGTTATATTTACTATTGAGATGTTCTCAGTTCTGAAACACCTTTAGAAAATCTTTCTAAGAAGTGTAACATTTATTGACTAAAATTAAAACAGTAGGTATGTTTTATACCAGTGGCAATGCCAAATAAGTCCTAAACTATAATTAGAGCCATGTTATGCAAACAAGCTTTATTGAGTAGTCAACAGTAGTAAAAAGTAGTAGAATATTAAAGAGTAGGATGACTATATGAGCACTTGAACTATTAAACAATTGTTTTAATTGACAAAAGCACTTAGGTGACAAAAGTTTTCTTTTTGGAATAACATTGGGATTTTGAATTGAATGTAAATGTATCTTGTGAATATACAATCTGACATCCCCAATTTGAAACTAATAAGAAATAATAATCTCCTGCTGGCCCCTGAAAGCTGTGCAGTAAAATCTATACATAGTATGATGTATTTATTTGAAATATGACGTCTGTGTGTCTGATTTGTTTTTTAATGGCAGCACACTGTATATCAACTGCACATTCCAAATATTAGATAATTTAATATGGAAGAGTCATTTCCCTCAAATCACCAAAACCCACATCTGCTCACTCATTCCTAGTGAAGAAGTCTGTCATGCAGATAGATTGGAAAAAAGCTTAATTTGTGTTGATCATTAACAACAACTTCCATTTCCAATATAGGGGCACTTTGTAAGTAATTTTCATTGCAGCTACTTTCTACTGAGGAAATATCAATACCCCCTCACAAACCAGTTGACAGCTAGTCCATCAATTATCAGATTCCAGAAAGATCTTGTTTTGATTTTTTTCAACTCTGTGAAGACCACAAACTAGATTTAATTTATCTCCAATGTACTGAAAAAAGCCTGAAACTATGATTGGCTAGATACAACTACAGGTAAATGAGGAACATTTAAAGTTTTTATTTTTTGGAATTTGGATAAAATGAAATTTAGAAAAAAAATCTAGATCTAGACTAGTCTAGATCTGAAAGTTTGCTGGATTAAAAGCAAGTTTGAGGTTTATATAATTGGATTTGTACATCATTAGCCTCCAAAATAACATCTGAATTAAGTGTGTTTATAGACAGTGCCATTATGTGCTCAGGCATACTAGCATGAAAAGATCCAACTATAATTATTTAAAAGAGAGCATAGATAAATGATGCTCATAGTGCTCATACAGTATATGTCTGTCTGTTTTAGACAAAGCAACACTGCCTTGTTCACCAGATATGTACTAAGTTTAGTCCTGAAGTGAAATTATTACAAAAAAAAAAAAAAATTAAGCACAAGTGCTGCAAAGTGGTGGGAAGTTTTTATTACCAAGAGGTTGAATTTAATCTGTCTCATCAAACTGCCTCCATACATGTCCTAAGTGAGTTCTTCAGTGGACATGTCATTGGTGTTTCTCAGTGTGCTTGGGTGTTGTAAGCAGTGAAATGCATGATTCCTGTAAATCTGTGATTATGTAGCATTAGCTCTTAATCCAAAGCACTTCTTGAGTTTATTGACTCATAGGAATGTATTATCTGACAAACCGTTTCAGAAGTAAAGTCGATTTGGGCCTTAACCAGTCTTTGTTTCTACATGCTTTCTGCACCAACATTGGTATAAAACTGTTACAGAATATTTTAGAGCTTCTCAGACATCGGCGATAATCTCTGGTCGACTCTGCTAAACATTCATGATGTTTTGTCTTACTTGCTGATCTCATGTTGTTGGATGATGCCACATAATATACCATTTGTATTACTGAGTGTGTAATATTGATCAATATTTTGTTGGTAGGGTTTTATATACTTTATAAAAGGGACCCTAAATACAAAAACTACTTTTTAAGGCTATTTTTGCCTTTACTGTGACAGCAACTGTGAGAGAGAACAGGAACAGGAAGGTTGGGGGGAGAATGAGGGGATGCCATGCAGCAAAGGGCCTGGGCTGGATTCAAACCCTGGCCGCTTCGGTCGAGCGCTATCAGGTGAATTACTGGGGTGTCCCATAGCTTTCAATATTCTTTCAGCTGGTAACATGGTAAAAATCACTGCAGACATTAGCGATTCTGGAATCAAGATTTTTCATTAGCCTCCTGTAGAGATGCCATTAGACTTTAAGAGTTAATATCTACACTCAGTGTGGGTTCAAATTTTCTGTTTTTCTTTAATTGAAAACTCGCCTACCTGAACTTTTCAACTTGGTATTTGTTCTTTTTACTGTGTTTGTAAAATGATCTGGTTAAAGGGTTGTGATTTTGATAAAGGAAATGGAAAATGCTGCGTGTTTGTCTGAAGGCAGTTTGTAAAGGGGACAGGGATCGATTATGGTCTCAGAAGGGGTTCGGGAAACAGAAATATGCAGAAGTGAGGCAGACGTGACAAATGTTCCACTTCACATGGTCTAGAAATGTGTCATGTGTATTTTTGTAAAGTGTTGAAGGGGTTCTGTGTGGTCATAGTTCACTGACTGCTCAACAATAAGCCTGAAAGCGTTTGCCTTGAGATTTTATTTTGCTGCTCATCACAGCTGGTGGTCATCAAGTCTCTTGTTCTGTTCTATTGACAATCGGTGTACAGACCCTACCTTTAAATAGCACAACTTTGGTTTCAAAAGCAAGGCTCTGAAAGAATGTATCTCACCACCATAGTCCACATTGTGCTGTTGTCAGTTTTATACTTAAGCTTAAATGACTCATTCAATTAAAGGGATTCTTTGCTTCACGTTCACCTCATGAGGCCGTAGTGAGGGCCCAAACATTTTCAGCAGGTACAGATGTGTGTTTACTTCTTTCTTCTCCGCTATCAGAGATTGAATGTTGGGTTTGAAGACAATATAAGCTCACAGTACCACAGTCTGTTTTTGACAACGCAAATGAAGCTCATTCAGATGCTTTAATGTATTAAACAGTTAATCAAGTGTTTAATAAACAAACTGATCTGATTCTGCGTTGTGTTTCTGGTTCCATCCTCAGGTCTGTTTGAAGTCTTTGCACTTAATAACTGGCATAAGTTAGACTCGCATTTAGTGAAACTGACTGTGTGAGTTTAAGAATCACACACAAGCAGACAAATAGAAATAATAGTAGAATAGAAAGTGCAGACTTGAAGAATTATATTGCTTTAGCTTGCAATTGCATTACTGTACATTTTAGTGCACTTGTATAAAATACAGAACACGTTTTACCTCTTTTGGGCTTTGATAAAATTTGTCAAATAAGAGTGTGTCTGAGAAGGACAAAGCGCTGTTTGGTTTAACTGTCCACAATGAGACCTGTGATGAGGGGTCACAAGTGGCCACTGGTTTATTTTGAGGGGTTTCAAACCAAAAGGGAACATGTCTCTGATCACAGGGCTAATAACAAATAACCCTCATTGTGAAGCCTCTTTTCTTAGATGCACTACCACAAAGCCACCAGCAGGGGGTAGTCTTAAACTACTCCAGACAGTGTTCAATGTTTTATTCTGATTATGTTCCATATCACTCTTTTTTTTTTTTTTTTTTTTTTTTTTTTTTTTTTTTAGACAATGGTTTCAGTGAGGGACAGAATAGATTATGTCAACAATGAAAAAAAAATGCAAGGCTGACATTGTTTTTGTTAATTCCTGCTCATCCCCATTAAGTCTTTATTAACCTGCTCTTATCTCATGTCTTCAGTGTTTTTGGGGTGTTGATGACATTTATAACTGCATAGCTAGTTAATCCTCTGAACTGTGTGACCCCTCTGCAGATTTCCTCAAGACATTCCTAATCTCTCTCTCTCTCTCTCTCTCTTTCACACACACGTGCACACTTCACTTCACTCATCTCAGCGTCTGGGTGTACAAAGAAAAAGGGTATAAAACTAACTGTTACATATTTACCATAATCTAATAGCAGATAATTTAGGTGAACTATACAGCACACAGTTTTGTCATTTTGTAGTGACTCACAGTCACTCACGATGGCTACACAGGCATACAGCTCCCCTCCTCCCTCTTTCTCTTTTCAACCCTTTTATTTTCCAGGACAGATACACTAACTAGAAAAGGCCTTATCAGATGAAACCATCACTACCTGTCATCCACTTATCTGTCCATTTATTCATCTGTCCTTGCATGAATACATCCAGTGAATAGCTCAGCAACTATAACCTTCGAGTTGCTTCTATTCATTCGACAACATCCAATCCTGTGTGTGTGTGTGTGTGTGTGTGTGTGTGTGTGTGTGTGTGTGTGTGTGTGTGTGTGTGTGTGTGTGTGTGTGTGTGTGTGTGTGTGCGCGCGCGTGCGCGCATGAGTGCGTGTGTGTGTGTGTGCGTGTGTGCGCGTGTGCACGTGCACCTCTGCTCAGTACACAGAGCTGTACATTAGAAGGAAATTAGAAGATGCCACACAGACACACACACACACACTGAAATCTGAAAGAGACAAACTGCTGGACATTTTTGCTTGAGGGAAAGGGAAGAAAGAGGGTATAATATTTAAACCTCCAGTGATTCAACCAAATTAAAATGTGTTTCCTGAAAAGAATGAGTGTAACGAAACAGACAACATTTTCAGCAATTGTGTAGGTTTCTCATTTTAAATTCAATTATTCAAAATTGTACTTGTAAGAACAAATAAGTTGCAAACAGTAATGATGTTTTTGGGGGGGGATCTTGAGCATTTCTATTAGCAAATTGTGTTCTGTTCATGGGCCCTTGGAGACTAATGTGTTGATACAACGTGCTGTAGCTCGGTGCATACAGAATCACAGTCACACTGCCAAAGTTAGGAGTCGAATTCCAACTGGGGCCAACACACTAAAAATGTACGCGCTCTGAGAAGCCTGGGATGAAAGTGTTCACCAAGTGGCATATATTATAAGATCATATTAAGGTTTGAAAAGCCCAGTTGGTCCAATTAAAGCAACACCAATGCAGCCGGCATAAGCCAAGATCAAGTAATTAATACATATAAAAAATCTCTCTCATGACAGTGACAGCAGCAAAAATAAGGGAGTTATGGGGAAGTATAAGGTACATTGAAAGCAGTTAGGTTGTGCTGTATTTTACTTAGTGTCAGACAAGGACAAGAAAAACACAATGTGTCCCTCATTTCTGTCGTCACTCTACTCTTCACATCACTGTTTCTTTGATTATGATTAAACGTGATGGAAATTCATTCAGGGCTGAACTGGATTTAAACAAGTGAGTGTCTTTAAGCATACACATCTTCAGATGTGTAATAAAGTATGACACAACCACAAAAAAAGCCCCCAAAAAAATCTAAAAAATGTGGTTATCACATGTGTTGGAATTCTTTTTTGCAAAGCTCAAGTAGCAGCTCTTCAGTTTGTTCCAGGAGAAAGTTTGACACAGATGTGACACTGTACAGACTGTTTGTACCTATTTTTTTTTTAGGTGTGAACACTACTTTTTCTTTTATCCTTTGTTTGTTAATATCCTCTGTTTACTGTGGGTCTGCAACTGTATACGAAATACTTACAGGTTATTACTCTGAGAACTGAAAATCTGCTGGAAAAAAACTCTTCTCTCAAAATAAATTATGTTTATCTTAATTCTGGGTGGTATTAAAGATATGGTTTCAGGCTATTATTATATTTTCATATCATTTCTTTAATATACTACTTTGCATTATGACAGAACAAAAATGAAATAGGATTCACTGAAACACAATATTCTGAAGAGTTTAATTAGCTTTTTGACAAAGAGCGCCAGTAAGTGTGACTACTGCCTTGATTAAATAAAGGTTATCACTGTTATCCCATGTGGGAAATATTACCCAGAAAGAAAAAGAAAAAGAAAAAGAAAAAGAAAAAGAAAAAGAAAAAGAAAAGAAAAGACTTGCACAGCTGAAGAAAAGGAATGTTTCAGTGCCTACTCAGGTTGATGGACTGAATGGCTCTGAGGCATGATTACAATGTTTTCAAGTGAATTGTCTCCTGTCCTCTGCTTCCCTCCCCACAGGCGTGGAGCTCAGGACAAGTCACAGCAAGCAGAAATGTTAGCCACCTGCCAAATGCTTCTTGGACTGTGTCAGCCGGCTCTGTGAATTTGGCTAGCCACTCTGGCAGAAGGAGACACCTTTGTCCAACTAGCATTTCTTTTTCAAAACTTGTTTTACCAACTAAGCGGTGGAACTGGAAGAATAAATTTGATACTGTATGGGTAATGGAAAGGCTACTTTTCAGGACCTGATTAGGATGCACGTCATGAGTGAGGGAAGCCTAATTTACTTCTTCTACTTTTGAAACTCAGTGATTTCACCAATGTGCTATGTCCTTGCTTTTATCCCCATGTGTGTCCAGATGAATGTGTGCACAAAATGGCACTGCAATCTCTTCAATAGTTGTCGCAACATTTCACTTAAATGACAAATGTCACTAGACTCAAAGTCATGGGACCATGAATGTCAGTTTACACAATTTAATGGAAACGCATCCAGTAACTGTTATGATATTTCAGTCTGGACCAAAGAATCCGATCGACCATGCCGCTAGCATGACTAAAAATGGCAAATTAAAAATCCTCACAGTGTGCAACCTTTAAACTGCTCTGGTCAATGTACCCTGCACGTCAAAGATGCCTTTGGTCATAAGTACTTAAACAGCTGTCTGTGGCTTTGAATTAGTTTTTAAATAAATAACAGTATTTTCTTGAATAAATCACCTCCAACCATCCGTACAGTTCCACCATAAAAAGCTGCATAATGAACCATGACCTTAAGAGCTGTCAGTTTAGCAGCTCTCTGGGAACGATAGACCTGGTACCAGATGACAAGCCTACTAATAACTGTGACTAGTTGGACTAATCAGAAGGCTGCGGTCACTTCAGTCCACTGCTGCCCTCATATTAACCTGCTGTTTGTTATTAACACAGTGCTCAAGAGCAGTGTGTGTGTGTGTGTGTGTGTGTGTGTGTGTGTGTGTGTGTGTGTGTGTGTGTGTCCAGCAGAAAAAAGGTTGAAATTCACAGCATGAGATGTTAGTTCGTGCGTCTCGTTTCACCATGCACTCCCTTGTATCTGTCAACTCTATTTGAACTTGTCCAGGTCTTTTGCTTGAGCTTATGAGACAAACAAACCATGTTTCTTTTGCTGGTTTAAATGCACCTCATTGTGTGTGTGAGTGACACGGTGATCTGGGTTGTCTGTCACTGTGGCAGAGGGCTAAGCTTGACGCCTCGGGTTATCCCTGAGTCTTAAAAATGTAGGGCTGGGGGCTTCAGGTGTGTGTGTGTGTGTGAGTTGGTATGTTTATGTGTGAAAGCGGAACAAAATGAAAAGTTAGGGAGGCCTTTGTTTAAGTGCAATATGAGTGTTTGCACATTGCAGACTTTAGTCACTGTGTGTGTGTGTGTGTGTGTGTGTGTGTGTGCGCGCGCGCAAGAGACTGATTCGAAAAACTGAATCAAATAAAAAAAGTAAAACTCACATTATTAAATGCTGCAGTTCCTGAAACTGCATGAGGTTGCAGAATTCTTCTGCTGCATTTTATTTGACTTTACATTTTATGCGTTTTCATATTAGCGAGTTTCACTTCCTTCTGCCTTCCACTGATTGATGCTACACAATAAACCTTCATCTTTCAGCAACTTCAAGCTTAGACATGTGCTCTTCTAAGCACCAATGAGGGAGTTCCTGTTTCCTGGGAGATATCCTTCTCGACACAGAGCCCATGCTCTCTCTGTTTGTCAAAGCAACAATGGTGGATTGTTTGCAATAATTATAGGAAGGTAGAGGAAATACAAGAAGCTGTGGTGGAGCTTGATCATTTTTATTATTACAATATGTTGGTCCAGCACAAACAGGGAGTATTAAACACCAAAGACTGCTTATCACCACAGATGTCACAAAAATCAGGAAAACAACAATTATGTCGACTGCTGTTCAGTTCTCCTAAACCATAGCACCTTGGAGGAAAAACTATGTATGAAAAACTGTATGTGCTTACAGTTTCAT